GGCCAACCATTTGCAACGAAGAATGAGGTCCAACACGTTATTTCCACTGAAGCAATGACTCAGAGTTTTGAATGGCAAACAACCCATTCCGACACAAAGAGGCTGATGGTTCGATGCAAAAATGAAAATGAGGGATGCAAAGCTAGGGTCCGGGCCATCAAGAGCAAGAGAGTCGGCCATTGGGTCATATCCCGTGCGGTGAACACACACACATGTGTGTCATCAATAACATCCCAAGGCCATCGACAGTTGAAATCAAGGGTGGTTGCCGCGGCTATCAAACATCTAATTGAGGAGCAGCCCGACCTGAAGGTGAACACCATCATCGCCCACATTTCTAGTCGTTATGGTTATATCATTAACTACAAGAAAGCGTGGCATAGGAAACAGAAAGCAATGGCTGCCGTGTTTGGTGACTGGGAAGAATCATATGCATTCCTTCCCAAATTGATTTTGGCGTTGGAGGTGTCTAACCCTGGCACCATTTTCTCGCCTCGCTACCAAGATGAAGAAATTCAACCGCCGGTGCCTGGTAACAAGCGCCAATTCAAGCGTCTTTTCTGGGCCTTCAAGCCATGTATTGATGGTTTTCCATAGTGTTCCTGTGATTCAATTTGATGGAACATTCCTTACCGGCAAGTACAAGGGTACTCTACTGATTGCCAGCGGAGCAGATGCAAATAGATTAGTATATCCATTAGCCTTTGCCATTGTGGAGGGAGAGAATACCAATAGCTATGGATGGTTCTTCAGACAAATTTAGCTCCATGTCACCAGGCGGACGAACCTGACTATCATCTCAGATCGCCACGCCGGTATACGGGCTGCTATCTTAGGCTTGGATCCAGCCTGGAACTGGTCACAGAGATGGTGCATACGGCATTTCAAGAGAAACTGGAACCGTCATTTCAAGCGAAAGAAGCTTGCTGACAGTCTATGGTGGATCGGTAAGCGTTCTAATTAATTGTTATATAAATTTTTTCAACTGTATAAAACGAGGACTAAATCAATACAATACAACACTTATTTAGACTCTTTATAAAGAAATGCATGTCTAAGGAAATGAGGACTTAAGCGATCATCGTGATCCTCCCATGACCTGGGAAAATTGGGTTCCAAGCGATCCTCGGATCCCCCTTTTTTCTGTCAAAAAGACTGTGTTTCTAAGGAGATGTATACCTATCCTAAGAGTCTTACGAGTGTACTTGTATTACTTTAAATTATTGAAAATAATCAATACGATTAACAAAATAATATATTTGATTTTATGTGTATGTGTACAAAATAATTATACTTAAAGGCACAGGGAAACATAACTAAAATAATGTTCGAAATTTAAGTATAATTATTTTTTGTACACATACACATAAAATCAAATATATTATTTTGTTATTCGTATTGATTATTTTCAATAATTTAAAGCAATACAAGTACACTCGTAAGACTCTTAGGAGAGGTATACATCTCCTTAGAAACACAGTCTTTTTGACAGAAAAAGAGGGGATCTGAGGATCGCTTAGAACCCGATTTTCCCAGGTCATGGGGGGATCATGATGATCGCTTAAGTCCTCATTTCCTTAGACATGCATTTCTGTATAAAGAGTCTAAATAAGTGTTGTATTGTATTGATTTAAATTATTGAAAATAATCAATACGATTAACAATTAAGTAAATTATTGTACAAACAAATAAATTACTTTAACAAAATACAAATTACAAGTGATGATAAATAATATGTACCTTGTGGTCGTTCCAAACGTCTCTTGAACGATGATTTGCTTGATCGTATCACTGTCGGATCAATCGGTCCTTGATCAACATAATATCGTTGATTGAAAATATCAACATCCGGCCCAACCTACGATAGCATAACAATAACATAAATCAATTAGTATATAAATTAAATAAATCATTATAACAACAACAACAACAATTGGGAAAAATGAGTACGTACCGTTTGATAATCATCATAAAAAAGGCCCTCTTCTTGGGCGAAATCGGCCATTTTTTCGGAATCCGGACAGAGGTTCGGCGGTTTTTTAGTGAAAACCAAAGAAAAAGTTTTTTGGAGGCAGATCGGACTTAGCCGCAACCAACAAAATAACTAATTCTAAGGTTTTTGGGTGGGGAGGGAGGTGGGTAGAGTGAGAAGTTAGAGGGAGAGAGGGGGGAATCTCTTGAACGATGATTTGCTTGATCGTATCACTGTCGGATCAATCGGTCCTTGATTAACATAATATCGTTGATTGAAAATATCAACATCCGGCCCAACCTACGATAGCATAACAATAACATAAATCAATTAGTATATAAATTAAATAAATCATTATAACAACAACAACAACAACAATTGGAAAAAATGAGTACGTACTGTTTGATAATCATCATAAAAAAGGCCCTCTTCTTGGGCGAAATCGGCCATTTTTTCGGAATCCGGACAGAGGTTCGACGGTTTTTTAGTGAAAACCAAAGAAAAAGTTTTTTGGAGGCAGATCGGACTTAGCCGCAACCAACAAAATAACTAATTCTAAGGTTTTTGGGTGGGGAGGGAGGTGGGTAGAGTGAGAAGTTAGAGGGAGAGAGGGGGGAATGGGTTTGGTGTGCAGAAAATGGGAGGGGGAAGGGGGGGTTTATATAGGGACGAAACCGCGTGAGGGAGGGGCGGTTTCGTCCTTTTACCCCGCCTAAAACCGCGCATCCAGCATGCGGTTTGACTGTTGGGGAACGAAAACCGCGCCTCGGGGGAGCGGTTTGACTGAGCGACGCGGATCGCTGAGCTGGCGCGCGGTTTGGCCGTCAGATCGCTCCCCCATCGCGCGGTTTGGATCACCGCCACGTGGCCACGCGTTTTGACAGCCATGCAAGGTCAAACCACGCCTCCAAGGCGCGTTTTGTGCTATAACCGCTGCCAGGAGGCGCGGTTTCAATTAAAACCGCCAACTAGAAGCGCGGTTTTAAATAAACGATGGTATTTTTGGAAATTATTGGGAATGGGTGGTATTTTTGTAATTTTTTTTAAATAGTGGTAGTTTTAGATTTTTTCCTGGAGTAGAAGGTCAACTGAAAGGAGTACTAATCACATATTCGCGAGATGATGTTGAGATTTGCGATACGATTTATCAATCTGTTAGAAAATGATGAGAATGATGATGGGATTGTCAAAGTTCTATGCCTATATTTATAAGTCGAGATGATAGCGTGGTGTGTTTTTTTACCGTTGTTTGAATATATATATATATTTATAAGTCTAAGAAGATGGAAAGATCGAGATCGTTGTGGCCTTGCCTATTCTGTCAAATTAACGTCGGAAGTCTTGTGATTCAGGATACTGGAAATGTTATACGGCTGATCGGTGGTGTCAAACGAGCGAAGCCACAAGATCAGGATACTCCTGGCGCCGTGTAAATTGTTACAGTAAGCGATGTGATTAGGGGTGTTCAAGTGGTTATCATGGTAATTACCAAACTAAATTAAGGATAAATTCTATTAACCATGGAATATAATAGGAATTTGATATAATGACTTGCAAGTCACCATAACTTGCACATTTCGGTCGACCAAAATTTAAGAATGTTCGACTGAATCTACTAATTCTGTTTTGTGACTGTCATCAACGCGGTTGACCATATACATCAAATGGTGGACCTATTATGTGGTTTTCGATTTTAGGTATGTGTGAACAAGAGTTGTCTTTTATTGTATTTCTTGTTAGTGTGTTAAGTTGTGTATGTTATGAAGTATGGTTTCTTGCTATCATGATTGAGTATTGATTCTGTTGGTTCTAAACGTAATTTGTACGAGCAAATTAACACACACATTGACATACATAAGCAAAAAAGTCGAAGGTCATAGGCTGATTTTTCTATACGAGGTCGACCTTTTACTGTATGCGGTCGATCGCGAAACCAACACTTTTTGATCTACGTCTCACGTCAAGGGGGATGGATGAATAGATATTACTTTAGTCTTCTATTAGGTTGAGCTCTTGTTGTAAATGGTCGACCATTTCAATAATAACTACCATCAAGTGGGCCACCTCCTTACGTTTACAGTCCACCATTTTGCTTCTGACTACATTGAAAGGTCGACCGGGATTTTTATTGTGGTCTACTATTAAGGTATCAACTAACTAAAAACGGTCGACCAATATATGTTAATTGTCGGTCGTGAGGTTTCATCAGGGTGACCAGGATAGTGAATCTGGTCGATCGAATTGTGCAAGTTACGGTGACTTGCAAGGCAGCATAGCCCTCCCGCCGCCCTCCGTCGCCACCCCCATCACAGCCTCTCCCGGTCGCAGCCCTCCCGCCGCCCTCTGCAACTGCCTCCCACCATCACCAAAGTCGCTTCTGCCTCCCCCTTCCATTCTTCCCCCGCCTCCCACCACCACCTGTCTTCACACTGCCGTCGTCACCACCACGAGGTAACCACCTTTCCTCTGTCTTCTCCTTCCCTCATCCCCTTTTTTTCAGATCTGGGATTTTGCAGATTTCAGATATGGTTTTTCAGTCTTAGTCTCTAGTGGTACACTACCAGTGCTATTGGTACGCAACCAATGCTAGTGGTACGCTACCAGTGCTAGTGGTAGCGCCACCAATGAGTAGTGGTACGCTACCAGTGGTACTGATACCTATCAGAAGTAGTGGTACGCTACCAGTGGTATTGGTATGTATATCAATTCGCTTTATAACGTTTATCATTTTTTGTTGGGTTAATTGCATGGTTGGTCACTGAGATTACAAAAAACGTTTAAGTTTGGTCACTCGAATATTTAAATCCATTAGTGGTACTTTAGTTTACTGAAACCGTTCACATTTGATCACTCTCCATCAAACTCCGTTAACTTTTGCTTACGTGGCAGTCAACTCTAAAAGTTGACCGTTAAATGTGTGATGTGGCATTTAAAAAATAATTAATTAAAATAAAATTTATTTTTTTAAAATTTCCACCTCATTTTTATCTATTAAAAAAATTATAAATTATTAAAATTAAATTAATGCTTAAAATTGTAAAAAACAAGTTTAATTTTTTGTTATATTATAGGCACGTGTGTTGTGATGTGCCCACACCCGCACATCTTATCATCTTCCCTTCCTCTGTTCTATACTGCTCCCTTCATCATTTACATCTTCACCACCATCCAATTCTATCTATTCTTTACCCTCCTTTGATTTCTCTCTGATTCTTAATCAGACGCAAGGCCCCGCCAAACGAATTGGATGACCTAATCATCAATCCCCTCCAATTTCACGGCCAGCTTATCCCCAATTTTGTTGATATATTCCGTTCAAAATCTCCGCCAACTTGTACGGCCCTTCGAACTTCATCCGCCGCCATGGTTATCTGTTGATCGAACCTCGACGAGGACCTCGCCAAAAACAAAGAAGCAAATTCACCTGTTCAAGATCCCTACTCCTGCCGGGGGACAGTTCGAAAAGCAAAAGGAAGAAGCAATATGCTGAGAGGAGCCTGCAAAAGTTATAGCCACGATTCCCGTATTCCAAAGTATCCGATATCACTTGATCTCCCTCCCTTTCTCTAGTAGTTGCCATCTAACAATTGGCCGTTCTGATTTCTTGTTTCGCATACCAGAAAAATCGCGCTCCAAAAATATAAAAACAGTGCTCTGAAAAGAATTGTGTACCCTAATGCAAAACCAGAACCCTTCTTATAGCTAACCGAACCGTCCCCTGTTTCTTAGAGATCTGCGCCGGCATTGTCCTGCCGTTGGTGTAGCTCCGCCACCGCTTGCTCGGAGCCGAACGGACCGACTTCACACTGATGCTGAGGTTGTACCAAGGGTCAATCGTTGTTCCAAATGTCGAATTCCACCGCCACCATGGAGGGTCTGGTTCGCGACGAGCCCGTTCCCCAGGCGCTGTAACTAGAAGAAGCGATGTAAAACGCCAGGCCGTCGCATGCTTCGGTACCGCTGTAGTTGTCGATGGCGAAGGTGAAAGCGGTGGTGAAGTTGGCGACGGCGCCGGTCGAGGGTTCCCACAGCCGCAGAGGTTTCGAGTACCTAGCTTGCCCTTGGGCGAAGTAACTCAACCCGGTCCGCTGAACCCCAACCGAAGACGAGGGAGGCGTTTTCGTAAAGCTCCATCGCGCCGTCGCTGCAAAACCAGAACCCTACCAGGCCGATTAGCAATTAGAAGGAGCTAAGTAGAAGGGTTTTGGTTTTGGTTAGCAACCACTGCCGTTTGTGGCGAAGAATACGGCGGCGGAGAACAAGAGAGATCCTCGCCGTTCGTTCTTAATATTAATAATTAATATTTTTATTTTAATTATTTTTAATAGTTAGAAATGAGGTGGAAATTTTAAAAAATTAAATTTTATTTATTTAATTATTTTTTAATTTCCACGTCACACATAAGCAAAAGTTAACAGAGTTGGACGGAGAGTGACTAAACGTGAACAGTTTTAGTAAACTGAAGTACCACTATTGGATTTAAATATTTCGAGTGACCAAACTTGAACGTTTTTTGTAATCTCAGTGACCAACCATGTAATTAACCCATTTTTTGTCTATTACGTTTTAAATGTTTATATGACTAATTAGTATATACGGTAATTTGTAGAGGTGGCAATTAGAATCCATATCCATGAATCCAATCCAATACATCCACTAAAATGTCCAACTAATCCAATTCATTTAAACCCAATTCAATTGATCCAAATCCAATCGGATTGATGGATTCATGGATGGAGTCATTGATCCAAATGCCAATTATAGTTTAGTACTTATAATTTTTATATTTTACATTTTGATACCTAAATATTTTATTATGACAATTTAGTACCTGAATTTTTTGAAATTTACATTTTGGTCCAAGACTTGGATGTCATTTGAATTCATGGATCAATCCACCAATCCATCAATATGTTTGATCCAATCCACCAATCCATGAATCCAATCCATTTGTCACCTCAAGTATTTTGTAATGGTTGTTTGTCTAGTTTGTATTTGATTTGTGTATTTTGTAATTATTGATTTGCAATACAAGTCTACCTATTTGTACCTATTTGTATTGTAAGTAGTGGTATTCTGTATAGTTAGTATGATTTGTATTGTTTGTCCATATCTTATTTGTCGATTCCTTTTATAATGTTTATAAGCTTTATCATTATGTTTATATAACTAAAAAACAACATGGTTATACCTAATCCAAAAGTTAAGGAGGTCTAAATCCAAAAGTCCTTTAATATATTTTAAGAGATACAACAGCTCCCTCCCTTTTATGCAAACCTAAAACACACTAAAAACATGACTATTACCTAGAATCATTGTGGATTTCATTTACACATCTCACTTGCAATGTAGCTAATACCTCATTTTACCACAAAAATATAATTGGTTGAATCAAGCATGAACCTAGAAATTAACTATCTATCTATGACAAAAAAAAAAAAAAAAAACTAGAAAGAAATCGGTTGAACCGGATCTCCCATGGATTCTCTCGAAATCAAGTACCGAAAGTTGAAGTTATGAGGAACCCAGCAGATCGGTTTTTTATGCATCCTCCGTCGAATGTTGTTCATCACGGATGCAGGTAGAAGATGGTCCAGCTCCGTCTCGGTTAGAGCAGCTGGACAAAGCTGAGACTCCTTGGCAAAGCAATCCACAAGCTTAGGAAGCATCAATTTGTTCTTTTGCTTGTGTAGAGTTAATGATGTCTGGATGTAGTCTTGCTTTGCAGCTTCGAGATCCTCGAAAACTGTTTCCGGGCCATAAACTCGAAGCTAAAATATGCAAGCGGATGGCTTAGTGAAAGAAGATGGAACAGTACATGAGGCAAATGTATTTGTAGTATACATACCGGAGGGTCAGAATGATTGCCTGTACAAAGTGCGAAATAGAGACGAGGTTCAGGGGTTGTGATGGAGTATGGTCTCTTGGCATCTCCATTCTTCAGTTTCCTCATCGGATAAAGGAGCACTCTAAGCCACTGCGAAAGGAATATGGTCTTTTGCGCTTTCAGTTTAATGAAGAGTCTCGAGTTCAAGTCATTGAAGTTCTAGTATTGGAAGGATAACTATACTTTAAGACGAAGAGTTACAGATCTAACATGTAGTCATCATGTCCCGTTTATTTCATTTTCTATCTACAATCCTTGATCAGTATGTTTCTATCGTAATCGTTCTACCTTAGTTGTATTACAGAGAATCACTTGGTTCAAATTTGAGTTAATCAAGATCAAAAAGTACCTAAAACTCTTCTAGCGCTGTTACCTGTGCAGGACGAGGTAAGTTGCATCTGAGGATCGAGGTCTGGATCATATCTACGCTAACAGTGCGACCACCCACATTATACGCAGCCTAGCAATAAGACAATAGACAGAGAAGAATATATCAATGTCATCTGAAGTTGTAACAATCAATTAATGAAGGGGGTCTGAACCTGAAGAAGAGGGAACCCACCCACCCACCCACCCACCTTGAGCACTAGAGATGTTCTTCTAATGTTGTTCCTTGGAATGCCATACTCCAAATATGACTGCGACAGACACAAACCAAACTCAGCAAAATATATGAGAGATTGGGATGAGAAGTTCATTTTGATTAATACTCATTAAATTCGAAAACAACTCCAATAAATACATTACATGCATCACTAGCGAATTGTGGACATTGATCCAAAATGCCAGCTTTTCACCATGCTTCATCTCTGCAGGTTCCACTCTTTCCAGCTTTGATACAAGTGACCTGCAAAATTCAACCCACATCTTCCCTTTTTTGTTCAAGTGATCCAGAACAGCATTCATATATAGCTTATCTGGAATGCAACTCTAACTAACTAAAACTAGCAGGAAAAGTGACTAAGAAATTCAAGGAAAAAGACCTATAGTGCTGGATCTTATGCTGCACATGTTGTATCTTGTGGACATCTATACTCATCCATCCAACTTCTCTTAACTGATATGAACATGATGAGCCTTCAACTCCAAGCCTTGAGCTTGGTTGTGCAAGTTCACAGTATATGCTGGAGATGCACTTCACCATCTCCTCCGACACCCAATTTGGACTGATCTCCATACCATCACCACCACCGCCGCCGTTCAAACTTGCATCCTGAACTCTCTTAACAAATGACAACAAATCAAGCCCAGATCCATATACTAAAGTACCCTGAGAAAAAGCTAGGAAAATAATAGTAAGCCGATACCTTAAACAAGGACAAGGGAAGGGAGTGATGGGAATCAAGGGCTCTAGAAATAGCAGCACCAGTATTGAAACGATGAGACAGCGATGAGTAACATCTTCTGATGCTGCTGCTGCTACTTGAAAACTGCAACAAATTCCCAGCTTGGGGTAATTCCTTTGTTCCTGCCTCCACATTGTTTCTGGTTTGGCTAACTTGTTTTGTTTTGAAAGCTTCAGGGGACTCTGCCTCGCTGGAAGAACAACACCTTTGTTTATATAGAGACACAAGATATCTCTCCAAGTACACAACTTCAAGCTCCAGTGCTGATATTTCCTTAATCAGATCCTTGGCAGGCTGCCGTCAACGAAGCAGTTTTATCAACACACAAACAAACATATGCAAAAATTGAATACTGTGGAATGCTTTTTCATGATTAGTTATACCGAAGGGATAAACACATTATCGTGGAACACATGATGATGATGATGACTGGGAAGAGTCTTCCAGTAACCCACTGCAGCCTTCTCAAGTGCACTTCGTACCAAAAACTGATCCTCCAATTGTTTCTGCAGCTCCAGAATCTGGATAATCCGATGTCTAATTAGTTCACAGTTGGCAGAATTATCTGTAACACGGAAACTGCTATATATAGTACAACAATACAATAATGGATAAAAAGGGTCTCTTTTGGAATTTCGTGAGCTCACCTCTTGCTTTAAGCTACTCTTCCGAGTTTCTTTCATTGGATTGGATAGCTTCCAGTCGTCAAGCAGCTGCAGCTGCTCCATTTTCCTTCGATCACCAGAAAATACCAATCCAAAGCTCAGGACAGTGTAGTTCTTTTTTACGAATAATGATCGAAACGAAGGACTTTATGAAGGTTCAAGCACCAAAAATGAGGTAGTAGGAAACAGAGGAAAAGGGGAATTATGGAATCTAAACTGATACAAGATTTCTTATACCTGAAACTATGACTTACAGGCTATGAATATTATATAGAACAATCAAAGTTAATTCTTCCCCACATAAAAAAAGAAAGTAACTTTCTTTCACTGGCTAATTCACTTTCCATTCCATGGAACAAAAGGAGGTTGGCTTTTCTTCAATGCATGACACCTCACTCACAGGTTTGTGGGAAAGCAAAGTTCACTGACTGGGTATTATCAAGTGGTTCAATCAAAAAGATTATCGGGTAAGTCTTTCCTTTTACCTGACACCAAATTGTGTTTCAGAAGAGAATCTAAAGAATATGATATGTTGGCAAAAAATTGGTTAGTTGCTCTTGGGGGGATAAGTAATACCAGTGTAGGGCAGTCAGTGCTTATTGGAAAGCAGGGGCCTCTGGCGATGACTCATTTTCTTGACTATTCCCATGTGTGTAGAAAGCAAGTCCACCTTTGAAGCTTTTTCCGCAAATGGTTTGGCCTTTTTGGCTTCTGCATGAAAAGAAGCAAATCTGCGCCCATGAGACTGTGGGAGGCTTAAAAAAGACAGGTAGAGAACAGCCTTTTAATTTCAATAAGAGAATTGCAAAAAGGAAAAGAAATGAGACAAGAAGCAGGGAGGTAATCAGAAATCAGAATCATCTCTTGGATTATGTATGAACATCTACTTTATTAGCAGCAGAAAAAAGTGAGATTTTGTTTAAGATTTAAAATACAGTTTGAACTTCCCACTCCCTTTTGCTTCAATTTTGAATGACACTAAGGTTTGAGATCAGTAACATCATAACTACATCAGGCTCGCATGCAGCAAAAGTAAAAAATTATGACCATCATTTGGACTGTAATTTGTTCAACTGGCTACTACATTATGCTATAATTACTCTGGTTCTTAAATGGCCAATCATGATACTTCATTCCTGATATTGGGAATGAAACTGTATTCATGAATTCATGTGTAAAGGAATTAAATTCGGATCATTGGACATGAACATAAGTTGTTCGCAATTGCAAGCACTCGGATGTTGCATGTGCACAGTTGGGTTGCTCAGTCAAATGTCATGCTCATGCATGCAAAAAAGAAACCTTCACTATCATTTCACTGTTCAGTAATTTAAATGAGTGCCCCTCCAAAACCATGCAAAAAAAACAAAGGGAAGGCAGCCACTAGCATATGACTATATGCTAAAGTAATGCTAGCCAGCCAACTACAACATTCTCCATCAAATAACAGCACAAAGTAGTGAGAAGATCAAAAGGAGGCAGAGCACACATGTCTCACCAAAAGCCGAAAAAACATTCTCTCAAAAGGGCTGAAAGTTTTAGGACAAGAAAATGGTGCATGGGAGGCCCAGAGGTGGGCGCAGAAAAAAAGCCATAATCATCGAAGGAACTTTTCCTCCATCCATGCGCTAACTAACCAGCCTTCAACAAATTGTAAGTTGACAGAAGACTCAAACAGTCAATGGAAAAGGACCCCTATTTCAAGGTTGGTCAAAAGCTTCAAAATTGCCCTTTCTAGTGGGTATAATAAACGTCATGTTGAGCTTCAAAAAATGGTGGCATGAAAATTGGAAATAAACCACAGAAAAAAAGCAGCCCATATGTATAGAATGCTCCCCACTAACCTTAACCAGTAAAATCTCCATAAAGAAGCTCGTAGAATACCTTCTTCCATACCCTTTGATAAAGCAATTGCACGTTGCAGGAGGGGGGCACACCTCCCTCGTTGATTATCATTTCGCTGAGCAGCTTCTCTGCGCCCACGAGTCTCCCCGACGAGCACAGACACATCGCTGCTGGAGCACATACAGGTTGCGAGGGTTGGGGAAATGCCCTTCTCTTCTGTCGAGTTTAGGTCGGCCACAGTCAATTAAGGTTTATGATCCCCTGCTGTTTAATGCCAGTGGGTAAACTGGTCGCATCTGGCGTCGACCCCTCGGTGACGCATTCTGTCGAACACCTGATCGGCGAAAGCTAGTGCATTTCCAGTGATGTTTGCGATTGCGAACCGTCGAAACCCATTTGCCTGGCCGGCGGAAAAAAAAAACTGGTGACATCTGTATTTTAAACGATGACGGGCTTACTTGCTTGAAGGTCCAAACACCAGGCCCAATAAAATGAAAAGGCCCATAAACAAAATGACCTTTCACACAAGCTCCCCGACTAGGACGGGGATTGCATCCGATGAAGAGGAAGTAGTTCATACGTTCAAGTTTCAACAAATGGTTTAATGTAGATAACTATATAATTATACTGTAGGCATTTTCAAATAACAAACAATAAATTGTGTTGTTTTTTTATTATCTTATACACTATTCATACTCATTTACTTTCATGGTACATATACTTTAAGTAATATTATAAAGAATATGAGGCATGATAACACTCTAGTGAGACGCGTTTAGCTTGAAAATCTAAATCAGTAGAGTTGATTACGAGTTAGTTGCAAAAGTCTTCACTCAATTGGTTGGCGGAATCGATGGTGACCCTAATATATGAACTATGAAGTATCGGTCTTCACGTGTCCAACCAATTGTTTATTTAAGTGCCTAATCAAGTGCACAACCTTTTTTTAGGTTGATTACACAAAGGAAATTTTATATTTAGATTTGTTAGACGTTATAATGACATGATCAGTTCTATTTGATTTCTAGTAGAACCATATTTATTTTTGCACTAACTAACATAGTGGCCATTTTATCACCTATTTCTTTTTTTATCCCTCCCAAGTCCCAACTCAAGACAATAATACGCCACATCACTCAACTCAATAAATACAAATGCCACATTAACACTTTGACAAGCTAATTGAAAATGAACCAACTTATGAATCAAAACTACATTACCCAATCTAAATTACCCGTTATGGACTTCTTATATGCTTGAGAATCGACCTCTATTTAACTAGCATTGAAAGAGGTTCAACAACATTTTCTCTTCGTAGCTTGAGAAAGAGCACCTAACGCCGGCTGTGAGTATGAAGATATAGAAGAGAGAAGATGTTAATTTGGGTTTGAATATCAAATTCTATTTGATTTGAATTGTGATTCGATCCACATCGATTCGTTAAGAAAATAATCTTAAAGTTTCGGTACTAGTATATTTTGAACCCTCCTCATGTGTGCTTGATTAGACCGGTGAAATGAATTGAGATTTGAGTGACACAAATATTATTTTGTTAGCATAGATACCTATTTTGTTAAAAATAAAAGTAGATAGACTGTCTTGTTAGTGATCCAAAATATGTCATCATTTATGTAATCAACCCAACATTTACAGGGATCACTGACTTGGCTAAAATCATGGTTGTCACGCCAGCCGGCGTGTCACTGGTTGAACCTGTACCGGTTATAAAATCGGTATGACACCACCGGTATGACCGGTATGATCGATATACGAATCTCTAAGTAAAATGATCTTATATTAGTGAATTTATTTGATAAAAGTAATTTATTATTTATTTTATGTGTTAAAAAGTTAAATGTTGATGTTATTTGTTGGATTCAAGTACAAATATTTAGGTATTGATGTTAAATGTCGTGTTTAAATATGAGTATTTGTAAATTATTTGTAATATGAACCGGCACAAACCGGTATGTACCACCGGTCGAACCATTCCACTTGCTAAACCGGTACACTGGCACAAACCGGTTTGACAATCTTGGCTAAAATTAATTTCCCCGCCTTCTGGAGTTGAGAAACCCTATTCGCCACTTTGTCACTCTTTGCTAGTTTGCTTCACTCTTCCAAGTCCGTCGCCCAGCTAGCCTAAACCTTTCCCGCCGTCCCGTCGCCGGCTCGCCGCCCTCTCATCCTAATTTCCCGTCGCCTGGCTCGCCGCGCCTTTTACCGTCACCCCCGTCGCACTAATCGCCGCCGCTGTGTCCGAGTCGCAGCGTCAAAGCAACTGCAACAGCTCTCCTTCCCCGTACCTCAACATCCACCTCTCGACAACAACAGGTAACGTTTTAGTTCGCTTCATTTTGGGTTACGTTGGATAATTGGAGCCTTGGTTAAGGTAATTTACCGGTGCCCTGCATAGTTGAGCTGAAAACCCCATGGCCATGGCTGATTGTGTAAAGCTATGTGGCAGATCTGAAACATGGATGATAATCTATATGACGAGTTCGGGAACTACATTGGCCCAGAAATCGAGTCTGATCACGATAGTGACGAGGAAGAACAAGACGATGACCTTTCAGACAAGGCTCACGAGGACGAGGCGGCATCGGATGATGAGGAAGGAGCTCATGCTTCCAATGGATGGCTTACAGCATCTGGTGATGTTGATATGGAGAACCAGATTGTTCTTGCTGAGGACAAGAAGTATTACCCTACAGCGGAAGAGGTTTACGGTGAAGATGTGGAAACTCTGGTGATGGATGAGGACGAGCTCTCGCTCGAGCAGCCAATCATTAAACCAGTGAGGAACATCAAGTTTGAGGTTGGGGTTAAGGACTCGTCGACTTATGTGTCTAGCCAGTTTCTAGTTGGTCTGATGTCGAATCCAGCCCTAGTTCGCAATGTGGCTCTTGTGGGCCATGTGCTTCATGGGAAGACACTTTTCATGGATATGCTGGTTGAGCAAACTCATCATATATCGACATTTGATACAAAGAGTGAGAAGCATATGAGGTACACTGATACAAGAGTTGATGAGCAAGAAAGGAGAATATCCATCAAGGCAGTGCCAATGTCCTTGGTGCTCGAGGATAGCAATTCGAAATCTTACCTTTGCAATGTGATGGACACTCCTGGTCATGTCAACTTCTCTGATGAGATGACTGCTGCACTCAGGCTTGCTGATGGTGCAGTGTTGGTTGTGGATGCTGCTGAGGGAGTAATGGTGAGTAGTCTTTAGTTGAACTCTTTCTAGCTTAGCAGTAATCTTACCCTCTTGTTACTGCATATGCAATAGTGTATGGCCCTTTGTGATTTCCAATTGGCAGTGTTGATGAAGATGAAGAGTTATTGTACTGTGTAGGTAAATACAGAGAGAGCGATACGTCATGCGATCCAGGACCGCCTACCTATTGTAGTCGTCATCAATAAGGTAATTTTTCAAACTGCAATTGGTCTTCCAAGCTTTTTCAAAGTGACCTCTCCCACGCATTCTGAAGTGTTACTAATTTGACTTCTGTTTGAAAGGTGGACAGGCTGATAACAGAACTGAAGTTGCCTCCTAAGGATGCTTACCACAAGTTGAGGCATACTATAGAGGTCATAAACAACCATATCTCCGCTGTCTCTTCAACTGCAGGGAATCGCACCATTATTGATCCTACTGCTGGGAATGTTTGCTTTGCTAGTGCTACTGCTGGATGGTCGTTTACTTTGCAGTCATTTGCCAGACTGTATCTCAAACTCCATGGTATTCCATTCGACACCAATAAGTTTGCAGCTCGCCTATGGGGGGATAAGTACTATCACCCACAGTCAAGGACTTTCCAGAAGGTACCCCCGGAGGGTGGAGGAGACAGATCCTTCGTTCAGTTTATACTGGAACCTCTCTACAAACTATATAGCCAAGTGATTGGAGAACACAAGAAGAGCGTGGAAACTACTCTGGCAGAGCTTGGTGTGACTCTCCCCAATGCTGCCTATAGATTGAATGTTAGGCCCTTGCTGAGGTTGGCTTGTAGCAGGGTTTTTGGCTCAGCTTCAGGTTTCACTGATATGTTGGTTCATCACATTCCTTCTGCTAAGGATGCAGCTGCCAGGAAGGTTGATCACATATACACAGGGCCGAAAGACTCTATACTTTACAAGGCAATGAAAGAATGCGATTCCTCGGGCCCCTTGATGATCAATGTCACGAAATTGTATCCCAAGCCTGATTGCAGTGCCTTTGATGCGTTTGGTAGAGTCTATAGCGGTAAAATTATGACAGGGCAGTCTGTGAAAGTATTGGGGGAAGGTTATTCACCAGAGGATGAGGAAGACATGACAGTGAAAGAAGTTACAAAACTATGTGTGTATCAGGCACGGTATAGATTGCCTATTAGCATGGCTCCACCTGGTTCTTGGGTTCTTATTGAAGGCGTAGATGCATCCATCATGAAAACCGCTACACTGTGCAACGTTAATTATGATGATGAAGATGTGTACATTTTCCGGCCGCTACAGTTCAATACTCTTCCTGTAGTTAAGACAGCTACTGAGCCATTGAATCCAAGTGAGTTGCCAAAAATGGTGGAAGGTCTTAGGAAGATCAGCAAAAGCTATCCTCTTGCCATAACTAAAGTTGAGGAGTCTGGAGAGCACACTATACTCGGCACAGGAGAGTTATATCTGGATTCAATTATGAAAGATCTTCGGGAGCTCTATTCTGAAGTAGAAGTCAAGGTATCTATTAGGACTATCGTTTTTACTGTGCTTTCCACTTTTCCTTGTACAATCATTTTCTGACTACGCTGCTGCACTGAAAAATCATGCGTAGGTAGCAGATCCAGTGGTGTCTTTCTGCGAAACTGTTGTGGAATCTTCGTCAATGAAGTGTTTTGCCGAAACACCTAACAAGAAAAACAAAATTACTATGGTAAAATTTCTGACCCCGTTCTTTTTGGCAATATTTAACCTCATATGTTGAATCCTATTTGTTCTTTTTGTTGCCCAGATTGCTGAGCCCTTGGAGAAAGGTCTTGCAGAAAACATTGAGAATGGTGTTGTGAGCCTTGACTGGAACAGGAAAGCTATTGGTGAATTTTTTAAGGGATATGATTGGGATGTGCTTGCTGCTCGATCTATCTGGGCCTTTGGTCCTGATAAGCAGGTAAATGAAAGGCCTGATGCTCTTCCACACTTTCATCTCTTTTCCTCCAGATTATATTCTGGAATGTCACGTTGTTTAATCTTATTCGTAAAATTCCTTATTTGAACCCTTGTCCATGGTTAGCTCAAATGGCTCTATTTTCTGCAGGGACCTAACATTTTATTAGACGATACGCTTCCTACTGAAGTTGATAAGGGATTGCTTACTGCTGTTAAGGATTCTATTGTTCAAGGGTAAACCAAAATGGGTTCGCTTTCTCATTTATTTACTTTGAAACTGTTTGAGCTTCACAGCTGTAAAGAGTAAAGGATTTCAATGCTTTTTGCAGGTTTCAGTGGGGTGCACGAGAAGGACCACTTTGTGATGAGCCAATCAGGAATGTAAAATTCAAAATAGTTGATGCAAGAATCGCACCTGAACCGTTGCATCGTGGCTCGGGTCAGATTATCCCCACAGCTAGGCGTGTTGCATATTCATCATTTCTTATGGCAACTCCTAGGCTGATGGAACCTGTGTATTATGTTGAGGTACTTGATAACTATTCGCTGCCACAGTGAACCTGTTACTAACTGGGCAATGTTGTAGGAGCATTTTGTATGTTACCGTGGATAAAATAATTGTTGCAAAACAGTCTAGCTATCATTTTTTTTCTGGTAGAAGTCTAGCAACCACATTGATTTGACTGCCTAAAACACGTTTCTGGAACTGAACTTTGGTTTTGTTCTTTTTTCCGCAGATCCAAACACCAGTTGACTGCCTATCAGCAATTTATACTGTGTTGTCACGTAGACGTGGACATGTAACAGCAGATGTTCCTCAGCCTGGAACTCCAGCGTATATTGTCAAGGTTTGTCTCCTTGAATCTTAAAGGAAGTTTATGTGAACTTTAAATTGCATGTTGAACAGCCACTGGGGATGCAAAAACCCAATTCTTGGTCCCTTTTTCCTTGAAGCTAGACACTAGACAGCTTCTCTAAGTTACATCTCAAAGCAATGGTAATCTGTCTTTGCCTTGTATGTCCAAGTGGAGAATCGTTTACATTCCCAGGATCAATTTATTGCCTACTGAACAATACGTTTTGATTTTGCCTCGCATGTACTCTCATCAATGAGAGAGTAACAGCTTGTAAACTGATTTGGTGATATTGCTTGGCTCTTACTTGGTTTGAATCCATGATCTAGATTTATGTTGCTTGGAGTCGATCTTGGCTCATAAACATAATTTGATCCTAGACTCCCAAAATGTTTTGTTTACCTTTTGTTGATCTCTTTTTCCTGTGTGGAAATTGCTGCTTTTTCAGGCATTTTTACCGGTGATAGAGTCATTCGGGTTCGAGACGGACTTGAGGTACCATACACAGGGACAAGCATTCTGCCTCAGTGTGTTTGATCACTGGGCCATAGTACCTGGGGACCCGCTGGACAAGAGCATAGTTTTAAGGCCACTTGAGCCTGCCCCAATCCAACATCTTGCTCGTGAATTCATGGTCAAGACCAGGCGCCGAAAGGTATTTATCTACCTCCCATCTTGGTCCGATAATCCGATTTAGTTCATAGATAGAAAGGAACATAATCATTTTCTTCTGAATTGAATATTGAAAACAACCGTACAGGGAATGAGCGAAGATGTGAGCATCAACAAGTTCTTCGACGAGGCCATGATGGTAGAGCTGGCTCAGCAAGCTGCTGACATTCACCAGATGATGTGATCGATGACTGCCCCGGAACCGAGAAACGAAAATTCGAATCCCCAGCCCTGTTGTTGCTGCCTTTTGGTGTAGCTTAGCTGGAAATGGCATCACGTTGTAGCTGTCTATCCACCTTTGGTTCCTCTTTTGTTGTAGTTAGCTAGCTAGTTGCTTCGAACAGGAAGAGCTAAAGTGAGAGTGTTCGTCTTCGGCCACAGGAGTCTCACCACCAACATGAGATCAGAGTCTGTACAAATCTGCCTAACTGTATTACTTCTACTCCTTTAGGTTTAAAAAGGGGGTTGTTGATTTTGATTGATGATTAACAAGATGCATACATGAATTCTCCAAAGCTTTAACTCGTTGAGCGGCCCGAGTAGTTTACAGTAAATAACTGATTCAAACTGGCTGAGTGTTTCTGGTCCAACCTCCTGGTTTTATCCGGTTTAAAACTCCTCGCATTGATACCCATGAGCTATGCAAGTGATGTCTTGTTGTTGCTCTTCGATTTAGACGGTCTCATAATCAACTGTACTGAGATGCAGATACTTGATTGTACTTGATAAACAAAGTGTGTAACATGAAAATCTCCAAACATTAACCTGTTGTTGAGCGGACCGAGTGAACAATGGGTTTCATGGTCAGGTCGGAAGTGTTTGGTAATTAACCGGTTCGTCTGGTCGAGTGATCAGGCTGCAATTTTGCGGTCCAACCGTCAAAATCGATCCGGTTTAAGAACATTGAGTATTTATTAGCACCCACGAGCGACGCACGTGATCTCAGAACAGAAAGAAGGCCAGGTACAAATTACTCTTCGATTTCATCGTCCTCTTTTTCTGATTTTCTCCAACGCCTCTTTCCCGCCGTCTCTCTCTCGCTATCCGGCGAAGAGTCTCCGAACAGTCGACGACCGCAGTCGTCTCAAGACCATTCCGCCGTAAGCTCGTTTCTCGTTCCTTTTTCTTGTTCTTTTGCGAAATCCATAGATTCTAGAACCAGTCTTTTTGTCTGGGAGACTATCTGTGTTCAGCTAAGTCAGAAGATGAGTTTGATGCTCATGTGTCTCTCTGAACCTTCGGAACTATGCCTTTGTTGTTTCAGAGTTTGATTGTTTGCTTGAGAAATTACAAGGGTTTCATTTGAATAGTTGAAATTTTCATGGCACGGTGAGCATCCATAGTTAAAAGTTTTGTAATGTTATGGCAACAGCTGAATTATGATCTCCTCTGCTCAATTTAGTAGACCCAAGGAAGAGCTGGGGAAATGCTATTATCAACATCCCTGCGTTTACTCTATCCTGCTATCTCATTTAGTTCACTACTTAAGCTCAAGTCTTCAACTCCAAGGTGTTTTCGTCTTCAAGAACCAATGGTCGGTTCAGGTTTGTGTGCACATATGTTTTCTTTGGTTGGGAAGAAATCTGGGAAAAGTCCGTACCTTTGAAGTTACGCCTATGTCGATCTCCAGAGGTTTAAAGAAAGTTGAATTTCAGTCTCATCAATGCCGCAGTACTCTTGAGTTTTATAATTTGGAAAATTCTATTAGAGAAACTTGATCCTGATCATGGATTTTTCGTTTCTCAAAACTAAAACTCATTATTTTTTTCTCTCAGGTTCGGCTATGGATACTTCAAGTTGCACGTTGGTGCTGTGTGGGAAGTCGTCGGTGGAGAATGAAATTGCTGAGTCTCTGAAGAAGAATGATACTATTAAGCTTTCTGAAAACAGTGACTTGTCTGTGTTCATGAAATCAGAAGTTGATAAATTGTATAAACAGGAGGAGAAATCTTTCGATCTGGAACTTTACATGAATTGCCTTTCAACACTGCGATTCGGGAGACTTTTAATTTGGTCCCCCCTAATAACTTCCACTCATGATGTTGTTTCCAGGTAAGTTAACCTCCAAAACTTTTATATTTATGTGCTTCTTGAGAGTGTCAAGAAGATCCTTGATTTGGTTTAGCTTTTGGCAGCAATTTTAGTGATCTTCCGATTGGCACAGTTTGTGTCGCTGACAGACAATATAAAGGACGAGGTAGGGGTTCATTTTTTGCAATTATAGTTCCATCACTCTATTGAAATGATTTGATGCGCCCCATCATTAAGCCAACAAAATTTTGTAGGTCGATCAAAGAATGTTTGGGAATCTCCTGTTGGTTGCTTACTGTTTTCATTCACGGTTCAGATGGAGGATGGGCGAGCAGTTCCTTTGCTGCAGTATGTCGTTTCACTTGCTGTTACAGAGGCAATAAAGGAAGTTTGTGAGAAGAATGTAATTTATCTTTCTTAAAGATGAAATTGTCTGTTCGAGTTTTTGTCAAACTTTTAAGTGATTCTCCTATGAGTTCGATTCTGGAGATAAAAACAATTATGGAAATGTAGTTTTTCATCCCCCTATTTGGAGATTTAATGTTGACATCACTTATTTGAGAACTGATTGTTTCAGGGATTACCTTATATTGACGCTCGAATAAAATGGCCAAATGATATTTACTTGAATGGCCTCAAGGTTGGAGGTATTTTATGCACTTCGACCTACAGATCGAAGAAGTTCAATATTAGTGCTGGTAAGGGCTTGCAATTTGTTCATATTGAAGTTATTTTCTTGTAGGATCTGGATGGTAATTATCTCTTTTGTCAATGTTGCAGGCATTGGTTTGAATGTTGATAATGACAAACCGACTACATGCTTGAATGCCTTCCTAAGAGATATGTCCCCTGCAGCTTGCTGCTTAACCAGAGAGGAAATTGTGGCTTCATTTTTCAATAAATTCGAAAAGCTTTATGACTTGTTTATAAACCAAGGTGAATATCCTTTCAAATAGAACAAAAAATAACGGCGAAGAAGTTGCATGTTGAATTTATCTTTCTATTTTTTTTTATCTCAAAATTAAGAAGGTTGGAAGTAAGCAGAAGTGATCTCTTGTGTCTACTTTTTCCATTAAATTTTAGAATCAGAAGACTTTCGTCCAGAGCTTATGTTGTGTCTTTTCTTTTGAATTCCTGCGGTTTTCTAGATTTATCGACTTTTATATACTTATTCATTACATTGATCCACAGGATTTGGACCTCTGGAGGAACTCTACTGTGGAACTTGGCTGCACAGGTCAGTTTATCTCCTAAGCCCAAATTTTCTTTTGACCTGAGCAAATTGAGGAGTCTTTAGTACATCGATGTTGTATTCATATAACAGGGAAAGAAAGAACCTCTAAAGTCCACAGATAAAAAAAGGTTTATTTAATGGTGGTTGAATTGAGGCTACTACATCTGTATATTGCTTCGTTGTAAGCTTCAACGTTGATCTCAAACAGTTTTATGTATATGATAATTGAACGTTGATATCATATTTTTATTATTATCGTTTTTAGTGGGCAAAGAGTAATCATTCAAGAAAACAATAAGGATCAAGTTATGGTGAGTGTGGTAACTGTTCAGGTACGATTAACTGAAACGGGTCTTTCGATAGGTTGCAGTTTTTTTCAAGAATGTAGAACATGCATGATGAAACCTGATGTTCTGAAAAGATTAATTTCTTCTGTCCACAGGGTTTGACGTCTTCGGGGTATTTGTTGGCTATGGGTGACGACAATCACATGTATGAGCTTCATCCTGATGGAAATAGGTAAACCGTGGGGCAGTTGCTCCCGTTGCTTGCTCTATAAATTATATGAAAATGAATAACCGTCTGACCTTTTTGCTACTGTGGGTGGCAGTTTTGACTTCTTCAAAGGATTAATCAGACGGAAACTTCAATGAAAGATGCATGCAGCCAAGGAAAGTTGGAGGTTTTTCTATGCCAACAGACAAACAGTTTCATGATGGTATATTGTTGTATCCTTTGAGCAGCTATTCTGGCATGATCTGTACCTTTAAAGCTAGAGGCAATCCTAAAGTCCAAAGGTTTCCGAGTCGAGACAAGTTTTGGCCAATAGTTCTGTTTGATTTTGTGGTTATGCTGCTGCGTACGTGAAATGGTACATCTCTTGAGGATGCATGGTAAGTCAGGATCTTTGTGTTGCATCTTTTGTCAAATATATAGGACACCTTATACACTGTTAGCTCCAAATCCTGCAACGAACCTGATCATGCCCCATTACGCCAAGTATCTGTGATTGACTGAATCAAAGACGGCAAACTGATGTGCTGTATATAGAATTATAGATACACTTATGTTCTTCCTCTTGTAGTGTTGAATGCTGCTATATCGCCCCTAATCTTCAATTCCGGAAGGCTTCTCTGAATTCTCCTTATCACCAACACGAAAGTAGAACGATTTGAGCTTCAGAGCAAAAACTTCGGCTAGTTCAATTTATGACGGTGACATTTGGATTTTGGGGTACATCTTTAATCCAGATACTTTTAGTAAATGTCTTGATGTTCCGCAACTGAGTAGCTTGAGGTGGTACTTAGAGAAAGGATAACTGTTTTCAGATTGGATTTGTGCAACTTGAGTCTCTAGAGATCCATGGACATTATGCGCTGCCATTGCTCCTGCCATATTGTGGATGCCAGTTGCGGTACACATGGCTGATACGACCCTGGCAGCAGCCATGTATTGCATTACGCCGTCAAATAGTTCTGTACCAGCTGAATGTCCACAAAGTGCCTCTCCCTGAAGGTCGAAGCTAATGGCACGGACCACGGTCGACTCAAATAGAAGAGATATGAACTTGTCCACGTGTTTCTGGAAATCGGACTTATTACTGAAGCTGGAGTTCCTGCTGAAGTTGACCGGGACGGGGATATCTTTCCATAAGCATCTCCACCTTCTCGACAGAATGCTGGTTTGGACGACAGATCCAGTGTCGAGGAAGGACAGAATGTGATGCAGAATGTTGTTTGAAAGAATGCTCACTCTGTCTATCGCTCTAATGCTGATGTTATTAACACTGATTGTTTCGGATTTTGCCAAGTACTTTGATGAAGCCATAGCAGCTCTTCAAACGAATATTTCTCGTTTTGATGCACACAGAAAGCTATGTATATGCTTGTTCTGAAAGTTTGGCTTAGGTGGCCTTGTTATCTCCTGGTCATTTGAGGTGCTTGCCAGTTGCCACCAGCAATAGCTGATCGAATTCATTCTCCGCTACAGCGCATCACTGCACTGCATCTTGCTGCTCCTTCAGTAGAAAGACTGGGAAAATGCGAACTCAAATCTCAACAGAGCAGATACATCATACATACCAGTTTCGTTATCGCAACTCCCACTGTCATTAATGGGAACAAACTGAATTCACTTCTTCGTATAAATATAGATTACTGCCACACCTAACCAACAAATGAAGTTATCTTATGCTTGATTGAAACAAACCCTCGAGGAAACAGCCTCTCAAGTTGAGAATTTACACATCTACTACAACTACTAAACAGGGCCCGATTCAAAAGGCTATATACACATATTTTTTCACCGTCATAAATAAATAAAATAAGCACAGATGTTTCTGACAGGCCAGCATACCCAGACTAACAGCAAAACGCCAGCCCCCTCCCCCAAAATGACGAGAAAAAAGATTTAAGTAACTGAGTAGTCTAGCACAGGCACCTTCAATGCCTGCTTTTTTCACTTATATCCCCATTAACATATGACTACTAGATCCATCCATGGTCAAAAAAATATGGGCGTTTCAGTTAATTCTGTACAACCTGCATTTTCTATAAGAGACATCCTTCTTTCAAGAAAAGCTAGCTGAATATCAGTTCCTGTCTATCACCTCTGCTGGCATATTTAGATCAAAGAACCCACTGACCTCCTTCCTCGTCCGCTTGCTCAAAGAGCACTCGTTGATGTTGTCATTCGACGAACTCCCAGACCCTGATGGTCGGTCCCGTTTTAAAATTGTCGTCCCACCTGCAGTACCCACCCACTCACCCACATCAGCTCTCTTAACTGTATCCACACATATGTCCGAGTATAATGCTAAGCTTCTTTTTTACCATCATGCTACAACATGCAACTGCCCAACATTAAATTTTCTACAGGCAGCCTTCGCTCACAGGAGCAACACATGCAGTTAGATAGCAACGATTAAGCAAGTTTACAACAAGGACAATACATACATACATACCGTACAAAAGGTACGACAGTGCATTTAGTCATGAATGAGAACCCAGGAAGCAACATTATCAGGGAGGGGCAGCATCACAAGGAAAGTAGGAAAACTCTCTAAGAAAGTGTTGGAACAATCGTGGAGAAAATGGGGTTAAAAAGAATATTAGATACCAAACTTGTTCCCCTCGACAACGAACAGGCACCTAATAGTCCGCTTTTGACTAATTATTACCATGATCCAGCTAAAAATGCAGTACTCAACAGCCCTTAAAAACAACTTGTAGCTAGTTTATCCCTTTAAACTGGTTACTTACACTACAACTTAACAATTGGCCATTTGACTTTTCAGATTTGATAAAAACTTCATGTTGGATACTATCCATGTACAATATTGATGCATATTGAACCGGATAAAAAAAGGTGGAAAAAATGTAAAAATTGCTACCTGACATTGATGAATATTGAAGTGCATATAATGTTTGCATCAGAAGGGTGGAAGTAACAAGTAGAACAAAACTGGACAGGGACTACTTTGTTAGGGGGGAAATTACATTAGGGTAACCAGCTAGATGAGAAGGATGGATTGGTTACTATTTCAAGTTTAGCTATAATTAAAAAGTACTCATGAGCTAGACATAAAATGGTAACATACTAATTTGAAGGTAAGAGGACAAGTTTGGAACCAATACTTTTTTACTCCCAGAATGTTCGGAATTCATATCTGTTCAAAATTTTGAATCAAAATTACCACTTGATATGTCATCGGATGGTAAGTAATTGCTAGCATCACTGGCTTTATTGCTCCAACACGTGGAAAGTTCTGATGCTTTCTCAATGCCCTTTGACTTGTATGGGGCTATATTATGAGTACCCCGCTGAAGAGAACCCAACAAATCATTCTCAATGCACTCATACCTGCAGAAAAAGGGGGGAAAATAATCATTAAGGACTTGCAATGCCTACAGAGTTCTCACACCGTCGATATTTTACTTACTCAATTAAGCTACAGCTCACAAACTCACATTTTGTTGCAGAGGTTATCTGTTACAACAGATAGATTGATGACATGCATCCTCATCTCCATTATTTTATCATCACTGTACTGGTCAAAGGGCTCCTCAAGGACCTTAGAGAGTTTCTCGACATTTGCTTCAAGCTGTTGCTGCTGATCTTCAAATAGATTCTGTTTTATCTCCCTTTCCTCCTTTGTCATCTCTTCATCAAACAATTCATCCCCAAACATATAAAACGCAAAAGGGTATGAGTAAGAAAGGACACGCCTTGATCTGAAAAGTCTGTTTAGACCGTTTATAACCCAGCTGAAGTCTCGCAATGCTGATTCCCTCTGCTCGGATATCGTCACCCTCCCTTTGATGGTCTCCTCTAGATTATTTTCAAGTTTAAATGAGTCAGTATGAGCTTTGTATCGATTGTGATAGTGCATGTAGCGATAGAGATCCCGTTTAGCACGTTCAGTCTTTTTCTCCGCATCCTCTTTATAACGACCACAACTGTGACCAGCTATACTAGACCATGTATGGTCTCTCCCAGTAGCTCCACCACAGAGCCAGCTGTACCAAAAAAGAAGCAACAGAACTAAGTCAGTCAACTTAATCAACATGGATATGGAAGATAAAGTAAAGAAATCTGCTGGCAGCATTCAGTCACATCAATAAAGACACCCAGTTACTACAGATCTGAAAAAGCTCGTCCTCGATAGAGGTACAGTAGTAGTCCTTAACAGTTTCCATAGTCATGCATTCTTTGGAGAAAAAAACATACAAAAAAGGCAAGCTGAGGAAACAGAATTCTCACCAAAACGCTTGGCCACAGACACAGGCTACAAGATTGCAACCACCATTTTTCTCAACTGGTTTGTGACACTTTGGACAAGGCTTGGTATGAACTGTGATCCAATTAACCGTTTCAGATTCATCCCGGCACTTCTTAATCCAAAGCTCCCACATCAGACACGAACAAGGCGAGTGTGTTGATGACAAGCAACTGAAACAAAACTGTAACCCACAGGAGCATTGTACCTCACAAACCTCATCTTCCTCGACTCTAATAGCATTCCCGCAATGGGGAGCACTAGGGCACCATTTCACCATTTTATTATCCTCAATATATGACTCTAAAAGAAACCGCTCAAATTTCTCTGCCAAGTCAGGATGCCTTTTGCTGACCAGATTTCTAACAACAGCTTCATCACATATAGCGTGGCATTTGTGTGCCATGCACCGGATACGCCTGCTCTGACCTTCGTTTATTTTTACAATAAAATGTCCGGTCCAACCTTCAGGAAAAAAGGGAAAACAGTAAGAAGAAGAAATAATGCCTTGCATTATATTGAAGGAAGGCATCATTCCTGAGAGATCAAGAGTAACGATCTCTAACAAAACCTTTCAAAGCTTTATAAACTGGATATTGTAATGAAAGTATCAATTTTAAAATATACTACAAAAAGTTTGCAGTTTGCATTTATGATTTGAAAGTAAGAAATGAATAGCGAGTCTCCTTTATCAGACTAGCAACTTAACCCGACCCTCATGATATGTTAAGGAGATGCAAAGCAAAGAGACACGAGAATGAATCAGTACTCACAATCGTTACAAAAGCAATGACCGCAGTCCATTCTTGTGGCGTTATCAGCAGGCACGTCCTCCATACATATTTCACAACTCACTGAAGAAGATGAACACCGACGGATGTTGCTATTTAAATGGTCATCCACCATAACACCAGCATTCGAGTACAAGTACGCTTTCCCCTTTTCCACCAGCACAGAAAGCAACTTTTCCACATCCCAACGGTAGTAGATCAATAGAGTCCGGGCATGGTGTTCTCTAAGTGATAGCAACTCCATTACTCTCCGCAGATCCTCCCTCTGAAATTCATGACAAAAGAAAAAGAACAAAAAAACCAAACTTTAAATGCAGGATGAGCGAAACAAAAAGGATGGAACATTCCCAACAGTTTCACTTGAGAAGTGAGTCAAGAGTTCCATACCTGAGCATCGAAAAGTGACTCTTTTGTAATCACCTGCAATATACCCAGAACAGAGTCATACTCATATAGCAGTTCTATTAAACAGTAGCAATCAAACATAGAGCTGACTGGAAAAGTACAGTTACAGACCAGAATTGCGAAACCCAGGAAAAAGAACAAAGCTTTCAACTAAACCCAACCCGCGGAATTTCGTCACAATCGAAGGAACTCCCAATTGGAAATAAAACAAACCCTAACAACAGAAAACAAAAAACTCAAAAAGAAGCTACCTTGGTCGTGGAATCCTTGCGCGCTGACCCTAGGACATCGGAATCCTCATTCTCGATGCCATCCATTGGCTCCTCCTGATCGTCATCATAGTAGCAGTACTCGTCGTCGCTCCCGCCGTAATCCTCCATCGTGGAAACAGTGATTGATTAAGAAGCTATAACGCAACAAAATAGATATCCCCTGGCGATTCCTGTTTCCGGACCCAAATAGGATTGCGGAAACAAATTGGCTGTTTCCGATGTATCAATCTCAATTCAACGACGATCGGAGGCGGATCCCCGGTCGGATCGAGGTGGCCGGCGCCGGGAGAGAAAGGGGCTTATCGAGGGGAGCTCCTCGTCAATAATTTCGTATCTGGTCGTTTTTAGGAAAGGGAAGAGGGAGAGAGAGTCCTTGTAGTAGTGGGAGAACGCCGTCTAGTTTTAAACTCCCCACGTCCCCAACACAAACAACAAAGAGGCAAGACAAGAAGCAAGTGAATGGGAAAACTCAAATTAATGCTCATACTCTTTACGTTGCCCTCATTTGGACCCTCAATTTCCAAACTCGATTAAGTCAGTCCTTTATTAGTGTGCAAGACATGGTCATTTCAGTTCATTTATTCTTAGAATTGTCAGAGATAACTTGATTCTATAGGCCAAACAGTGACAGCCATGAGCGAAACGATTAGAGGAACGATGCCATCAAAGACTCTAAACAACATGTACAAGAAATAGAGAAGGTTGAATGAGCATAACAAATTCTTGAACATAGTGAACAGACTGGAAAGAGAAGAAACGTCGTCGACTGAGGTTTGATGTGATCATGGATGATTGCATTGACGAATTTCCAGGCTATCGACATTATGCAAGTACACAGCAGTATCTAGTAGGGGACGAACGTGTACATTTCATGAGAGAATTCAATGGTATAAATATGAAAGAATTCACTAGTACAAGAAATGGACAGTCAAACTCAAAACAGTACACAGAATCAGTCCGATGGATCGTCGCCAATACTGTTGCGGAAAATATAGTCTTCTCCCTCCAGTTCTTCTTGAAGTAGACAAATGGAGGGCACCTCCATCTTCTTGCCAGATTCTTCATCCTCCAACGATCTTTTACCCTGTAGAATAAGCCGTCATTTTAGAACGTATCAGGATTCGTCATCAAATGATCATACACTTGAGGAACCAAATCTCACTGGGGTCTTTATCAGATGACAGAATGAGACACAAAAGACAGAAACATTATTGTGGCCACTCAGGAGCTTTACCTTCCTCATGATGTAGAAGAAATAATGGAACCCATCCCCGAAAGTGCTATACTCAAAAGACCATGTCAATCCTGGAGAATGAAACAAAGGCCGCCTGAAATGTGGCTGCAAAAGACGTAATCTGTCAAGTTAGTCAACCAGCACCTTTAGATAGCCATAGCTGGTGTTTCTGAATAAGCAATTCTTAAAATCTCACCTGGCCGAAAGCTATTGATATGAAGATCCCATCTGGTTTGAGAACCCTGTGCACGCCTTCAAGCATTGTCCTGACCTTGTTTACAGACTCAGGCTTCGGATTCCACGGATCACCACTGTTGACGAACAACACATCCTTCAAAAATGAACCATTGACAAAAGGCAGCAGGGAAATAATGAAGCTTCAATCATGTAAAAACACTATCACAATGAAATTCCATTCTCGCGTATAAGAGGAAGATGGTCTAGATAGATGGCAAGCATATATACCATGGTCCCTTTCTCGATAACCACTTCAAACGACTCATCCCCAAATGGAAGATCTAGCATGTCAGCTTGCATCACTTTAATTTCTGATGATAAAAGAGGAGGAAAAGAAAAACTAAAGAGATCCATGAGAATCTTGAAAATGCACATCCCAACTGGCAAAATCGATTAAGCAGGGACACCGAGACACCCTACACCGCATTGTAGCAGGATTAATGCATCCTGTAATTGCACTCCATACTTACTACGAATCGATCTGAAAAATGCATTGGTTGCAAAATCATGACCTTCGTCAACATGACGAGCTCTCAAACAGGTATATTATTGATTGCAAAATCATGACCTTCTGTTCTTTCTCGTTTTATGATCAATATTATTGATCATCGAATGAAATAGAATTGAATCTGTCTCATTCGCTTCCCTAATAGCTATCGATAGAGGGGGGTGGAGGAAGGAAAGATGATGAAAGGGTACCTTTATATCCCTTGGAAAGTAACCGCCTTTGCATTCTGTCAACAGCCACAGGGGACAAATCAGTGCAGGTTAGGTCCTTAATCCCATCCCTGTACATTTCATCAGACAGCTGCGAGTTCCCACAACCAAGCTCCAGAACCTATGCAAATAACACAATAGCAATCCATAAACAACAAAGGAACACACCTCCAAAATTCATGAATGAACATCTAAGCAAACAAAACCCTAGTGAGAGCGGGAGGAAGGATTTGTACAGAGGAGTTGGGAGGGATGTGGGCAAGAATGAGATGGCGGAAATGAGAATAATCTTTGAGCCACTCGTAGTGTTCTTCACTGGAGAATCTATCATCCCTACGAAACAAACAATGGGCAACACGATAAATTTGAAGTTGCACTGTAGGGCGGGGAGATAGATATGGAGGGAAGAAAGAAAGAAGGGTTTGCAAGTTGGTAACCAACCAGTAGTGAGGTTCCAAGTAACCAAGCGCGGTAGAAGGAGCAACTTCCCGCTGCTTATCGCTGCCATTCTCCTTCTTGGTTTCATCCATGGTTTCCCTCTTCTTGCTGATTATTGTGTTTCTTTCTTCCTCTTTGTGGCTTCAACCCTAAACCAGTAAACCCAGTGTGCTCCCGAGTTGAGGGGAATAGGAAAGAAAACAAACGGAGAAAACGAACAGACGGCGTGGTTTGGATTTGGAAGGAGGGAACTGCAGCTGGGCCTCTCTGTTCCTTGGGCCCTTATGCCTTCAAAAGTTTTGGGCTATCATTCTAATCACGGCCCAAAACGTTGTTCTTACTTTGACCATCCACAATGTGGATGGGTTAAGGGGGAACGGGACGGGACTGGATACCCGTCCCGTTTGAAATGGGTACCCGGTTCCGTTTAGAGAGCAAAATCCTTTCCATATCCCAAACCCATAAGGATTAACGGGTACTCGTTACTTATACGGGACGGATAACGGGTATCCAAACTACCTGTACATACCCGTCCAATAATTGAGAATGACAAAGTTCTATAGATACAACAACAAAAGTAGAGGGTGTTAACCAGCTAAGGGAAATGCTGAATAAACTGGCAACAACTCAGATGAAGAGCTATTAGCTCATATAAGAAACGAAGTCAACATGGATTGCTTCTTTTGGTTCTCTATATTACTAAAAGAACTAATAATCTACATCTATCTACACAATAAATAAAACTCAAATGAGAAAACTTGAAGCCCCCTTTGAAATTTCTTGCATCCAGAGTGAAAGTAGGAAGTACATTTTTGTCTTCACAATTACTTTTATTTATTTATTAAAAAGATACTTACTAGGATTCGACCCATCACCTCTTTAAAGAAAAACAAAGATCATAACAAATCACACTACGTACATTTGTTGTATCTTGTTAAATTAAAAACATATAGTCGCAGAGAGGAAAAAACTCATCCCCCATTTCAAATTCTCTGCTCCATGAGCGTTTGTAGGAAAGGTAAAATAAGGAGTGTCAACTTTTTTTCTTTTTCCTCTGTGGAACGGACCAACTTACCGTACACATGCGGATTTAAACGGGTCCACGAGTGTCAATTTTTTTCTTTAAGTCCTTTTATTTCTCCGTGGTGGTAAAATATATATGAAAAGGCAAAAACAATACTCTTTTTTATGGGTTTGCCATTCTAAAACAAACTATTTTTTCTAGCATAATATATATTATGCTATTATTTTATATCTTAGTGGCTAAAATATAATGTATTTTAAAGTTATTCAATGGTTCAACCTCGTCCAACCCAATTAGTCCAATTTTTATTATTTCAAATATATATTATATAATTATTTGATATCTTAATGATTAAATTATAGTGTATATTATTGGGAATCGTTTGGTATTTGTTAGTAAAAAACTAAACAGAAAGATCTATTTGGTTATTTTTAACATTAAAACGATCCTAAACATTTTCAGTTTCCTTTCGAAATTATATAGTTTTATTCCTGAATCAGTGATGTGCAAATGGCGAATTGCAGTCATCTCTTTTCTTTCATTATTTTTTATTTTCAAATAGAAAGTTTAAAAGTAAAGAATAATTAGAGTTTGGCATGGGTCGGTCAAACATGCTGAATTTCAAATTTTGGCTCGTTTTGATCAAGTCTAATTTATAATCACATGGTTCCCTGATACCCGATAAAAATCTCAATCCAAACCAGTTTGGTAGGTGAGTCCGTGTTTACCACCATTTTCTAGGGATACATGAACGGTGGTTCCTATCCCAAATCGTGTTGTTCATTCTTGATTTCTTTAGACTTTATCATGGTTTGGCAAAAAACCAGAAAGCACAATGATGACAAGATGAAAGTTTTATAAAGCAAATTAATCGGCCAACCGGCCGAGTAAAAGCTAGCAAAGATTGTGAGATGCTCATTTCCCGAAAATCGGCGAGATATGCGATTTTTTATTAGATTTTCTGGAGTTCGGTTTCTATAAAACTTACTCCACCTCATCATATTACCAGAAATAATATTGTTTCACAAGGTAACAGGTACTGCATTTTGGTTCATAAGGCTGATTTTTGATTCGTTGTATCATTCATGTCTCTTTCCTACTAAAATTCACTATTTTATCACGTGTTTCAAAAAAAAAAAACTATACAACAATAAGCTACATTATCAAATTCATACCTCACCTTCTTCCGGCCAAATGGCCGAGGCCCACGCTAGTACGTTTTAAAAACTTTCCCTTTGACCATTTGAAAATCCCAGCCCCGGGAGCGTTTCCGAAAGGGCATTTCAGGAAGCTCACACCCCCTCCCCTAAACGCAGTTCAACCCTTCTCTCAAACTAGCTTTTTACCCGCCCGTTGGGCGGCACATTTGTATTGGTGTTTATTTTTCCGTTCTATTATTTTGTTATAATTTATGTATGTTAAAATAGTATACTTTGAATTGTTAATCTTACTTGATTTTAGGTATTGTTACACACTTTTATATCTTTTGTTTATTTATGAAATTTTGATTTTATTAAATGAGCTCTGGGTAGACCTTTCTTTATTTATGTATAAATTGGTATCGAACCCACAATTTAGAATATAAACATAGATACTATTAGTTTCTTAGCACACAATAGTGACAAAGAAGTTTTAAAAAATTAATTAAGCAAATATGTTTCAATTAATAAAAAATCAAAGAGCTTTTTATTTCTTCTCCCTTCTTGTATGTTGGTATATGATAATACATAATATCACGCTCTAAATCCCACGAACATCGTGCACTATTAGTTACTTGTGCAATTTTGGAAGAATGAGGAAACACATTAGGATCACACATCATCAATCTTCTGCTTATTCATTTAATTTATCTTCTAAACGTTCTAGCAAAACCAACCAAAAATAGAACTATCAATTGTCACTAATTTATCAGTCCAAAAAGGAAGCATTCGGACATCATCAAAAGGGCTATACGATTCATTACGGGATTCCAACAACTGGATAGCCTTATTTTCTTGAAAGCATGGAAATCGAAGCTCGACCGATAGGGAGAGGAGAGAATTGACTCGACCAACGGGGAGAGGGGGGAATATCATTAAAAAAATATTTATCAACATACTAAACTGCCTATAAACACAATTTATATTTGTAGGGAGCTGTATACCCCCTTCAAAAAAAAATGGTGTATTTTTTTACCTAATAACAACATAGACATATTGTAAAAGCTGCATACTTCAATAAAACTCAACTCATTGTATCTTGTAAAATCTTCATTCATAAACACGATTGATGCATCAATCCAAATAGTTGTTGTCAAGAAAACGATCATGCCAAAATCAAGTTTTAGTTTGGGATTCAATTAGGCAAAAATTCACGCTAAGGAAACAAACCAATGTCATTGCAAACGTATAGAAATTGAAAGAACGTCAACCTAGACAACTTAGAGACTACCACCACCATTTTCTTTCTTCTTCACACCTTTATAAAACCTCACATGTGTTCCCTTCTACTTATAACCTCCTGCTACGTTTTACTTACTGACCAGATCATAATCATATAGCTAGTAGCATGTCACTCATGAACATAATAAACAATCCTAACAACTCTACTTTCCATTTTATTTTATCATCCATGGAATTGGGATGCAATCGGAAAGTAAAATTATCAATTATTCAACCAAAGGAGAGATACTCTAAGTCCAAGTAATAAACCATTCCAATTGTCTATTACATGTTTACATAAAAGTATACAACATAGAGAACCATAAAACAACTACCTGAAAAATGAAGAGAAATACCTTCGTTGATTTGATCAGAGAAATTTACCATCCAGTCGTTGTAATCTGAAAGAAATTAAGAAACAAATGGAAAGAAGAGTTTAATATGGTCAGTCAACGTAAACAACCACATATCTCTAGGAAAAAGAGACCGGTTGTCAACTACAGTTCAAGGGTGAAGAGGGAGCAATGACGAATCATCGACTTCATTCAATTCGTCTTCGCAATGATAGGATGAACTTTTTAGTCAATAGTTAAACATATGTTATAGTTGCTCAATTGTTTCCCATCTAATCATTATCTCATGTAACTCCACCCTCATATTTTCTTATATAGAGTGAAAACTCATTATGCCTTACTATTTCCTTTCTTGTATCTTTTTGAAAAAAGTAGAGAAAAGAAATGCTAGAAATCTTAAGATTTTGAGCAAATAAGAAGAGAGGTTTGTTTGTTTTCATGGGACTTGATCCAATTTTTTTATTTTCAATGCTACACTTTATTTTTATAGAGAGAATTTGTATGAAAAAAGAGATAGGAACAAACCAAAAGGTTGCATTCCATGTTATTAACTTAATTTACGTTTTATTTATAATTATAATGATGACAGTTTAAAGAGTTAACAAAAAAGTATATAAGCAAGAATTAGAACTTGTCCACTGTGGAAGGGTGAGAGGTAGCTATGTGGCACTAATTTAGTTTTAAATTCCAATAATATTAAGTAATGATGATTTATAAATTTTGAATTTTTTTATAACTTTAATTATTCATACAAATATTGTGACATTTCACATACATTTGAATTCTTGGATGTATTGTACACAAATTTATTGTAAATACAAATTGCTTACTGTTACAAAAAGGAAAAATCCTATTTGATACTTTGATATTGAAAATGTTTTTATTATTGCCAAAAGTTAGCATGGAGTCAGACTCACACCATATAACCAAATGACTTATTACAATTGCGTTATTAAACTCATCCTTATTAGAGATTCTTCATTTTAACCAAATACCTTGATGTAGATGCTTGTAACTATAAAAGTTTTTTGTTTAGATATCTCAACTAACACACAAATATTTATTTATCGTCTTAATCTTCAAATTTTAATTTGTCTAAAAGACATTCAACTATTAAATGAAAATTGTCAATCCTTATTTGATCAATGCATAGGTCAGTGATTGATGAAACTTGATGTTTATCGTATATTCTCAACAAAGATTCCTTTAACATTCACATGTGTCATTTTTTAAGGTATATTGTGTCTCGTCTTAAGGTATGAAGTCAAAGTTCGTCAAAACTCATACTTAAGTCATTTTGAAATTTTTGATGTATAACACTCGACAATAACTCTAAATCTGAAAAGAAATTTTATTAGCATACTATTTATGACCTCAATTGAGCTTGCTCAACCAAAATCATCTAAATCAAATGTGAACTTAACCCAAATTATAAAATATTGCACGTGTGATACTCTTCATTGAGAAATTTCAGATAGAACATGAATATATGTTTTCACTTAATCGGGATGAATAGAAATGCTTTTAAGAAATAACTATTATTACTCGATCAAGTTATATTCTGTCAATCATTTTATTATATGAAATAATTATTTATATAATAATTATTTTAACCGGTAGACATATATATTATAAAAGAAGAGAAGGTTTAATATTTAAATTCAAATGTTTCATTTTTCAAAGTCGATTGATTGTCAAACGCTTGATTTGTCTCTTTGTGTTGTTATATTTTATTTAAAAGACAAAGATATTATTATTTATGTGTCCTTGTTTAAAATTTTCAACAAAATGTAACTAAATATTAAATTTTGGTTAAAATGATTAGATAATTTTCTTGATAATATTTAATCATATATTTTTTGTATAAACAAACCCGATATATGTCATTCCTTGTTTCCATCTTTATATTTTGTTTTATTGTCAACATATATTATTATTTATGCTTGTTTTTATTTACATTCTCAATGTAACTTATTATTAATGTTGAGTAAAAGTGAGCATAAATACTAAAAGAAGAGAGAGAGATAGCTTCATAAATAGATCAATAATATTTTTTTTGTTAGTAAAAAAAATATCCACCTAAGCAGATTGTTATTTCTCCAATTGCTTATGTGGCAAGAAGTTACTTTTGAATTGCCATAATATATAGTATAGATTCAATTCACACGACTTCCCCCACCAGCGACCCCGGCCCCTGCCCTGCCTCCGCCACGACACCCCGAACTCCGTCGTCCCTTCAATTCCTTTCATCATCCGTGCTCGAAATAGCGCCCTCCCTCGCCGATCAATGTCCCTATCGCAGCCTTGGCTTCGGTTTCCTGTCCCCCATTAGACCTTGGCTATTTGACCCGCATTGTGGTTCCGCTGCCGACCTTCCGTAATTGAAGACTAAGGGCTCACCTCTGCAATACTTCACTTCTGCTGCATAGGTCACAATTTCACCGTCCAACGCCTGCCAGCCTTGCCACAACAGGTTCCCTCAATTGCCCACACTTTTCTCTTATAGTGAATGGTTTTTCCTCCAATTCCCAAATCCATCTTCTTCCCTGCTTCCCAATTGATGTTCCAACTACAGTTATTGCTCTTTGTTGTTGAACCCCTTACAGGTAAGTGAGGGCCTTCCAACGTCTAATCCCCCTTTTTTTTTTTATCTCAAAGGCTTTCTATTACCTCACCTAGGGGAGTGAGTGTTGCCCAGCACTGGTGACATATTAGATGTTTTCCTTAACTCTGTTCTGCCATATAAATATGATGGTTCGTCGTTGTAACACCCCTGCTGCTTCCTCCTCACAAGCTACTGCAACGAACAGACGACGCTTCTCTGGTCAATGTAGGTGAAGTTGGTTTGATGTCTATAGTGATTTCCTAAAGATTAGAAGATGAGAAAATGATTGCCTAAAGAATAAAATTGCTTATTGGACTGCAAGCAACATATTTTTGATTGAACGTAGACACAAAAGTATAAATCAGAGAGGAAGTGTCAAGTTCCCTTGAGATAGTAAGTATCAAGATCTTGGATTAGTGTCCTTGATTACCTGATTTCACGTCAATTTAGAGATGAGGCAAAAGATGAATGTTGCCTCAATAGCTCAGACACCTTAATAAAGAAACAAAGAAGCTAGGCAGAACCAACAACTGTTTAGTAAGACAAACTACTCCAAACAAACTAAGCAAAATAGGCAAATATAATGAAGATGCATGGGGTAAAACATAAACATCAAACAAGAAGAAAGGGCTCAATAGAGCTGCTGCTTCCGGTACTCGTGCAGGTGTGTGTCACTTTCGTTCTCTTTGGCATTTTGATTTTTTCGACAGCCTGAGAATCTCAGAAGTCGTGAGTAATTGTGAAGATTGCTCGATTGATGTTTCGGTTTCAATCCGTAGCTGAAGTGGAACTTGCTTAATTAGAAGTAAAATTGATACGCTTGATCTAGACCTTTTCAATTTGCAATTCTCTTCTGCCAATAGTGGATTTCTGGATAAAAATATTGCAATCACAGAACTATATGAATTCATTTGTCCATTTGGCTCTGCTCTGCTTTGCCACCATGATCAATTTCATACGGTGGAAGTTCTACTCTCCCATACTCTTTTTCCCTGGTTTTATCACCAATTATGGCACTTAATTCTTATTTCAAGAGATCTCAGTTGAAAACACAAAAATAGCCCTCTTGAGATACTTTTTGTTTGTAGTTTGATACACTTTGATAAGTAGCCATGTATTTCTTGCCAATCCATAGGGGCATCTAAATAAGGACCACATTGGTTAGCTATAGAGGGTACAATCCATTGAATCGAGAGAGTCCAGAACTGTACCCTTACTTTGATCATTCAATGTAGTTTTAATAAAGGCTGCAGTCCATAGTATGCATCCTTAACTTCTAGAAGTTCTTAGGATAGTCTCCCGATTAGATTGAACAACTCTGGCTATCTTGGCCTATTTCAGTTGAGTATGTACTGAACTATTGAATCCTTGGATTTCCAGATGTTGTTGGTCAGGTGCAACATGTATCAGAGCGTAAATCTTCCTGCAAGGGTGATCGAAAAACTACTCGGAGGCACATCTCCCTTAAACTGATTGAGTTTGTCCTATTTCTTATCTAATTAGATAGATTCATACAATGTTGCTTATTACTTAAATTCAACGGTATCCATGGTAGGTTTGATGTCTCCAACATATTCTCACAATTTCTCGAAAAAGCATCATATCTTGCAATTGATATCATAGTTTTGTTAGGTAAAGTTCAACAAACTCAATCGATATTCAAACTCTTTGAAGTAGCTATCTACATATGAATATGAAATACTGAGTAGCTAAAACTCTACTTGAGTTAGTACGATCTTTTGCGCTATCAATTAAAATTCAATACATGATTATCTTATTACAATTTAGTCATACTAATTGTGCAGTAGGGGACATCTTACCAAAATCGTATCGAAAGACTCCTTGATTGATCAGTTTTAGGATGTAATCAATTATATTAAATAGAAGTGATCAAATTTATAAGATGCTCTCAAAGTTTGCTATAATTATTGAGGTTCAACAACACGTTAATCGTAAGGTGGTCATTGGACATTTGTCTATCTCCTAGCTCGCCTAGACACGCTTAGACATTGTAATAAAAATAGTAATAATGATGAATGAAGTAACAATTCTAAAGCACTTTCATACTTCAGTTCAAATGATTTACAAACAAGCAAAATAACTCTCAAGTTTATAATTTTTTTATACCAAATGGTATAATTAATTCATTTATGAGCTGAAATAGCTAATTATAAGCACTTAAATTTTTAAGTAAAACTCATATGATACAATTGTTTGACGAAATGGTTTTTTATCATATAGTGGGTCTATCCAAAGAGGTCTCTAAGAAACATGGCTTACTTTATTATTCCTTAGGTAGATATAATATATATCTTCATCGTTGCTTTTACATTGGATTCAATTTAGTATACTTTTTCGTTTAGATAGATTTTTTTAATGATTTTTTGGGATATAATATATCATTATTGTATGATGGTGTAGGATATTAGTTCCTCTCATTTTAGGTTCAAATTGATGCATTTTCCTCTTTATCGTTCCCTTTTATCAGTTAATAATTTTTATGATATTTTTCACTATGAAATATCATGAGGAGAATCTATACACAACAATTTGTGTTTTTTTCACTTCCTCTTCTCTTGATTAGATATTGTGTCCATATTGATTCTTATATTGATTATTGAATTAGTACTTTTTTGTTCTGAAGTTTATGAAACTAAGATGCATTTTTTTGAGAAACATGAAACTAAGATGCATATTGATAAAAGAATGTAAGGTGTCATCTTCCCTCTTAAGGCTTAAGCACTATATATCATTGTTTACCTATTGTTAAATCAAAGTCTTTCTAACTTGAGTACGAGCTATAATGACTTTTATTGTTGTCAAATTTTCCCAAAATATTAGGTATGTTGCTTTTAGTTTTCGCATTCTTTTCAGTTTGATTTAGTTTTTTATGTGTTGCTCTATTAGTTGAACTTGCCAGTTGGAGATCTGCATGCTTCGACTACATTAATGTCACAATGACTTCTATATGATATGCCACTCGAAATATGAGTGCGTGATTTAGTTTCTTTCTTATTAAGGACACTCTAAGCATATACTTTGTTCCATTATATCATTGAATACACTAAAGTCAATGGAAAAATCGAAACATTTTATCGTATACTGAAGATTGATTATGCATGTATGATGTAAAACAACTCTTACCATTGTTCTTCTTTGACGTTTTTATATCAATATGACTTCGTTTGAAAATATGTATTTATGTTAGTGTAGTTGGACATTGTTCGTCAATTTTAAAACTTCGTTAGTCAAATACATCAAATACTTTACTATATCATTAATGGAGAACTTACCAAACTAAATAGTTACTTCAAACCCCAACAACATGAACCATAACAAAAATATATACCTACACTTATACATGACAACATGAGAATCAAACTCTCCCGGCCAAGAGGTCGGGCCATAATCTAGTGGTTTAGTGTTTTTTTATTTTATTTCTGAGTGATATCAATGGAAGAAAATAGTTAAACTTACAATTCTACCCAGGACCCCTAACAGATTCTAAAGAAGCCACCCCAAAAAATCAAAAGATTCTAGCTCTACACGAGACCAAAGCAGTGCTTTACGCGCCACTCTATGGGCAACACTATTGACGGATCTATGCACCGCCCTAAACTCTATACAAACAGACAAAGAGCTAAGGATCTGAAGACACTCTCGTAACACCAGACCACCAATTGAGACTTCAAAGACGCCTTGACGGACTTGGTAGACCACCACTTCGGAATCGCCTTCGACTATCATGTGGGTCAAGGATCTTGAAGCTACGATGGAGATGACGTATCTAAAAGCTAGAAGCTCTGCCAGATAAGGATAGATTATTCCTTGATGTTGGAGCCCGAGCGCCAACACCACATGCCTGTCTGACCCATGGATAACAAGCCCAGACGAACAACCGGTGACACAAACAGCTGCGTCTACGTTGATCTTCAAAAAGTCTTCTGGTGGAGGGACCCAAGTGGTGGCAGGATGAATTGGGATTAGAGAGCTACGGGGCGGAGGAGGAGGAAGAAGATTGGAGAATTTGAGGACCTGGTTGTAGAACTGTCTGGCTAGGGAACAGACATGGGGTTGGATAAATTTGAAGGTCACTTTATTTCTAGACTTCCAGATTCTCCAAAGTAAACAGACGCATTGGAGAATGTGGAATTGGGAGGTCTCAGAGACCATGACATGTCGCCACCGTAGAATAAAGTAAACAGTCTGGGCGGTCTCAATAAAGTTGCTCAATCCCACTAAAGTCCACAATCTGGTGGCTAGGGGGCATCTGAAGAATAAATGATCAATGCTTTCTCGATGTCTCCAGCAGAAAGGGCATCGGTTGAGACAGTTGACTCCATGAGATTGAAGTGCCACTAATGTGGGAAGTATGACTTTATGGCATTGCCATATGAAAATTTTGAGCTTAGGCGGGACTTGGATATTCCAAGTCTTTTTCCAAATAATTAAGATAATCTCTATTAAACCAATTTGGAAGACCAAATATACCATCAAATAAATTAGATGTCGGTAGCTTCCAATCAAAAGGTTAACAAAGAAAATAATTGAGCTGGCCCACATGAATAGGGAATTATTCCCCTAATAACATCAAATGAATGATGATTTAAAAGCTCATAATGAAGCTTTAGTCGTCCAAAACGGACGAATACCTCCAATAAATGGAGTTTTAATTCTTAACGGAGGGGCATTGAATGCAGGATCGGCCGAACAAAGCCAGTCGTCGGGTAACTCTCTGCTGCGCAGGAACGACTCGAGCCTCTGCAGCTTCAGCTCATGCTTGAACCGGTTGATGAAGTTGCATCTCCAGTAATTGGACCTCAGGTAAAAATGAATTAAAGACTAAAATACCAATTCTATTAAATACGATTCATGGAAGGAGGGACGTTGGAGGATGAGATGGCGAAAATGAGCTCTGTTTGGTACCCGGGAAGCAGGAGATCGTTCCTGTCAAGCCCTTCCGTCTCGACGGAGACGTCGATACCGGCGACGATCACCGTCGCGTCGGTCGCTCTGGCTGTCTTCCTTGCGTGGGCGATCATGTTCTTGTCCGGGCAGCGGACGCCGGCGCATCCGGGGGAGTATCTGACTTTGGCGTACGATGAGAGCCCTGAAACAGGGGAGACGTAGGGGCAGGGGAATCCGGGTCGGTTGGGGTCGAACGCGTAGTTTCCGATCATGGCGAGCGTGAAACGACCCTCGCGTCTTTCAGGCGAAGCCAAGCATGCATCATTTCATGAGCTAGGATGGAACCTGTCAACAACCTGGGAAGACCATACAATATGAGAATTGCTGTGACTTCACATATGCGGCTTAGCCTGTATGGCTCTGTCATTTTGTCAACGAAACGGTAGCCTGGACCAATCCTAGGTCTCCTGAAGACAGTTGTGATTGTCTGCTCTTCTGATAGGCAGAGTCCCCTGGTTTCAGGCATGTGGTGATGACCCTAGTGGTTTAGTGTTTGTTTTTAGGGTTTAGTGTTTGTTTGTTTTTATTTCTTTTAATTATGTTTATGTCAATTATTAATGTCACAATTGTCTTGTGTAAATTATTGTTATTTCGTCATTAATGACGTTAATTAGTGATGAAAAAACTTTATGTCCAAATTAAAAAAAAATATATCGAAATTTTCGTATTAATTAATTATCATTAACTATGTAAAAATAATTATCATTATATAAAAATAATGCATTGAAATCAACTATAGATTGATTTGACCAAAAAAAGTGTTCAACCAATTACACCATTTTCCCACCCCCACATTGTGAACAAACCCTCCCTTTTCCTCTCTTTTCCCACATTTCCCTACCTCCCACATTGTGGATGGTCTTAGGGGATTGGATGGGAGATCCAATATGAACGACAATTCTCGGATATGGCCATCATGACGATGACGTCAGATCAACAAACGACCGAAGTGAAACAACACCGCCGAAACTGACAAAGTTATGGAAGGAGTGAACAGAGAAACGAAGACATTTGGGGGCCGCTGCTGAAGGATGTGACCGGAGGTGGAGTTTCCAGAGACGATAGGGGAAGGGAAGGACGGTTTGGGTGGAGGCAGGTTGGATCTTGATCTTAAAGTCTATTTAAAGAATATTTTTAAGTTATTCTTGATGAATAGGAAAAGAGAAAGAACTAAGGAGTCATTTGGATGAAGCATTTCCAAAATGAGACAATTTGGTGTAAATGTCTCATTTACAAAATGAGACAATTGTATGGTATATTTGTTTCAAATTGTCTTGTTTTGCTTGTTATTTCAGATGAGACCATTGACATGAGACATTTACTGAAAATACACTTTTGCCCTTGTTTTCTTACCCTCCTTCTACATCTTCCTCTTTATGCTTAGCATAGAATGCTCCCCAAATCGCACACAGACTACCCTTTGAGAAACAGAGCATTGGAAAACAACCCCAAACCCAGGTAGAATGCTCACCCACCAAGCAATCATATTTTCCCCCGAATCAAAGCTTGACAGAACCGGAGTTTCACTGAATCGAAGCAACAGAAAATAAACCCAACCCCCATACAATATAACATCCAAAATCTGAACCAAATCAGCTTGACTGAATTGCAAAACCTACGGAAAATAGGAAGAATCCAGAATTACCACGGCTCAGGAGGAACAATGGCTGTTCGCAGGTAGCATATTGACCCACCACTTACTTACATGCAGAACTCTCATTATTTCCAAATATTCCAAATCACAAACCCAATCAGACAACGAACCCATGTCATCTCTTCCCTCATCGCCGTCAGACTTCACTCTTCCTCTTTGTCGCCAGACTTCACCCTCCATTAGATGGGATCTTCGTTTTCCAAAAGCTTATATAGAAACGGAAAAAAACAGAGAAAAGGAGAGAAAGAAAGCAGGCCAATTTCACCGTTGCGATGTTTGGCTATGATTTTCCCATTCTCCACCCAGCCCCAACTATCGGCCACCTGGATTGCTTTGCAGCACCATCGTTGCCGTCCTCTGCATCTGCATCACCGTCGCCACCAATAGAGCGCGGATCGAGCGAGTCAGCGGAGGTGGCTCACGAATCGAGCGATTCAACAATGGCTCCCGAACTGACCTTTCGCAATTTCGGAAGAGAGAAGATTAGTGAGCTTGTTATCGCCGCTGGATAAAAAAGGAAGAAAGAAAGAAGACCAGAGAAAGAGAGGAAAGAGGAGAAGAGTAAAGGTTGTCTCGGGGAAGAGAGAGGAAGAAAATAACGAAGTTCACAATTGGAAAGGGGGCCCAAAAACGCGTCAAAGTAGATTGTCTGCCCCCCACCCAGGTATTTCAGATTCAACCATAATGAAGCAATTACAATTAACCCATCCCAAAATGTTTCGTTTTATTTTTGTGCTGCCAAACGAGCCCTAAGAAGAGTGAGGGATAACAAAATAAAAGGACAAATAGGATATTATCTAAAAACCAATTAATATAATTAAATAGAAATTTGAATTAATGCAAAAATATTCTTATTTAATGCTTAATGGAAATTCAAAATTAATGTTTAATATTTTAAAATATAAATTTGAGATTAAAAATTTTCACTCTTGCAATGATATTATCAACGTTTATGAAATGAGTTATTACTAATGTGCCACATCATTATATATGATCTCAATATACTTATCAATGTGTTGCGTTTCATCATTGCGGATTTTAGTTCAATCGTTAATGATTTACATTTTCGTCATCCACACATATGAAAGAATCATTAAAGTGATGTCACATTGTCATTAATGGTTTGAATAACATTATCATTGAAAAGTTAATATAGAAAAAGCAGGGGGAAAAAACAACGAGGTGGAAATCTGCAAAACCAAGGGACAGAACAAGAAGGCAATTAAACATAAAGGCTATCGCAACCTAATACGTCTCAAGTGATAAATCCCAAATTTTTATTAGTAAGCAAGAACAAGGCTTGGGGGAGCACGACTGGGTGAATGCTTTTACCATAAGATCCATCATGGGCGCATTTGGAGAAAATAAATGCACGTTAGGGTTAGGTAATGAGACATCAAACTTAGTCTATTGGTGGCTAATAAGAAATTACATTTCAGAATCAACATAGCAATGGATGCTAACTCATAGGCGAAAGAAATAACATTCATCCCAAAATTCAGGTGATACCTTAAACCCCAACTTCCTGATAAGGAATGCGACCTTGATGTTCAATTGATGGAGTCTGCGTACAATCATAATATTATTATTTTTTTGCCAAGAGTGCTTATGTTAAGAATAACAAACAACATATTGGGATGAAAAAGTTAATTCATTTGAGATAATCTTAGTAAAGATTGTGTGTTTTGGCTTCTGATGGTGTTGGTCATGAAGACAAAGTTTATGATCTTTTGGAGGAGTAGTTGAACAATCCATAGTTTTCATATTTAATTGTATGTGTCCATCCAAACTTATTTTTGGGTTTGACGGGGCGGAGTGACTTAGAAGTAAAGACAAAATATCTCAGAAATTTATAAAGAATTAGAATTTAGAAGTTTCTCTCTATCCCCCTTTCTTTTCTTCGCCAGAAATATCTCTTCTCTACTTTCTAATAATGCTAAGCTTGTAACAATCAAACTCATGGAATACTTATTTTGTCAAGATGCGAAGCAAAAAAAAAACTCACATAAAAGAAACGCAAATTGCATTACAATTATTTTTACTTTCATAATTTTACTTAAATAATTTTTCAATGAGATGCTGCAATATCAATCATCTTCTTATAAGGACTTCCTGGTGGCAACTGAGTCAGCGTTTCCTACTAACTCAAGGTCTTCCCACGGTTTATTGTCAGCGACAACTGCTCTATTTTTTCTTGGTTGTCCCGATCTCTTCAATAGACCATCCTCAATCCAATAATAACATATGCTTTTCTTGTTAGACTCATGGTACAAGGATGACAATAGATGAGACCACGTACATGTGAACCATCATGGCTGCAGAAAACAAACAACACTATTTTCAAAAGGAATATTAACAATTAAAAAAACTTTGTTTACCACTCAATCTGACTAACTTTGTGTCAATAGTCGGGTGCGAGTTTTTCTTTAGTTTGTTAATCATAAAAGTAGTTGGCGAATGATGTTAGAAAGACTCCATGTTTTTCTTCCCAAGGTTTATTTGGCATATTGCATTGTATGTGTTTTATTTGCTTATTCTTTTTGTTGTTTTTTTATCAAATTCTCATAGTAACACCATAACTCGGTCGTGCATAGGCGTTGATATCAACTTAACAAGCACATTATCACAGTCAACAACTTACTTATGAAAGGGGTTCCTCACATGGGAAACACGATACCACATACTATAAATGGGTGAGTGGTAGCTTATACTTAAACATAATATTTTTATTACCTAGGAGTGGAGTTTGTACATAAAAGGCTCCATCACGTTTGGGAGCGAGGCAACCATGTGTTGCTAGTTACATGAGGGTCAAAACATGGTCGAACTTACTTATAAACTTGGTTACTAACCATATTTGGGTTTGGCGGCGCGGAGTGTCTTAGAAGTAAACACAATTTCTCATAAATTTATAAAAGATTAAAATTTAGACGTTTCTCACAACCTCCCCCCTCCCCCACCTCCTCTTTTCTTCGCCAGAAATATCTCTTTTCTACTTTCTAAAAATGCTAAAATTGTAACACTCAAACCCATGGAATACTTATTTTGCCAAGATGTGAATAAAAAAAACTTACATAAAGAATATATCTTCTCTACTTTCTAAAAATGCTAAAATTGTAACCCTCAAATCCATGGAACACTTATTTTGCCAAGATGTGAATAAAAAAAAAACTTACATAAAAGAAATAAATTACAATTTTTTTTACTTACATAATTTTCCAATGAGATGGTGCAATATCAATCGTCTTCTTATAAGGACTTCGTCGTGGCATCTGAGTCAGCGTTTCCTACCAATCCAAGGTCTTCCCATGGTATATTGTCCGTGACAACTGCTCTAAATTTTCTTGGTTGTCCCGATCTTTTCAATAGACCATCTTCAGTCTAGTAATAACATCTGCTTTTTTGTTATACTCATGGTACAAGGATGATAATAGATGACACCACGTACACGTGAACCATTAGGGTTGTAGAAAACAAACAATATTTGTTTCAAAATAAATATTAGCAATTAAAAAAAAAACTTTGTTTACCACTCAATCCGAGTAACTTTGTGCCAACAGTTGGATGTGAGTTTTTCTTTAGTTTGTTAATAGTAAAGGTAGTTGGCGAATGATGTTAAGAAGACTCCTTGTTTTTCTTACTAAGGTTTATTGTCAATCATTATGATCAATAAATCTACAAAGTAAAACCGACATAATCAGCTGGGCACATTTAACTTGGGAGACCTAGAATTATCCCTAATAGCAGTGGAAGACTCTACATGTTCCATAATAAATATGCATAAGAGTAACGAGTGACAGAAATACATATATGGGAGAAAGAACCTAAACTTTGAATGGAAACCGAGTGTTGCAAAGCAACTAGAAATCGCCTAGTTTTTCAGTACTCTATAAATTAGTATTCTAAATTTCAAAAGTGAATTCAGAAGGGAAAGGTTTTTTTTTATTACTTTATTCTTTTTGTTGTTTTTTTTGTCAATTCTCTCCCTCACCCTTTTACACGAAAAATGTAAAATAAGAAAAACCCAAAATCTGTATATCCCTTTCCCTTTTCTTTTCTCTAGCATTAACTTTTCTCTTTTACGCTTTCGAAGAATAACGAGAATGTAACACACTAACTCGATCAATTACTATTTTTACTAAAATTCATAGAACATAGCATCGAGTTAGTCGAGTACTAATTTACTAAAATGTTTTTTTAATAATAAAGATTGAATACTGGCAACATAAATGTCACTTAAAAGAAATTCAAATTGCATATTGTATTGTACTTGTAGTTCTTTGTCATTTTAGTGGCATATTGCATTGTATGTGTTTTATTTGCTTATTATTTTTGTTGTTTGCTTTTTATTTCTTATCAAACTCTCACCGTAACACCCTAACTCGATCGTGCATAGGTCTCGATATCAACTTAACAAGCACATTATCACGGTCACCAACTTATGAAAGGTTTCGTAAAAATAAACTTACTTATGAAAGGGGTTCCTCACATGCAAAACATGATACCACATGGTATAAACGGGTGAGGGGTAGCTCATATTCAAACATAACATTTTTATTACCTAGGAGTGAGGTTCGTACATAATAGACTCCATCACATTTGGGAGTGAGGCGACCGTGTGTTGCTAGCTATGTGAGGGTCAAAACACGGTCGAACTTACTTATAAACTTGGTTATTGAGCATATTTATTTAAACTGATCTTCAACACAATGGGAAGCTATTGGCCAACTTAATTAAAATGTAATTGCATTCCTTATTAAAAACATGTCTCTGTGATACAGTGTAGTGATATGCAGTGCATTCAAAAGCGCGATTCTACTTAAAAGTGGAAAATGGTAGATTCAAAAAGCTGTGAATCAAAGCGTAAAAGCTTAAGTTTTTTATGCATCACGTATAATAGTTAAAAATCTGTTAAGTACGACATAAACTATGTAAAATATAAGTGCAGAGAGTTTAGAAAAAAGAATAAAAACTTGCAATTCGTGTCTAAATTAGAACAAACTCATAACATCTTAACAATAACTTCATAAACATAAATCGTAACCCACAAACGAGTTAAGAAAAACTACCAAAACTCGAGTTATTAAGAATTTAAGATTAAGAAATTGTTGTTGTCTCGTTTATCAACATCTCTAATGGATGAAACTTGCATTACAACAATCGACTTCAATAAGAGTTTCTATAATATCCCATCATCAAAAGTTGTCATCCTTTTTCATATTATGATAAACCCATAAATGTACATGGTACGATTTGTTCAAACAATTAACCAGACATTTCTAATGGACAATTTCAATTCATCCAGTTAGTAATTGGATAAAGAATACAAGAGAAAGAGACTGCATGCGGCTGTTACTGCTCGGATCCCAAGCTCCACTTGATTGAGATCCACACCTTGAAGTTGCGCAAACCTGCAAACACAAGGAAGAGACCGAATTGAGCTAGAAGTACTAGGTGAAGTGGCGATGGGCTAGGAGAAGGAAGAGATGGAAACTAACTTGTTGTGGTGCCGACGAGTGACAACATGCGACAAGGAGTGCGACGGGCAACAGTTTCGGACTTGTAGCGGCTGCGGATTCTTCGCTGGAAGGACTACCTCGCGGTGACGGTGAGGGTGCTCCGTCGAGGAGGTGGGTGCTGGAGTGTTGAAGATGGAGGATTAGGGATTGCCGAAGAGTGGTTTGGCAGCCTCATCCCGATATCCACCCCCTTCCCTTTTTTTTGTCTGAAGTGCTCTAAACGACGTCGTTTTGGTTTGGTGGAGACAGTTTTCTCCTTTGCTTGGAATCAGATAAAAACGGTTTGAAAACTCGTTTTTATCTGATTTCACCGATTTTAACGATTCTACAACGCTTTTGACCGATTTTGAGTGAAAAACGATTTTATTAGCGATTTGAAACGTTTTCCTACTCTAAAAACGTAAAATCGTACGATTTTACGCTTTAAAACGCGATTTTGATTGCACTAGTGATATGCTTGCTCAAATTTGAGGACTACGAGAGTAATCATTCTGCAACCTTTCAATATTAGAGGAAAATAAGATTCTTTAAGAACATACAGTGTATTATGTCAGTTAGTACGATTTCATATGTATTTGTATGATTTCATGATCTTATATAATATTAGTTGTGCTGCAAGAAAATCATGAATGTTTCCATAACAACATATAATAATGTTTTCTTTATAGCGCTTTAGCTAATTTAAAAGTTAACTCTTTATGATTTACAATCATGTTTCTTTATAGCGCTTTAGCTAATTCAGAAGTCTAACCCGTCTATATTTATGTTAAAATCATTTTTCAAAAGTCACTTCTATTATGTTATATAGTATTGGTGCTTTAATGTACAATTTGAAGTTGTACCATAACATTAGATGTATAAGTTTAGGTTGTACCATCACATAAAAGTACAAGTTCAAGTTGTACCATAAAAGAATTTGTACAAAAAGTATAGGTACAATCTAAAGTTGTACCATAACGTTAAAAGTACAACTTCAAGTTGTACCATAAAAGCAAAAACTTATAGTATCAATACTATATAGCATTGTAAAATTCCTCCTCGTTTGATTGATACAATTTTCTCAGCCATGTTTTCCACAATTATAACTTCGGGACAAACTTTCTTGCTTGTCACGAGCATGAGACATGGCTAGGACTAGGGGTGGGCAACGATTCGATTCACATCAGACCGAATCGGACCGAATCGACTCTTACACCGAATCGGATCGAACAGTTTATCTTTCGATTCGACTTTGGTTCCTGAATTGGGACATTTTCGGTTTTGGTTCGATCCAGACCGAACCCGTAAAATCAAGCTAAGGACCGAACCGAATCGTAATTAAATTAATTGCCTATTTTATTAAGCTCTGAGAAGGAAAGTCGACTTGGAGTTGAAAACCATAGTACCCTACATGCCACTTAATTACCTATAAATATGAATGACTTTTCCTCACTTTGACTCACCGCTCCCGCTACTATAGTCCTACCCTCTAATCAGAGTTCTCATCCCCGTTGCTTTGATCATGAGAGCTGCTTACTTTACCTACATACTGTGAACCATGTATTTATATTATGTTCTCTTTTCTTGTTTAATGTTTCAGAGATGGAGAAGATGCGAATAAATGACATCACATATGCTTCTGCCAAGTTTGACAACACCACTGCAAATTAGCAAGTTTAAGAATCATTTGTTTATTGCACTAGTTCTTGGAGTAAGTATCATTTTGTTAAACTCCTTTCTAATGAACCGTGGAAATTATGGAGATTGGGAGTTCCAATGTGCACTCTGAAAATGAAAATGGAAGATTAGAGAGGCAATTAGTTAGACTACTTTGAGATTGAATAAAAAGACTTTCGTCTTTTAGTTAAGTAGTTCTCGTTTAGCTTTTTGCATAATATTTTTTAACATGTGGGTTTTAAGAATTGTGGAGTATTTAAATTGATAATTTGATTAATTATTTTTCTGTAGTTACATTTTTTTAATTGTTGTGTTGTCCTTTAAGAGTGATTTTATTCGAATGAAAGATTATAGTCGGTCTAATGGGATGGTCCAGACCGAATCGAGCCATATTTGGTTTGATCCAGACCGAATCGAAGTAATAACAATTCGACTTTGGTCCTTGATTTAGAAGAAATTTTGGTCCGATCCGAGGATAGTTTGGTCCTGTTTCGAACCGAATCGACCGATGCCCACCCTAACTAGGACTACATGTTTTTTCACTGTCCGAAGTCCGAACTCTATTTGCACCTATTGGCTAATCTTGATGCTGCTGGTATTTTAGAATTCAGATTGATTAATAATACAAGCTAGGGTGCAATGTGGCCTGACCTTTTACACGAAAAATGGATTATCCTGTTTGGCCCTCAAATTACACCAGTTATGTACTCACAGAAGAGATTCTTCTGTTAATGACGTTGCTTCTCCTTAGAAAGGTTCAGTGTTCAGAAGCAACTACTATGGTATTACATATACCAAAAGGAGTAAGAAGAAACACCTTTAGGTAACTTTGGAAGGAGTGAAAAAATAGAAGTTCTGTTGAGAGAGAAAAATGAAAACTCCGGCAGTGGCAACGGTGGTGACCGTAGCAGCTGTAACATTAAGCTCTTATCATTTCATCACCGATTTGGTTGGCGATGGAGAAGTTGGAGGCTTCAAATCTTCATACCTGCCATGTTACGTATTGAACAAGTTATTATCAACTCTCACACCATCAGTCTTTATGATCAAATAGCATAACAAACAAACAAAGGCTAGTTCGCCGAGTCTCACATGGCGTAAGGAGAAAGCGGTCTTGCAGTTACTACTTCCTTATCAAGTTCCTCCTTCTGCTCCTCTTCAACCTTAGCTACAGATGTTGGAGATATTACAGGGCCATTGCCAATTGCTGCTCCTCCATTTGTAGAAGACGGTGGGGTTGGGGATGGTGATGCTGGTGGCTTAAAGTCATCATATCTGAAAAACCAAACACAGAGTCCAGCCAGGGATTACATGATTCTGTTGTACTTCATAAAACTGTTGCCAGCCAAGTAAAAAATGCACACTCACACATAGTATGGTGAACGATAAGAGTTGATACTAGAAGCAATCACTGCTGCTACATCATTGCCCTCTGGTGTTGTCAATGGTTCGACTGGCAATGCAGCTTCAGATGGTTTGGGCGGGAAGCTTGGTGGTGTTGGGCTAGGGGAGGTTGGTGGTTTCAAGTCCTCATACCTGCCCAAAAATGTAAGAAGATGGTATATTCGTATTAATGATTTCAAAGTTCTGTGATAAGGCAGATGAAAAGCAAGCACTTGGAGTATTATGGAGGCTTACGCAGCATATGGAGAAAGGATGCTTGGTTTTTTTACTTCTACTGGTGAGGGAGATTCTGGACCAGCAATGGTTGCAGATAGAGCCTTCTGCTGGATACTAGGAGGACTTGGAGTAGGAGTTGTAGGCGGCTTCAAATCCTCATAGCTGTCAAGTAAAACTGACTATTAAACAGACCAAGATAGCAACCGAAAGACACGCTAAATACCTCCATATGGCCAACCTTAGATCATCAGGATGATCGTGGCTAATATTCACATATCCAAAAATTAGGCCTTCTCGTCCAAATGGTAAGAAATCGGAACTTTAAGGAGGTATTTTGGCTGAATAGAATTTAAACTAGGACAAACTTCACACCATGTCCTGATGTTTGTAAAAACATCAAGCTAGAAGCTTGGAGTTAGCCTATGCAACTTGGATGCTCGACAAATGGGCTTACGCGGAGTAAGGTGAGAGTGGCCTTGTCTGTGCAGCCACTGGTTCTGGAACTTTCACTTCTGGAGGAGAAGTAGACACCTCAGTCGCCACCTTGTCTGGCGCTGAAGGTGAAGGCTTAGATATAACAGCTACATCTGGTTTCTGGGGGGCATAAAAAGGTTACATCCATTGTCAAAACTACAACGAGAATGCCTTGGTGTCACTAGATCCTTTTGAAGACAACCAAAGCTTATGCAAAATTAAGAGGCATACCTTTGGTTTAACTCGTTGAGATGGTATCTTTTCGAGAAGCTTATCGAAAGGAGTCAGTGGTGCAGTTGTTTCTGCAATTACTTCCACCACTTTACAATAAGAAGTCCCCTGGTTTCTGGCCATAAATGCTATCAGTTCTGCCACCTACAGTTCATAAACTCCAATTATCTTAAGCCACCTTCAAAAGACTCTTCAATAATGACGAGAAGGCTCTTGAATAAACCACCTTCAAAAGTAGGCATACCTGAAGATTTGAGACCTGACCCCCAAATAACGTGTCTTCAGTCGAAAGCGTAACGTTATGAGTCTCCTTGTAAGCATCAGTTGGCCGCTCCATGCCACCCGGTCTCACTATCTGAACATCATTTTTTTGAGTGATCAAGTTTTTCGAGCTAAGACAATCACAAACATGAGCACATAGAATTTACTAACAGTGTATGGAAGGCCACTAGCTATTAGTGCTTCTTCTGCCTTCCTCTTCCAGACCAGGACCCCCCAGAACAAACTAGACAAGCAAATACAGGAGGGGTGTTGGATTACAAGTTTCATATGCTTACTCAGCAATTTTTTCAATGTCAGATTCACTGCACTTACTTCAGGATTGCAGCTGGGAATCCTATTTTGTTCGTTCCCAATGATGAAACCATGATAAAGTGATCAACTTTTGCTGCGGTTGCTGCACAAAATGAAAAAAAAGATGGTAGGTATCACAGTTACATCTCTACTAGAATTATTGGATGTCCCCGAAGGGAGAATCTCCAATAGAATTAAGAACCACTTAAGATGTAGCAATATTTCCATTCCAGTAGTTTTCTCACTCACCTGCATCAATGAGGTTCTTAGTAGCTTGGAAATCAATCCGGTAGGGCCCAGTAATATCAAGGACCTCCTTCTCGCTCGCACCAATGCAGCACAGAACCACAGAGGCATTGCCTAATGCCGGTAAAATCTGAGCTGGCTTCTCCAAATCACATTCTACCAGTTCAAGTCTTTCTATGGCTGGGCTAAAGACCAGATAATTAACACCTGTTACAATAGGACTTCCATGGTAATAATCAACCAGAATTCAGAAGTAAGCTTATTATCTTTACCTTGAGAGCCCTCAGAATCAAGTCTCATTTGCTTCACACTCTACAATACCAACAAAAAAAATATGCTAACTTTTTTGTTTTCATGACACTATGAAGAAATAGAATTCCAAATAGAAATTCATTCAGCTGATCACATCTTTTCCTCATCATGATCATTCACCTGGACGAGATTTTGAGCTCTCTGAGCACTCCTAACACCAGCTCTAACTTGGAACCCCAATTTGATTAGTTCCCTAAAACAAAGGATCAACAAACACTCAGAAAAACTACTAACTGTATACGGAGCAGAACAAAAAGTTCATTGTCATGATTGGGAAAAAAAAATCACCTTACTGTCCGAGAGCCAACTTTACCGGTAGCACCTGCTACAAAAGCAACATTCTCATCTTTCCCATCTCCCTCACTGCTTGCTTCAGCTCCCACAGCGCTGATCCGCGTGGTACCTACCACAAATTCAAGGACACATTCAATTGCAAACTGATGAAGTACACAAGAGAAAGAGAAGAGAAGGGGAAACAAACAAATATGCAGAGCAGTGATGTTCCACGACTGAAAAAACCGTACATCGCAGCAACATTACAAACTCTATCATGTCCCTTCCGGGACATCCGATAACCTCTATCATAAGTTGGCTCAGGCTTTGACATGAGACATTTCAGTGAGGATTAAACACAAACAGATGGTATGCATTATCATGAAAAACGAAACGAAACACACCCCCTCCAGGCCTCCAAATGTTTCAGCTAGCAGATTTCTAGAACCACAAACCCTCTAAGAACCTACATTCCCAATTTTACACGACTCGCCCCCACTCTATCGTCTACCCCAACCTACCTATTTCCTAAAGCTGAATGCTTTCGTCTAATTTTGTTCAGCAGAATTCTCTCGGCAACCTCCATCTAACTAAAAGACTGATACTTGCATCAATACAATCCACCAAACCAGGGGACATTCAATAAAAAGAAGCTGCAACAGGGGTGAATTCATACCTGAAGCTTGAGCTTTGGTGTGGAGGATTCTGAGCTTACTGGGATGAGGGTACTTGTTGAAATTTGGAAGAGTGATGATGGGGTGAGCGAGGTGGAGGGAAGTTTTGGCGGCAGTGATCTTGTTTAAGGAAGTGGTGGAAGAATGCAGTGGGCAAGCTTCCATTTTTTGTTCCTGGTTTAGGCTTCGAAGTCGGACTGAGACTGAGAGGGGGTTTCCATCTAATTATCTTTGATTTTAATGAAGTGTTGTTTGGCAGCGGTGAGCGATTGCCACACCATCTGAGGTTCTGGATATGATGGGCCATATCCCAGAATTCGTGTTTCCCTATTGGTTGTGTTTCAGTCCACATATCTTTCTTTTATGATCAAAACCCACACATCTCCTTTGCCTCCCTATGGCTATTAGAGGTCAAGAACTAAAGTATGATATGATTTTGTTTTTGTGTGGAAAATATGATATGATTTTGTGTATTAGGTTCGTTTGGATGAGAAATATTAACGGATCAAATTGATCCAATTCTTTCGTTTTGCAATAATCTGGACAGATTGATTCGTTTGGCGGCACACAATTTAGACGAGGCAATTCTGTCTGAGGAATTTCAAATTGACTGATTCTAAGGTAATTAAAATTGTCTGGGGTGTGAGCTGATAATTCGAATCGATTCGTTTTAGATGAATCATTTTGTAAAATGGGAAATCGGCAAACTATTCTTGTTTTTTCAAATAACATAATATCCATGTTGGAGATAGGTAATTCATGTGAAAATGGCAGGAATCTTTTATTAAAATGTGTGGGTGTGAAAATGATGAAATTGTACAAAAAATTTGTAAGTTTATTTGACATGAATTAAAATTTAATTGATGAGTTAGTTGTGGATCTATGTTAGACCATAGTATATGTTAGCAATTAAAATTTAAAAATTACTTCTATGCTTGGGTGTATTACCATGTATATAATACATACTCATTATTCACTAAATTTCGCTCAACTCGCAAGTATGGTTGAACTCTCACCATAAATGCTATAGGTCTCGATTTTTGTCGATGGATATACATGAGTGAAAATGTGCTTCTTACACGGGTCTCGCCTCAACAATAGATGACTAAGATTAATCTAATCCTACGACTAAGATTGAATCTCTGGAACTCTCTAAAATTCTCTAAGAAAATATTTACATCCAATTAATATAAGATTTCTTATGCTTTCGCACGCTTTCATAGTCTTCTAAAATATTTCACATCCTTGTTGGTGTAGACGCTGGAACCTCGAGTGTACGAGTTTTTTTTTGTTTTTTGTGAAAGACAACCAGTTAGGAAAAGGGTCTGTCGTGTTTATAATGTCTTGTTCGAGTAAACCACCCATAATTCCTGATTTCTGTTTTCTATGCCTGAATGGGAGAACCCAGCAAAAGAAGACAGTCAGTCAATGGTGGCGGCCGGCGGCAGCCCTAAAATTTTCCTGGAGCTGATCACCCAGCCATCAATTATGAATCAAGCAACCCCTCATGTTTCTCCGGCCTCCGGCCGCCACTTCTGGTTATAATTTTTAATATCTAAATCAGTAGTAATTAATTCAATTTAATTAATTAACTATCTTTTCTACGAGCTTCCCAAAACGTGGGATCTATGACTAATATCAGTTGTACATGCAGAGTCAAAACTGAAGAGCGCCGGCGAGTCTACTCTCGTCGTCATAACTGTGTGTTGGTTGTTAGCCTTCTAATATTGACTGTTTCGAGTAAGAAAATGGGAGGAGAAGAGTAACTGCTTGCGACTATATATACAATATTCTCTGAATAATATTATATTATCTAATTATGCTGAATTGATTTACACTTAGTTGATAAGGTTATGGTTGGCATTAGTACGTCTTTGATTCTCCGAACGATATATTGATCTCTCACGTTTTGCGTTTGTTGCTTATATGAAATGAAAATTTTACAAATAACTATAATTGTGAAATGCACGATCTGTTTCGCTTAACATTAGCCTTCCTATAAAATGACAAATGCTAAATATTTTTCAACTTTCCTTACCAACCAATGTTTGGTCAAAGAAACCCAACTCCAACTCCAAGTATTAGCAGCCAGCCACGTAATATAATATATTAATTAATTAATTAATTAACTAAAAAACAATATGGCAGGCTTAACCGCTTAAGCATATAACGAATCCTCCATCAACCTGATCCTCCTCTGCTACTCGACAAACTTCCTCCCTCCCAAGACCTAAAACAATTCAACAAACAAATAATAATAATTGATCAACAAAATGTTACAAAATTCACATGAAAAAAATCAATTGTTTTTTTAAAGAAAAAATGGACAAGAAAGAAAAAAAAGCATCCAACGGGAGATGGATATAAGTATAACTACCAGTAGGACATGAAATGCGCATTGCTAATTCGCATTCTCGCCTTGCCAAATCCGCTCACTCTTATAACGACTTCTTCCGCGCCCCCAATCTCCACAGTCTAGTCTGCTGCCGCATCATCGTCGTAGCCATGGCCGTCTCGCTCCAGTTCTCCCGGCTCTCACTCCGCGCCGACGGATTCATCACCACCTCCGAGAGCCGTCCCGGCGCTTTCAGCAGCCGGCGGGGGAGGAGAAGTCCTGCTGCCGTCCGATGCTCCGGCGGTGCCGGAGACGAATCCGGATCCTTGGCTGTGGATTCCGATTTCGACTCCAAGGCGTTCAGGCACAACTTGACCAGGAGCAAGAACTACAATCGGAGAGGGTTCGGGCACAAGGAGGAGACTCTCGAGCTCATGAGCCAAGAGTATACCAGTAAGTCTCCCTTGTTCGTTTCCGTTGCTTTTTTTTTTTCTTTTTCTTTTTCTCGCAGTTATTAGAGAATTTCGATTCCGTTTGGCTTCCGAGGAAAGGGAGCCGAGTAGTGATCAATTTCATCGGTTTTTACGTCTGGCTTAGTCTTGGGGGAAGTATCTGCAAATTTCTGCAGTAGGATGTAGTAGATGGATGCTTAGCTACTGTGAATTAGATTGATGGTTGAGAAACAAGAAATTGAAGGTCTCTGTATGGTTTCTGATTGTGATCTGCGGGGATTTTTATTTTATTTTATTTCAGGCGACATCATCAAGACTCTGAAGGAGAACGGGAACGAGTATACTTGGGGAAATGTTAATGTGAAGCTGGCTGAAGCGTATGGGTTTTGCTGGGGGGTTGAGCGAGCTGTCCAGATTGCGTATGAAGCTAGGAAGCAATTCCCGGAGGAGAAGATCTGGCTCACCAATGAGATCATTCACAATCCGACTGTTAATAAGGTTTGATCGGTGGAGTTTGGAATTGTTGCTTCTCCGTTATGGAGCTTGTTCAGTTTTACCGAACGTCTATTTTGTGTGTTTTTCGTTCTGGCAGCGGTTGGAGGATATGCAAGTCGAAAACATTCCGATCGAGGAAGGGGAGAAACAGTTTGAGGTTGTGAACAAGGGGGATGTGGTGATTTTGCCTGCTTTTGGGGCTTCAGTTGATGAGATGTTGACCCTCAGTGACAAAAACGTGCAGATCGTCGATACAACTTGCCCTTGGGTATCTAAGGTACGTATATTTTCCCCCTGGTTGAATGACCTGCTCATGCTTACGCGATTTCAAGTACTTGTTTGATTTTTGGGTAAATGGTTTGGTCTTCATACAACTGACAAGAAGCCTTTCTGCAGGTGTGGACTACTGTTGAGAAACATAAGAAGGGAGAATATACTTCTATCATTCATGGTAAATATTCTCATGAGGAGACTGTAGCAACTGCCTCTTTTGCTGGAAAGTATATCATTGTGAAGAATATGAGCGAGGTAGGACTGGGAGTCTAAAGATGATCACTGTTTTCTTAACCTCCAAGCAACATATACTATCATGAACATGCAGATACTTGTTAGTTCCATGTTTCTCCAAACCTAAGAAATTCTGGACTTTCCACAGGCAATGTACGTATGTGATTATATCCTTGGAGGGAAACTCGATGGATCTAGTTCAACCAAACAGGAGTTTCTAGAGGTATGGTTTTGTTTGTTGCTAAATTCAGTTGTACTGCTGATTGTGAGAAAATTATGTCATGGGTGTCGACTCATTATAGTTTTTGCTTGTTTGCAGAAATTTAAGTATGCGGTGTCTGAGGGATTTGATCCGGATAGAGATCTTGTCAAAGTTGGGATTGCAAATCAAACTACAATGCTTAAGGGAGAAACCGAAGAAATTGGTAAACACCCATGCCATTCATTCTTTTGTTAGAAATAGTTACAAGTCCATTTGTGTCTATGAATATGGTTCCTTATCTATCATTGTAAAACTAACAGGAAAATTGGCTGAGAGGACCATGATGCAGAAGTATGGAGTTGAAAAAGTCAACGATCACTTCATAAGCTTCAACACTATTTGTGATGCTACTCAGGTAATTTTTCAGATCAATAGTTTAAACACTTCATCTACCAAATAGAGCCTTTTACTTTCAGTTGCAAAAAGGCTAATCTTTCTTTCCTAGTACTACAATGTCCAATACAAGGCCTAATTCCTCATCATTACACAAATGCACTAATGGGAGTATGGAGTATAGTTGTCTGGAAGAGTGATTTTGGAGTGTGAACGGTTGATAATTAATGCAAGGGGGGTTTACATTCAATGGCGAATTCTCAGTTCTGTGAGAATCTTCCTGGTAATCCTCTAGTGTGTTGGAAACTAAAATTGTCTACTTTTCTTTTGCAGGAGAGACAAGACGCCATGTTCAAATTGGTGGAGGAAAAAGTGGACCTTATTCTAGTTGTCGGTGGGTGGAACTCAAGCAACACTTCGCATCTTCAAGAAATCGCTGAGCTCCGCGGTATCCCTTCGTACTGGATTGACACTGAAAAGAGAATTGGCCCAGGCAACAAGATAGCCTTCAAGTTAAACGTAAGTGCAAATAAACATCCATTGCAATTTGCAACCTCGTTCCTTGCTTGCCGGACTTCATTACTTCCATATCTGAGTTGTTATTGTTTTATCCATCAATGCGGTTCGTCACTTCTAATCTCCTGTTGTGTTTATAATAGCATGGGGAATTGGTTGAGAAAGACAACTTTCTGCCAGAAGGACCAATTACCATTGGCATAACCTCAGGTGCTTCCACCCCAGATAAGGTAAACATCCCTTGCCTATGATCCCTAAACATTGCTGAAAATGATGTTTGGAACTATGCACTAATATCAGGATTATATGGCTTCTATCTGTATATAACCAGGTGGTAGAGGATGTTCTTAAGAAAGTTTTCGAGATCAAGCGCGAAGAAGCCCTGCTGGTGGCATAGACGTAGATGCTCCGGTGTAAATAGATTATCTGCATAATGGGGAACACGAATTAATTTCATTCGCAAGTTATTGCCGTTGTATCATTTAGTAGCTGAAAGGTTTGAAGGGTTGAATGCTGTAACTTGAGACCTCTGAGAGCTTACGATGTTAAAGTAGTTATAATGTAGAGGGCCCTCTGAAGCCCTGTGTACCGGACAGAAGGATGGTCTCTTCTTGACAATAACCAGAAATTTCTGAGTTGAAGCCAAGGGCTTGAGATCCTAAGAACCATTACTACAGACTATAATAATGATGATTAATGATTAAAGAGCAAATGCAGTTGCAAATTTTAAATTTTGGGTAATTTTACCAGTAAATCTCCATCAACCTTGAGTTGAGCAAACATGGCATTCTCTCCAGGCAACCAAGTTGCTGGTGTTTGAGCACCAGGTTCTTTTCTTCCACGAATGAAGTTTATGCAGCAATTCATGAAAGAGATAGAACAACAAGATGTTACTTCGTCTTAGTAAATAAGCTCAAACCTGGAAAAGATACACCAGGAACAGCTACGTTTCTTAAAGTGGGGGGTCAATGACAAACTGTTCAAATGAAATGGCCTGCAAAATTTCGGACTAATAACGGAGTGCTCATGGCTCTGCGACAGTAGCATCTAACTGAGCTTGTTGTTCTTTGGGTACTCTCTTAAGCAATTTGTACATTCCAAACACATTCTTCTCCTGCCAAAGAAATGGGATGAAGAACGAACGGTAAAATGGAGGAGACAACTCCCTGTCGAGGTATGGCAATGCTGCAATTGGCTGAAAAATGATAGAAATGAGCTTTTTAGTATCTTATTGAGACATACGGATGGGAAGAAGAGAGCTTAAATTTGTAAACATGCAGGCGTAGTACCTCCCATTTCGACAGGTCACTTCCACGAGAAGGATAAGGGCGATTGAGCTGCAGCTCTACCAAGAAAGTGCAGGCATCAATATCATTGAGCTGCACAAATTTGAAGTTGGTTATTCTGTCGGTCAGATGACTACTGAAAAAATGGAGCTAAAGGGTATGAAGGGGGAGGAAAAGATGAATTACATATTGCTGAGCTGATGCCTTGTTCTTATTGTTGAAATATGGAGGAGCTGCTGATGTGCCACCAAGAGATGAGTTGAATGGTAAGGGAAGAAGACCTCGGAAGCCATCATCAATCCATCGGACTTCTCCCACATAATCAGGCACAAAAAATGATGAAGGGAAGCGGTGCCATTCACTTCCGACGCAGAGAACAGCTCCTGTAATGCACACAACCACCAGCCGGAATAAGTGGTACAGAAAAGAAGTCCACCAAGCACATCCATGCAGGTGGGAGTCCACACACGGGCTTCAAAAACACACCCCTAAGTGAGAGTTTTGTGGAATTCAACCTTAACATTTGTCTATTTTTTCTCGTATCTTTCTGTTCTTGATTCCAGAATAACCTACACCTAACATCATTTATCTGTAAAGGGTATAAAGAAGTCAAACCCCAATACTAAAATCTCACAATAAAACAACAATTCTGCATGACATACTCCAATACTTATCGAATCCATAGATTTGACATAATCCTTCGTTTATTAAATCCTACATCCAAAGTCCAAACAAACCCTAAGATTCGGCCTCCAATAAATTAAATGCTCTTGAGGTCTACCTTTTGCAAACTATAAGCAAGTAAATAATCCCATGTGGAAAAAAACACACTTTTTGGTACCTGATCCTGCCTCATGATAGTGATCTAAAACCTTGTAGACCTCCATAGGAGCAGCATATCCGTTAATCAAGGAAAACGTCCGAGCATGTGAAGCACATAGTATGAGACTAAGAACCAGTGGTCTAATAACTTTGGCTATCTGCAAAGGCAAAAACAAAAGGTCCGGAAAAAAACTGTTAAAACAGAGCACCTATGGCTGTCATATGGCATCAAAGCTACAGAAGAAAAGATGAATACATACCACAACAATAATAGAATTGTCATTAGGATTGTGCTTATCTCTAACAAGATCAGGAAAGCTCTCGATAACACTTGATGCAGCAACACAAACAAGAGGATAGACAGGGTAGAGGAACCTGTAAGTAGCAAGGTCAACATATCTTAGCAATATTGATGGAGTTTTTCACCCATCTATACCTTAACAATCAGCAAGCATGTATAGGAAGGAGAGGGAAGCTCATCAATAAATTCCAAAAGGAGGAAAAAAGGCAAGGTTGAAACTAACCTTTCTTCTTTGTGTGGCATTAAAGACATAAAACCGAGCCATATATAAAGAGGCGAGACCACTACCAGAAGATCGGGAGTATACTTTCTCCTAACAATTGGCAAAAGAACCAGGAAGAGCAAAGCAAGAACCATAGAAACGTTGAAATTGTTAAATCCATTCCTGAGGTAAAAGAGAGGTCCTTCAGTCCCATACAAATGGCTCTCACCACCTCCTACAACATTGTATACCAAGATATTCAAAACAGACGATGTCCACCTCCCATAGTAGCGGTAGTCAACAAGTACAGAAAGTACCTAGAGAAGGATTAAAACCTTTCAATTGTTCAGAACACGAATGATAATAAGCGTAATTATCTCAAAACATCTATTTTACTAGTGTTTAGTTGCCATTGACTTACAACAAGTACGAGAGACGTGACAGCACCAGCAAAAAATGACAGCTTGAATCTCTTGGCCAAGGAAAAAAGCACAAGTGGTAGGAAAGCCAATATTGAGAAGGGCCAGCCGAGGAGTACACCAATAGCTGCCACAGTAACAGCCATGGCAGGCTTCTCAAGAAGAAACAAGCCAGAGGAGAGACTCATGGCATACATTGAAAAAGAACTCGGCAGGAAACCTGGTTAGAAATGAGAACAACAATTACACATTGTAATTCTGAAATGGGACCACTAAATGTTAACCTGGTGGAATCAAAATACTGAACCAAATAAGCCCCCAAAATGGCTGTCTAGACTAAGATCCAAAATTTTCTGCTCACCACTAAATCAAAGCAACTTACTTGTGCTAGCAAAGAAACAACCACTGGTTAGGCATAGCATGGCAAGCGCATAAGAAGCAAGACGCTTGCCATATCTCCTGGAAAGGGCCACTACTAGAGTGGCGTCAGCTATAACAGAGATTACTCCAATAAACAGCCGTACTGCATAGAACACTCTCATCTGCGAGACATATATAGTACTGTTTTAGATTTCAGACGAACAATATGCAATGGGTGCGAAGCAAGATTCAACAGAACAGAAAAAGGTTCTTACTTTATCATCTCTAAACAGCCATGAAGCTGGCAGACCCACTAGTTCATGGAAATTAATGTACAAGTAGGATCGAAGAGCAAACTGCGAGCTGCAGCACAACATCATACAACATCCATTAGAGCACAGACAATACTAAGATTGATCAATGACCCAGAAAACATAATGATCAAGAATAGAAAACTCCATCAGTGGGTAATGCGAGTTAAGAGTTTAATTTTTATTTGCCTGTATTCCCAAGTCTGGAAGCCGGACTTGTAGAGAAGAAAATGGAGAGGCTCCCAGTAGTTGAAAACCTCGTCGCAGTCATGGATGATGTTGGATGTGGCGCTCATGTAACGCAGCAGTCCCAGAGCGAGTATGGGCATAAAACATCCAAGCGGCTTCTCTTCACCAACGAGAGATGATCTCTCTGGTTTGTTGACCTTCGTGTACGGCTCCGAGGAGGAGGAAGATGACTGCGGAGGCCGTGATGTCTCCGCCGATGGAAGCTCCGGACGCCTCTGCCGCGTCGATAGGGCCATTGGGGTTTAGTACTGGACCACTGCGTTTTGCGTCAATCGGAGAAATGGTGTGTTACTGTGTTAGTTCCTCCGCTTCCAGCTTGTACGTTTTCCAGCTCCGGCCTTCGACAAAATTAGGGCGCGACATTGATATTCCTTCCTTCCGGTCGAAGGCAGAGTCTTCTTTTTTTGGCAAATTTCGTAAAGACTATCGAAGTTTAAGGTTAGTCAAGCCAAGGGTGCTTAAACTTACATTTTATTAACACAATGGTCACCGAAGTTTCTATTTTTAGTAACTTAGTTATCGCTAAGATTTGACGTGAGTGTCTCGTGGTGAGTAATAACCTAATGATAACATTGGTTCAGTCGGACAATGTCAAACATTTAATTAACTGAAAGCATACGAGCGCATCACGTTTTCGATTTTATAATTAGTATTTGTTGTTCGTCAATTAATTCACTACATGATAACTGATAAGTAGTCATGTGGTGTTGTATGTGTCGTACAAATACAATGTAATCAGGACCATGGAGAGTGTTAGGTTTCGTGGATAGCAAGTTATGCAACAAACTCATCAGCTAGTAAAAACTTTCATTTGTCATTCTGTTGATACCTATTCTCACATTTGATTTGAGCATTGAAGGATCTAGCTAATAAATAATGTCGTGCCCCTAAGTTTGATCCGTTCTACATTAGATCACATTCCAAACAAGTTTATTTAACATTCGATCATTTTCCCCCAATTTTCTAATTTGTAATATGATCTATCTTATAAGCTTACAAACTCATAATTTAATGAACTCAACCCAGTCTGAATCATAATTCAATTTCCCGCAACTCAATCAACTTATAACTATAATATAATAAGTCAATCCAAACTTCACTCCAACGGATAACTAGACAAAATTTAAAATAACAACGATATGCGAATAATTCGAACATGTATTGACATACTATTCCATCACCCTCTTGTAAATACAAAATTACATTTCTTTTTGCACTATGAACAACCCTTCGAGTTGAATATTGATCCATACATTTCTTCCAGATTTTCCCAATCATCAATCAAATCATCAGTAAAGAAAACCAAAACTGAGTGCAATTGAGGTCAAAATTTGAGCCAACTCTTTTAATTAGAGTTTCTTCCTTCCAACACAACTCCACTTATTGGTTCTAACATAATCTCCTCCTGCCGTGTCTGCTCAGAATTCCCTCCCCAGTTGTTAACCCTATCTTCAGCATCTGCCGCCTGCATTGTCAAAATCAGGACAAAAACAATACCGTAAGACACAAGTAAGAAAGCAAGCAAGTAAGTAACCAAGCTTGGCAACATTAACGATAGAAAATGGACTCACTTCTTTTTGCCAGTTAGTCCTGTAGATGATGTAAACAAGAGATCCAATCTGAAGCACAATCCCAACCAACATTCCGGTCCAGATCCCTTTCACTCCGTACTCGAACTTGTAGCCAAGCAGAGCCCCGATCGGCAGCCCAAACACATAGTAACACACAATGTTAATCAGTGCAACCTGAAACTGCCACCCTGCTCCAACCGCTACCCCTGCAATCAAATTCGACACGCGAAAACATTAGGATCGACATCGCGTGTTAAGGCAAAGACAGACGCGGAGAGCTAGCAGGCGTATTGAGGGGTGGGGGAAGTTAAAAAAAAAAGGTTACCGTGGAGTACTGGCAGGATGCTGTCCAGGAAGATTGTGGCTGCCAAGAAGTAACCAAGCTTGGACGCCTCGTGGATCACCTCCGGCTTCGAAGTGAAGAGCTTCGGGAACTCGTTCTTCGTAGCAAGAACTGCTGCGGCGAAGATCAGTCCTAGTATCGTCGAAGTTGTGACTGTCACCATTACTGAGAACTTCGCAGCTTTGTGGTTGCCTGCTCCTAGTTCGTTCGACACACGCACGCTGTGCAGAAAGATTCGGAGTTAGTAACTTGTACAAGTTCATCGATTTGTGTGATCACTGATCAACAAAAGGGGCAAACAGCACTGACCTTACTGCTGCATTGAATCCCAAAGCGACCATCAATGTCCACAGCTGAATGTTCATGCTGCAGAAAATGGCAACAAATGTCACATATCATTGATCAAGCTTTTGACAAATGGTGTCAGAATTCGATTTTCAGGACGTAGAGAAACGTTTCGTACCAGATGGAAATGGCATCTACAGCAATTTCAGGGTTCTTCAACCATCCAACCATCAGAATCACCACCGTGGTATACCACAGCTCCAAGCTAATTCACAAAAGAAAACTCACTATTAACGAAACTCCAAAAACTCTGAAGACAGAACTAATCAAAACCCTAAATCCCCAATTCCTTCTTACCACAACATAATCGCAGAGGCAAGAGACAGCTTCACAAACCCACCAAGCGACTTGAAAGCCTTCATCGAAAACCCGGTCCAAGCTTCAGGGAAGTACCCAGAGACCACATAAATCATCTGACCCAAAACCACCAGCAGCCAAGACACGTCCGCCACCACAGCGGCACCAACCACGCCATAACCAAGCTTGGCGACGAAAATCCAGTTGAGAAGCGCGTGGATTCCCAGCACCACGGTCGAAATCGTAGTCAAGACCCAGACTTTGCTCTGTGCTTGAAGAAACTTCTGCAGCGGGAAATTGAGCGCGTACAGGAACAATTGGGGCACAACCCAGATGGCGAATTTCCCAGCCAGCTCCGAAATTCGCTTGTCCTGATGAAGCAGCTTCAAAATTGGGGTAGCTAGAATGTAGACCGGCGCCAGGCAGAGCGCTGTGACCATACAGATTATCCATGACCTCTGCATATAGATTCCCAGCATGTGGGTTTGCCCTGCTCCCACTGCTTGCCCGCATAGGGTCTCGAGGGCGCTCCCCATCCCCAACTGCAAACCCATCAAAATAAATCAGTCATTTCAGTCCCAAAGACCTAAGCTTTTTTTTCTTTTCAAAACAGGGGAGAAACAGAGGAACAGACCATGAATCCGAAGACGAAAGTCTCGAGGACGTTCTGGACGATGGAGACGGCGGCGAGCTGGAGGGAACCCAGGTGGCCGACGAATGCGGCGGTGACGAAGCTGATTGAGAATTGAGAAACCTCGGTAATTAGAGCTGGAGCTGCAATTTCCCACATGTTTTTGGACTCTGCCCACCAAGTCGGCGCCATGGTTTTGGGGTTGGGAGAAAGGGGCGCCGACGCGACGGCGGCGGGGTGTTCTATCTGCATTGTCGTTACCACAGCCAGAGAAGAAGAAGAAGAAGAAGGAGAAGAAGAAGCTGCCGCCGATTGCGGAAGTGGAGTCGTCGTCTTATTGTGGGAGTTTTGATGAATTGAATCTCCCGACATGGCGAGGAGTAAGTTAACCAACCACTACTCTGTAAATGCGACTTCTGTCTCAGCTGGCATATTCTGTTCTGCCAGAGATTTGCTGAATTTATTAATGTGTAGTAAAACAGGGGAAAGGGGAGCTGACCAATGGAAGTCTATAATTGAGATTTAAATTATTGAATATGACCTTAGAGCAAAGTATTTGATTAGAATATATAATTATATATGGAACCACGAGCAACATGGAGGCTGCTTACTGTTGAATTGCTAGTTGACAGAAGAAGTGGGGTTTGGTAAAGGGTAAAGGTTGGTTTTTTGGGTAGGTGAATGGATTATGGATGGTTGATTAAGAAGAAAAACAGAGAGGGAGGAAGACGAAGGAGAAAGGCAAGATCAACTTCTCCTTCTTGTATTTTCCTTTGCCATTTATTCCCGTTTCCACTGTAATGCAACGAATACGTCTGAACTCTTGAATAGAATAATGGTGATGCGGAGAAAAGGGTTGATGTCGGAAAGGGGGAAAAGGACGATGGTTGGTCTATCTAATCTTGATGACTTTCTATTGAGTGGGCGGTTCTGGACTTCTGGTGCTGTTTTTAAGCATGTGTGGTAATCGGAATTTGGGCCGGCTTTGGTGGATCTCAGGTGGGCTCAAGTTGTTGTAAAGATATTGCCCAGGCCCATGATCAGGTGTTTGGCTGGACTCTGGCCTCCTCTTCTTTTAATCCATTTAACCGGCTTTCCCCCATTAATGGTAGTCATTTGGCACACTTAAACAAAATCTCAAGAAATGTTTAGGATGAGCATGGGTTTCGGTCCGGGGGTAAGAGTCTATCTATCTACTATAGATATAATACGCCCACCATTTCAAATTTCCTGCCACGAGAGTGAAAGTAAGAAGGACATCTTGGTCTTCACAATAACTTTTTTTTATTCATTAAAAAGACACGCACTGGGATTCGAACCATGACTATTTTATAGAAAAGCAAGGATTATAACCAATCACACTAAGTAGATTTGTTATATCTTTTTAAATTAAAAACATATAATAGCAGGGAGGAAAAAACTCTTCCTCATTTCAAATTCCCTGCTCCATGAGCGTTTGTAGGAAGGGTAGAATATGGAGTGTCGATTTTTTTCTCTTTCCTCTGTGGAACGGGCCAACTTACCGTACACATGCGGATTTAAACTGGTCCAAGAGTGTCAATTTTTTTTTTAAGCCCTTTTATTTCTCCGTGGTGATAAAAATATATATGAAAAGACAAAAATAATACTCCTTTTTATTGTTAAAAATAAAAAATTTAACAATAAACTAATGAATGGTATCTAATGGCTAACTGCTAACTATAAAATAAAAGAGTTGAATGGGTCTGACCTACACGGGATTTGGCCATCAAGTAACACAAATGAACATCATTGGTTTGTCATTCTAAAACAATCTATTTTCTCTGGCATAATATATATTATGCTATTATTTTATATCTTAGTGGCTAAAATATAATGTATTTTAAAGTTATTCAATGGTTCAACCTCGACCAACCCAATTAGTCCAATTTTTATCATTTCGAATATATATTATATAATTATATGATATCATAATGATCAAATTATAGTGTATTTTATAGGGAATCGTTTGATATTTGTTAGTAAAAAACTAAACAGAAATATCTATTTGGTTATTTTAAACATTGAAACGATCCTGAACATTTTCAGTTCCTTTTGAATTTCTATGGTTTTATTCCCGAATAAGTGATGTGCAAATGGCGAATTGCAGTCATCTCTTTTATTTCATTATTTTTTATTTTCAAATAGAAAGTTTAAAATTAAAGAATAATTAGGATTTGGCATGGGCCAGTCAAACAGGCTGAAATTCAAGTTTTGGCCCGTTTGTTTTATGCATTGCAAATTTATTAGCATGTTGATGGAAATGGCTTGGAAAAAAGACATATAAGTTGTACCTTTGCAGAAATGTCCTCAAATGTTTGAATGCTTTGCGAATCAGGTTCCGTGACTTTTGTGATGGTGTATGTGCTTGACGATTGCTCGATGTTGTAACTACTTAATTTGAGAGTAAATCTTTTGATTTTCCCTATGAGTTGTGATACTAATTCTGGTGGTTGCAGCATGTTGTCGTTGTTGGCCTGTAAAAGTTGTTCCGTCGTGATGCTAAATACATTTCTTTCTTTTTTAACAAATTGTGTAGTAGTGCTATGAAACAGACCACCCATGAACGCTACGCTTATTATGGTCTGTTCTTACTTCCGGTGGTGAGAAATTGTGAATTGAGAATCATATTCGCCTACCGCACTGTGTCTGGCTGGTGGCTGCTTACTGTGCTCTCTAGAGTTATGAAACAGACTACCCATGAACGTTACCCTTAAGAGTCCATAACTTTGCGAAAACCCAAATTTAGGCAATCAAAGGTGGTGGATGTGTGATGATTTTTTATGGCTTAATTGTTTGTGAATTGGATATATGATCTTTGTATGATTAGAGGGGATGTTTGCTTAATAGAATAATCCATTTTAATTCATGTTTATTTTTAACATGAACTTTATGAACTTTAGTAACTCAAAACCTTCGAGACACATATCACCTACTGCATTGTATCATTTTGCCTGGGTGCTTGCTGTGTTGTCTAACTTCTTTGTTGCTGCTGCATTTACACTAACAGGGGAGTTAAGAACCCATGAATGTTTCCGTTTGACACAAACAAGAGGACTTGCTTCTAAATCGTGCACTAAAGATGATTGGAGGAAACATCTCTGTTGCAGTTGATATACTGGAGACCAGAACAAAAGCAACGTATAACATCAAAACCAACCATCTGAACTATTAGCATTGTTGCTTTACTCTTTTTTCGTGGTTGAGTCTCCTTCAAAAAATTTAGTTTGATTTTAGAAAATTTTGCTTCTGCAGTCCTGTCTTGCCACCAACGCGTTCAGTAGATGGAGATGGCAGAGGCGAAGGCTATTTTTGTGTTGTTGTTGCTGGTTTAGGGATCGGTTTGTGAAGAAGAGGGAGAAGAGAGGGGGAAAGGGAAATGCAGGAGAGGGGGATAACTCTTTTCTCCGACAAAAATGGAGTGAAGAAAGGAATTATGATCAGTAAGGATATGGTTATCTTACATAATAGTCTCTATTCTTTTTGAATTGAGCTTGGGAGGCAGTGATAAGGACGAGCTGCAACCAATTCATAGTGAGAAGAGCGCTATGAACTGTGATCATGTCTTATTTCAAGTTAGAAGGTAGTTTCAGTATAACTGTATAAGGATTATTTAATTTGACAAGTTGTTTCGTCCATGATTCTTGGTAGTTTCAGTGCCATTCTAGCCACTGTTTAGTCTGTAATTTTTTAGAATTGATGTGCGAGTAATGACTTTCACTTAGCTTCAACTATTATGTGTGTATTTATTGGCATGTGATAGAATTCTCTTTTCCTTTTCTTTGAATTCAGTTTCATACTCTAATTGTATCATTTGTACATAGGCAAATCATGCTCGAGATGACAACTCGATGATATGGCTGGTGCAAGGAATGAAGCCATCATTAGAATTCAGACCGACAACGCGGAGGGATGCCCAGGACTAATTCAATGATGATTGATGATGGTATAATAAAAACTGCAGTCTGCATCAGCACTAATTTCTAGGCCTAAGTAAAGTTATTAAATCCATAACTCTGCTTAGCACTAAAAATTGCCCTCATCCAACCTTGATCCAGTTTGACTCACTTCTGAAGAGTCAAGATATATGACTAATCCTCTCCGTTCGTATTTTCTTATTGACTCTTTCTGACCCTTTAGGTTGGGGCGGGTCGGGAAGAATCGGATTAGTGGGTCGATCCTAATCAAGTGGAATCCCAATCCCTTCACTCTCACTTGCTTTCTCTCCCATTCCACAAGTGGGTAACATACAGTAATCCGGCCAACGGGCCGGGTAATAAGCTAGTAACTTTAATATTAACTAGTTTTTTGGCCCGCGCTTCGCGGCGGTAAGAGATTAATTATATTTTAAAATTTATACACTCATTTAATGATTTATTGAAATCAAATAATTTACAAAATAAATCGGATAAGATACTTTCTTAACTTTTACGTAATGTATTTGTGTTTATGGAATTGTTATAGAACGACATTGCGTAAATCTTTCATAATTTATGGTCTAACAATGAAACGAAGTTACGGATATGTCTCACATTTGACAAACTATTATGTAAAATTAACTTATCTTACAAAGCCTTTTGTGTAGTACAAATTGATGAGATGACGGATATTCAAGGTAATTGATAGATAATAAATTATTAGTATCGATAATCCCTCCATAAGCTTTACGTAGTGTGTTTGTTATTACGGAAGACTTATGTAATACGTTTTGCTTAATTAATACATAAGAAATAACTATCCTCTTGTAATTTTTAAATAATGTGTTTGCAATTTACTACATTGCTATAAAATGGTGTGATGTAACTCTCTTTTACGTTAAATAATGAAAAGAATCATTTAATTAAACTACTATGTAAAAGTAAACTTATCTTACAGAACTTTTGTGTAATAAAAATGGATTAGATGACAAATATAGTATTTTTTTTTATAATGACGAATGTAGTAGTTAATAATAAGTTTTAAACAATATTTTTGTAATATGCGAACATTCCATAATGTGGAATCAAATGTGCATACATAATTGACTACAAAGGGCAAATAGCTTATAGTAAAATAGAAGTGTATGAGATGGAAAATAAAAACTTACCTACACAACTGTCTGTATGAGAGAAAAAATTTATGATAAAATTGGGTATCGAAGATGAAAAAACTTTTGAAAAGTACCAACTAAAAAAACAAATTTAAGGTGGAAAATAGCATATGGAAAAATTGGATGGGCGTGTATTTCGCGATAATAAGAAACTCATTATATTGATGGTTTAACTGAAATTAAATAATAGTTTGGGTAAGATATTTCAATAAACTTTATGTAGTATCTTAATTAATACATACAGATGACTTACCTAACAATTTTTTTTAACGATTGCATAAGAAATAATTATCACTTCATAAGTTTTATGTAATGTATTTGTAATTTACATAGCTGTTATGGAACAACATTACATAAATTTTTTGTAATGTGTGATCTAATAATAAAATGAGGTTATCAACACATTACACTTAATTAAATTATATAAAACTTAACTTATGTACTTCCTTCAATGCACCTGTAAAATAGGAATGCCGCTTAGCTGGGCCATAACTTCCATTCCCCTCCCTTTACCATGAACCGTAATTATACATCCTTGCTTGGGCAACCGCTAAGAAGTTTACATGCGGTAAAGTAAGCAAGGCCACATTGAATAAAAAAATCTAACACTTGTGAACAGTAATCTTCGCTTAAAAAAGTAATCCCTATTTTATCGTATGCAACAGTAAAAAACTTATGGCTTAATTATTCTAATTTTTTTTAACGATTACATAAGAAATAATTATCACTTCATAAGTTTTATGTAATGTATTTGTAATTTACATAGCTATTATGGAACAACATTACATAAATTTTTTGTAATGTGTGATTTAATAATAAAATGAGGTTATCAACACATTACATTTAATTAAATTATATAAAACTTAACTTATGTACTTCCTTCAATGCACCTGTAAAATAGGAATGCCGCTTAGCTGGGTCATAACTTCCATTCCCCTCCCTTCACCATGAACCGTAATTATACATCCTTGCTTGGGCAACCGCTAAGAAGTTTACATGCGGTAAAATAAGCAAGGCCACATTGAATAAAAAAATCTAACACTTGTGAACAGTAATCTTCGCTTAAAAAAGTAACCCCTATTTTATCGTATGCAACAGTAAAAAACTTATGGCTTAATTATTCTAACTAATAATATGGCTTAATTATTCTAATAATCGCACGCGGGTTCAGATTCGACTTTTTTGGACTTGACAAAGGATCGAGGCCGGTGGTTATGCGTCTCACACGAAACAAAATTCAAAAGGTCAATTCGTCGGTTAAAATGAAAATGATTATTTAACTGATTGAAACCATCTTTTATTGAAGGCAAATATGCAATTAAGCATAAACCACATGTAAATAGGTAACCTGATCATTATTTTCCTTCTAATAAGTAATTACTACTAATCCTTAATGTTATCCCCTCCGCTCATTTATTAATAGCAAACTCCAGCATCCGCTACAAAATCGAAACCGCGCTGATCAGAAAACCAAAAAAGAAACTCCATATAATCATTCACCTCCCTGGAAATCAAAGCAAATCCAAAACGAGGAACCAAATTACGCAGAGAGAAAACACAAACAAACAAACAAACAAAAATGGGGGTGGTGCTAATCGACGGGAACACGGTCCGCGACTTCGTGGCGAGCGAGGACCACTTCAACCGGAGCGTGGAGGAGACCTTCGCCCTCCTCGACGTCGACAAGGACGGCGTCCTGTCCCGGTCGGAGCTCCGCCGCGCGTTCGAGAACCTCCGCCTGCTCGACGCCGACTTCGGGGTCGACACGCCGACGAAGCCCGACGAGGTGACGAAGCTCCACAATTCGATCTTCGACAAGTTCGACGGCGACCACAACGGGACGGTGGACCTGGAGGAGTACCGGTCGGAGGTGCGGACGATCCTCCTCGCCATCGCCGACGGGCTGGGGTCCAGCCCGATTCAGATGGCGCTGGAGGATCACGATCACCAGAGCTTCCTCAGGCGAGCTGCCGAGCTCGAAGCCTCCAAACTTGCCAATGTCAATCCTTAGATGATTTTTTTTTTATTTTTACTTCTGTTCGTTCGTTTGCACCTCTTTTGATTTGCATTGCAATCAATACCTGACCACCTAAACTTTTTGTATAGTTTAATTAATTCATTGTGTTCTATGATATGTTAATGAATTTGAAATGATCTTGTTCAATAAACGCCATATCAAGTACCAAAAAAAAATTAATCTTAATTATTAACTTCAATAATGTTACCATAGTTGAGAAAGTTGATAGTCCCCCGGTTTATGTATGTGAAATGTTCATTTGCGGATAACAAACCGAGGAAAGACGACATTGCACATCGGAGGAAAAAAAAAGTTCTATTCTTATTTAACGATGATTCTAACATGACAAGGAAGATCTTATGTGGTAATTTAAATGGAACAATGTGGCGTTCATATCAATACTTTGATTTCTGCAATGAATCGACTCTTTCAATCGCTTAGACAATCATCTATTTCGCTTTTTTGTGCATCCTTTCTAAAAAAAAAATTATTGAATTGATATGTGAAATGACATGCCAATTCGTATCTCGTGTATGGAAGGAAAAAAAATATATATTAGTGAGTTTCCTCGATGCTTGCCATCGCCGCGATTCATCCTCCTCCTTAACAACCTCAGAATCACCTTGTGATATAGACCCTATGTTTGGCCCGGCTTTTAGAAGTGCTTTTAAGCTTCAAAAGTTGAAGCAGGGCCAAACACCGGTAAAAGCTCGGCTTTTGAAAAGCCGAAAAGCGCTTTTGTATAACATAAAAGCAGAAGCTCCGATTTGGAGCTTCTGCGAAAAGCTGTTTTGAAAATACAAGATTATCCTTACCATATTTTAATTTTATTTCAGAAAATATAATTTCCCTTCATTTATATCATTTTAAAAATAAATTATAAAATCATATTATTTAATATAAAATAAATCTAACAAGATCCATTTTGTTTACTTTTTATTGTTTAGAATTTTTATTCATATTTTATATTATAAGTCCTTTATAGTCATTTTACACAATCTTTCATATTAAAAAGCACTTCTAATAGTTTTACAGCCAAACACTCAACTGTTTTTTTTAAGTATTTATTTAAAAGCTCCAACCAAAAGCTGCTTCTGTAAAAGCTACCGCAGGGCCAAACTAAGATAGAGTACCCTACCGCCTCATTTCGTGAAGGTTAATTTTGGGCTAAGATCAGTTGAATAAGGGGGTCCCTTAGTCATATGACTAAGCCAATCTCAGTCATTAAAGTTCATTAAAATCTAATGGTTCAGATTTATCTAGTTTAATAATGGTAAGGTAGGAATTACTTAATTTATTTATTTATTTAATAATTAAAATAAAATAGAAAAGGGCGTTCCCCTCCGCCCTTCCTGCCCGCCACCGGTCCTCGAAATGGGATTTTTAAGGTCCCAAGTGCCTTTTTCCGTCCCCAACACAGAGAGAGAGGCAGAGAGAGAGATTTACAGCTAAGGCGGAGGAGGCTTTTTCGGTGACTGGAGACGGCAGGCGATGATTTCCCGGCGACTGGAGATGGTATTTGATGATTTTCCGGCGACATTGTTGAATTTGTGATGTTTGTCCAGTTATTTTGTAATGTTTATAAATCTAGTTTGTAATGTTTATATCAATTCGGTTTGTATTGTTAAGTATTCTTGTTTGTCATCTTTCTCTATTACATTTGTAATGTTTATATGACTATTTTGTATATATTGTAAATTGTAATGTTGTTTTATTTTGTATATATTGTAATTTGTAATGTTGTTTGTCTAGTTTGTATACTTTTATGTTATGATTTGTATGTTTTGTATTCATTGATTTGTAATACAAGTTTACCGATTAGTATTGTAAGTAGTGGTATTCTATATGGTTTGTAAACTTTGTATGCTTTGTACTATTTGTCAATTTCTTTTGTTTTGTAATGTTTGTGAGTTCTTTTGTAATGTTTGTAAGCTTTGTTATTTTTATCTAACATGTTTGTCATTTTTGTCAACCATGTTTATAATGTTTTTTATGTACAAATTAATATTACAAAACATACAAACTATACAAATCATACTGACATTATGTACAAAAATACTAACCATACAAACTGACAACACTTGCATTACAAATCATTGTTCTTCCCTTACGATGTCGAGAGATCCGTCGCCGCCGCCGACTCTTTCCACCGCCGTCGCTGACTCTCTCTACCGCCGTTGCCACCTCTCTCTCTCCATCGTCGCACCACCTCTCTCCTCCACCGCACCGACGCTCTCTCTCCGCCGCCTCTCTCTCTCTCTCTCTCTCTCTCTCTCCTGAAATCATACCAAACCACCTAAAACCAAACAAGCTAAAAATTTTAGCCAAACCAAACCAATTATCGAAATTAACCAAACCAAATTAGCAAAATACTACTGGTTAAAATGGTTACCAAGGTAACCACACCGTTTGAACACCCCTACACGTAAATATTGATTTCATATTTTCATTGCATATTAACCACTTACGTTTTTTTAGTTGCAACTAAACCATATAAATCGATTACTGGTTGCATACTTGCATCGTTATATTTTTCATTCTTAAACTGAATGGCAAGTTCCAAACTGAAATTTTCCGCATCAATTTTGACAATTCCATTTTCTCTCACATTCTTTCATCTTCATTTCGGTATTACCAGCGTTCTCTTTAATTATCTTATGTCCTCCTTAATTATTTTCCTCAAAATTTACAATTGTTTCTTTTTTATATTAATTTTTAGGTCTAATTGAATTAAACTTTGGCTTCATTCCAAATAAAATAAACTTTTTAAACTTATATGGAATGTGAAATGCAATTCGTTTTCTATTTTTTTCGTCTATAGATGTTTTGCATAATGTGCACCTCAATATTAGTTTTTTTTTGGGAATTTTTTTTAGGTGCCACTCTTAGACTGTTTAAATTCATATATTATAAATGAATTGTTGTTTCAATGAATATTTGAGCTGAACGAAGTTCTAGCAGAAAGAGTCTTTCTTGAGATGAGTTCTGCACACCTAAACTTCAAGTGACAGTCAGATAAAAACTAAAGAAGCATATTGAGATTAAATACAAGGGGATGCTTTAAAGTTTAAACTGAATGACTAAAAAATAATTAAGAAATGGTCTTATGTAGTAAAATCAAGCCAAAAAAAATAAAGTAATGATTGTAATTCTGTTGAAGTTTTATCATAGCTTTGTTATTAGTGTTCTACTAAAGAAAAACTTACAGAGCGAAACTTAGTTTTCCGACAGAAGTTTGCAGCCGAAACCCCCATCTCCTACTCTATAAATAATTTATCATTTGGATCGACAACCACAGAGCAAGATAGGAAATGCAAAGGGCTATTGTGATCGGGTTTATTTAATCCTCCAATTTTTTTAAAAAATTATTTATTTTGTGGAGACTGGAGAGGAAGAAAGTCAAAGAAAAATGGTGTGATGTCAATTAAGGTGGAAAACTTCAATTTGATACCCACCGTTAAATTTAAGGATGGAAAATATAACGAATTAACGGTGCAACTGGAAGTCAGCTTGTGTGGTTTAGTTGCAACTGGTCGTTTGGAAGTTGTGATTTCAAATGGTGTATTGATCTAACTCATGTATTTGTGAGATTAAGTTGTTTTTTTGGTTTATATAGAACTAGAATACATGCATTTACTTTTTGGAGGAAAAAATCCCACTGTACACACGTTCTTAAAAAAAATTCCCAAAATACATGAGTTATAAAAAAATTTCCCAAAGTACACATGTTTGAGCATCACCGTTTTAGACAAAAGCGGTGAAGGTCATCACCGCGTTTGACGAACACGGTGAATACTTCATCGTCTTAAACAAAAACGGTGAAGTATTCACCGTTTCAAACTAAAACGGTTAAGTTTTCACCGCGTTAATTAACAACGGTGAACACATCACCGTTTTGGTCAAAAACGGTGAACCCATTCATCGTTGTTAAGTAACGCGGTGATCATTTCCCACGTTTCCCACCCCTGGTAGGTCAAAATTAGGTCGCAGCTACCACCTATTCACCGTTTGAGACAAACGCGGTGATGGTGTTCACCGTTTTCGACAAAAACGGTGAATAGTAGGCAGATTTTCCTATAAATTGCACACCAGCAGCAGTTGTAAAAACATAACCACTCCCCTTTCTTCAAATTTCAGCAGCCAAAATCGAGCATAATACACAGAACATAAATTTTTCGGTATGTTGAGACTTTTCGTATTATAGTCTAATTATGTTTTTAGTAGTTATAGTATGATTTAATTTTCGTATTATGTTGTTGTTAGTTAGTTGAACTTATGTTCGTTAGTTATAGTATGATTTAATTTTCGTATTATGTTGTTGTTAGTTAGTTGAATTTATTTTCGTTAGTTATGGTATGATTTAATATTAGTTGTACAATATGATTTTGGTTAATTTTACTGTCTTTAAGCTAATAGATACTTATTGTAAATCGTAGATATGGGTAAATTCAAGAAGTTTCATCTTACTATTCGGTGGAATGGAAGGGTGACAAACTCTGACATAGGCATTGATTATGAGGACGGCGAATCCATTATGCTGAAAATTGATTCCCGATTCAATTTTCAAGAACTCTGTGATCTTTGTGCAGAAAGGGTTTGTACGAGCGGACAGACGAGACTTGGCAAAATTACTTACCGGTATCCAGACATGAGTGCTGGCGGGGTCGTGTTCCAAGAAGTTGTCATAAACGATGATGACGCGGTTATGATGATGTTATAGTTCCTAAGCGATAACCAAGTCCGGCTTGCAGAGGTGTATGTTGAGACCGAGGCGGTCGGTGAATCTCATTCTCACCAGTATTCTTATGATGATGGTTTTGCAGGAGGGTACGAATGGGGTGGTAGTTCGAGCAACTACCAAGGCGGTGGTTATACAGGAGGTTACGGGGAGGGTGGTGGTTCAATCAACTACGGTGGATCGAGTAGTGCAGGATGGGACCAATACTCGCAACCTCCTAAACCAGCCCCATTTGTTGAGGCCGATGGTGTTCAATGGCCTGCTTGGGGGCCAGAGTGGTATGGAATCGAGAATACCATTCGATCAGGGCGTACTTCACATGAGCGAGAGGACGATGTTGGTGATCGTGGTCATGTTGATCCTTCTAGCCCGAGCTATCCATTCGAGTCGAGCGACGAGGATACTGAGGAAGATTTGATATCAGTGAGCGAGGAGGAGGAAGATACTGATGATAACGAGGATGAGGCGGCATTTCGTGAGGCACCCACGCCATATTACACACAGGTTCCAACTCAATTTTTACATAGTCAGAATGATCCCCCCGACTTTGTCCTTATGCCAGTGTACAATCCGACGGCCAATTTGGAGGTGGGTATGGCGTTCACATCGAAAGACGCTGTGCAGGATGCTTTTACAGAAGAGGCGTTGAGGCGCAATTTCGAGTGGAAGGTAAAATATTATGACAGTAAACAACTACATGTCATATGCAAGCATGATGCAGAGGGTTGTACGTGGCAACTGCGGGCTGCAAATATGAAGGGAAAGGGTGCTTGGGTGATTCGCAAAGCTAAGACGATCCACACATGCTCCTCTTCTATACTTTCCCAAGATCACATGCAACTAAAAGCAAAGAAGGTTGGGAGAACTATTAAGCACCTTATAGAAGCACAACCAGATATCAAGGTGAAAGCTATCATGGCAGAGGTGAAGGATCGACATTCTTACACGATAAGGTACAAAAAAGCATGGCATGGTAAGCAGAAAGCCATGGCTGAGGTGTATGGTGATTGGGAGGATTCGTATGCTTTACTCCCTAGACGTATGACCCTCCACCGGCTTCCACTGTAGGTGCCCACTGGTACTCGAACGGTTCAGGGATCTCGGTTTCTTGAGTTGTACGCACCTCATCGAACGTAGGCAGAGGCCTGCGTTTGCTCCTTCGTGGGGGCTCAACCGGGGGCACAATGGGTGCATCATCACGGAATGAGGGTCGTGACGGGGCAGGAACGGGAGGATAGGCCACGACATCCCTCCTTTGCTCTCTGGTACAACTCAGGAGGTTGTTCATAAGTCGGGTCAACCAAGTAGTCTTCCGCTCATCCATGGTTGGAGCACTTTCGAGAGTGTACTTGGCGTGTTCCAAACCATCAACCTAAGGAAAGCACGCCACATATCAAATTAACTAAACCTTAAAATAAATAGAACTTTGAATGAGGGAGATTAGGATGACTTACCAACGACCCCATCACAGCACCTTGCTTTGACACCCATCTCATGGTGAACTTCCGATACCACTGCATGTACCCATCGTGGTAGCCCATCGGTCTCGTCTCCTGCATCCCTTGCACCACCCATTGGGACCGATTCTCCCAGATGTTGATGTAGAATCCATGCTTTAGCACCCAGTTCTTTGCAGTGTGTCGGAGGTCCATGGCATGTAGCTCCCTGAAACCTGCAGGCGGGTCTTTGTGGAATTGGTTGCTCCATTCGATATTGCCTCAGAGATCGATCGGGTAGGTGCCATTCCACCATGTGCCAGCAGATCAATGGCACCTTGCACAACCACGTCTCGTTATCCAGAGGGTGCCTAAGATGATGCAGCTCAACCACTTCACGTGGATATGGATCCCATATAACCTATATTCATTCAAAAATTCGGAATTAATGACCATTTACATTGACAAAATTTAACTTGTTCAAATATGGACAAAACATGATTACCTGATTCCACCATGGTTTATCTAACTCAGAACGATAAAACAATAACGAATGCTCAGGTTGATGGTCATTCGTATTTGCTCCTATCCACCTTGTAAGTAAAAGTACGGAATCAATTTAGTTGAAATATAGCTAAGCATATAATAAATTAAATTGGTCTAAGTACGTAATAAATAAAATTTAAATCTAGCTAAGCATGCAATCAAAATTAAATTGGGCTAAGTACGGAATAAATTCAATTTAAATCTAGCTAAGCATGCAATCAAAATTAAATTGGGCTAAGTACGAAATAAACTTACTTGACACCGTAGGGGAGATTTTGCAGAAAGTTGAGTTCATCATCGTTTCTCCGGTATGGACGTGGGTCGAGAGGTGCGAACATCGGGAGATGCTCCCATACCCACAGTTGCAGGATGAACATCGCAGCACCAGCTTGCTTTGCCCCAACCTTCGAGCAAGTACACAGCTCCCGGTATACGCTCGCTAGCACGGCCGATCCCCAACTCTTCTCTCCAATTGCATCCCAGTCACCAGTGAGCAATGGCAACCATATGCCTTGAATCCACCGGTTGGACTTGTCAGGGAACAAAAATCCACCCACCAAACCGATGAGGTAGATGCGGGCGTAGCGCTCGACTTGTTCTTCCGGTGTCTCGTCATTGATTTCCACCTCTTGCTGGATGTGAGATACCAGCCACGGGACCGACACTTGCCCCGCATTCAACGGTGGATGCCCCCGTCCTTGAATTGGTGTGGTGGTCGGCATGTCGAAGCCCAAACGATCACGTATGAGCGGCCCCCAACCTCCTTCGGGTTTGGTCGTGGAACCAATGATTGCATCTCCAGAAATAGGAAGCCCGGTGAGGATCGCCACGTCTTTGAGGGTGATCGTCATTTCCCCCTCCGGAAGGTGGAATGTATGGGTTTCGGGACGCCATCGTTCCGCCATTGCCGTAAGCATATCGTTGTCGATCTCGATCCGCAAGAAATGGCGCAACATTCCCAAACCGGTCCTCGCTATGTAGGGCTCCAACCTTGGATGCCAAGCGGGCAAGTTATTGGTCCCTTTATGAACCACGGTAACAAGAGATTCCTAAAAAAAATAGGAAAAACATCAATTTATTAGATTAAATAAAGCAAAATAAAACATTAGAAAATAATAAAATAAAGCAAGTCAGTTCATCAAATTACCGGATTGTTATCCCAAATAGCACGGGAGCGATGAGCTTCTTGATCGGTTAAGAGACTCGCATCCCTTGGGCCATAATGGATATACAATCGAGGATCGTATATCTCGGCACCCATCTATAAAAAAGTAATGAAATCAGAGATTGTTTTGATAAAAAAAAATCAAATTGTTTCGATTAAAAAAAATTCATAAACCAAAAACCTACACGAAGAGCCTCTTCGTCCATTTTTTGGCGTAGGCCGGACAGAGGTTCGACAATTTTAGGTTTGTAAGGGACGGGAACTTAGCGGGATGGGGGCTTTAGGGTCAAACTCTAGTAATTCTTTCTGATGTGGAAGATCGAACTTAGCCGCAACCACAGAGCATACTTAGAACGAGACTAGAGCGGATAAATTGAGGGAGAAAGAAGTGAAATGTTTGTGGGGTGAGTTGAAAGTGAAAGGGGAAGGGGGTATTTATAGTTGGGGGAAGGGGGGAGGAGCTGATGCGCAGTTATTAGGGGAGCATTCACCGCGTTTGAGGAACGCGGTGAACTCCTCGCATTAACCAAAAACGGTTACTGCAAAGGTGACGTGGCGTGCTGTGAGGCGTCGGATCGTGGGAAGAAAACCACGATCCGCGCCTCACCGCATCTAACGGCCACGGTGAAAGCACACTGGCGCGGATCGCTGACGCAAACAAACACGGGGTATTCACCGTGTTTGTCTAACGCGGTGAATACCCCGTGTCTGTCCACGTCAGCGACTTCACCGTGGCCTACAATAACGGTGAATTCCTCACCGTTTTTGATTAAAACGGTGATTTCTTCACCGTTTCATTTTAAAACGGTGAAGGCATCACCGTTTTATTTAAAAACGGTGAAATGTTCACCGTGTTTATTAAACGCGGTGATAACCTTCACCGCCTTTGTCTAAAACGGTGATGCTCAAACATGTGTACTTTTGGAAATTTTTTTATAACTTATGTATTTTGGGAATTTTTTTTAATAACTACTGTACAGTGGGATTTTTTCCCTTTTTGGAGGCCCCACCACAATCACTCAATATTGATGGATTTACAATATCTACTTTTTGTTGAGATTCTTCACAAACACTCAATATTAACTTTTTTATATTTGGAACAAAAACACAATCTGAACCTCCAAAAAAGATATTTACCTAATACATCAATTAATTCAATCCATCAAATGATAATACACTAATTGTCCTAATACATCAATTTGAAGAATCACAACTTCCAAACAACCTCTAAACCTTAAGTTGTTAGTATGCAACAAAATCAATACTGGTATCGGTGCACTGCAACAACTAATAATACCCTGCCTCTTTTGGTTCGTCCATGCACTTCACCCGGTTAGTCGAACTAACCGGTATAAACCGGTTATTCTCCTATTTTCTTTGATCGGCCAATTAAACTAACCCGTTCGAATCAAAATTCAAAACCCTAATCTATTTTCTGACTATCTCTTGTCCATTCGACTCTTTCTTTCCTGCTCTGCCTTCCAATCATCGATTCCATCTTCCTGCCTGCGATTCCCCTCTCCGGCGACCACGGCAGCTCTCCTCTCAGTCGTGCCGGCCTCCGCCTATCACCGCCGTCTCCTTGTTCGCTTCCTCCACTGCTTCTTGCAAGAGTAATTGGCTGCCCTCTCTTTCCCTAATTGTCGCTTGCGCTTTGTTTGGCGGAATGAAATGGTTTATTCTGGTAGTTTACCTCGATGTATATATCCTTCTTCTGCATCCGGATTGGCTTCATTCGTCTCCTCCCTCATTCCGCCGCTCCCGTCTAGGGTTTTAGCTTCACTGCTGCTCCAGCTCACTCTCACTCGTTCGCTGGGTTTACGTTTCAGGTCACCCGGGGAATAGCCCTTGCAGTTCCACCAGTGGGTCGCAGAGATGGCTGCAAGTTTCGTTTCCAAGTTCTCTCGCGGTAAGATACCCCTATTCGCCACTTGATCTAAGGGATCTTCTGTTTACCGAAATGGTGCTCTCTGATTCATTTTGCAGGGAACCCTTTGCTCTTTTGCTTAACTATCAATTAGATAAAGAATGGTGAACAGTTCTAATGATATCGTGATTTTCTTGGATTATTAGATACTGGTGAAATGATTCCTTGCTAATGTAGTTGATGAAAATTGCAGTGGGGCGATCTCTGTTGGGGGGACTAAGCAACAAAATTTCATCTGTAGCAGCCAGCAGCACATCACCTGAACTCACTTCCAGCAGCAATGCACTGTACCAGGTTCGTTAAAGTTCTCTCCTTTCGTCACATGTCAAGCCTTTTGATGTGTATACTGTTTTCACTAGATGCTTGAAAATCTTTCTTATAGATTGTTTGGTTATGTTCTTCCTTGTGACTCTTGTCTCTTCCTGATGGAAGAACCATCTTCTTGGCTTTCTATTCTGCGCCAGCAACATAGGACGTTCATTCAAATGAGGACGGTTCTCAAAGTTGCAGACAACTCGGGTGCCAAAAAGGTGATGTGTATACAAGCGCTGAAGGGGAGGAAAGGTGCGAGGCTGGGGGACACAATCGTGGCTTCGGTGAAAGAAGCAATGCCGAATGGCAAGGTGAAGAAGGGGAAGGTTGTGTATGGAGTTGTTGTGCGGGCTGCCATGCAGAAGGGGAGGTGTGATGGAAGCGAGGTCAAGTTCGACGACAATGCTGTGGTTTTGGTCGACAAGCAAGGCCAGCCTATCGGTACCAGAGTTTTTGGTCCTGTGCCCCATGAGCTCAGGCGGAAGAAGCACGTCAAGATCCTTACTCTCGCCGAGCATATTGCCTGAATATTTAGTTGTTGTTTTAGATGTTATAGATAGTTTGATTTTTCGCTTCCATGCATCTGTGGATGGCTCTGTTTCTGGTTAATCGTCAAGCTGTTTACGGCAGAGCAGAACCATGCACTTTGTTTACATAAAATCGACGAGAACTTTCAGCGAGTGTAGTTTCCTCTACTTCCAGATCAATCGGAAAAGTTTATGGTTTATGGTTCAAAGATAACTATTATAGAACTGCTGGTTAATTGTTGATGGAATTGTTAATTCATTATAACCTAAATACACTAATTTAGGATTGAAGTTATTATTAACCATAAAAATTTAAATTCCTGTAATCCATCACAAAATTAAATGCTTTATACTTTTAGTAAATTCAAAATAGTGGTTCATTTTATTTGGATTTTTTCAGAGTTTGTGTTAAAAGTTGTTTTCTTGATTTTTTGTGGTAAAAGTAGTGGACTAGTATATAAGTGAAATCAAGGCGATTCATATGATTTTATGCAACGGTTAAAAATTATTATGTCTATATCTAGTCGTTCAAGTACATAGACCGAACCACTATAATTACTGGTTTGTGGTTCTACTGGTCCAACCGTAAATCAGTTCAATTTATGTAATATGTGTATTTTCTAGGTCGGTTGTCTTGAATCTCCATCGCCGTTGAAGAAACGTACCGGCAAACCGTACTGAAAGCCTGAATTGGGCAAGCCCCGAAACTGCAGAGCGGCACAAGAGCAAAGAAAATACGGGGAAAGGCAATATGAAGACCATTGGCAATCCCCGAAGTGCGCTATCGCTGTGTTTGTCGATGCCACTCCGCTCTTTCTTCGACTCACAAGAGCCACCGCTTCTGGTCCTTTTCATTCGCAGGTAAACCCTCTTCTTCTGAAATGGGTTTTCCCCTCCGCCATTTTTTTTTCATATGTTTTCTCGTCAACCAAGCACGAAAGGTTAAGCTCATTGTTTTTCCTGCGTTTTTTCCTGATTGATGTGTGCTACCGCCCAAGTCTAGGCGTTGCTCCACTGTGTGCATCAGTAGCGATCATCCTCAGGTGGAGAACAATGTTGGCGAGGGTGAACGAGTGGCCGGTCATGGTGTTAATCGCAGAACCTCGAACAAGACAAAGAAGGCGAAATCCATGGCGCGGCTTATCAGTTCCAAACCCTGGTCAACTGAATTTGAGACCTCTCTCGCCACCATATCTTCTCCAGTCTCCAAGACCACAGTGATGGAAGTTCTCCGTCTCGTGAAAAACCCATCAAATGCGCTGGAATTCTTCAACTGGGTTCCCAAAATGGGGTTCACCCACGACCAAGACTGTTACTTCTCGATGCTGGAAATCTTGGGTCGCGCTGGGAAGCTCAATGCTGCTCGTAACTTTCTCTCCTCCATCGAGAAAAAGTCTAGCGGCGCTGTGAGGCTTCACGATCGGTTCTTCAATAGCTTGATTCGGAGCTACGGTGATGCAGGGTTGTTTAATGAGTCTCTAAAGGTTTTCGCTTCGATGAAATCGTTAGGCGTGTCTCCATCTGTGAGAACTTTCAATAGTCTTTTCTTGGTCTTGCTTAAACGAGGAAAGACCAATATGGTTAAGAGCATGTTTGATGATATGCTACACACTTATGGTGTTTTTCCTGATACGTATACTTTCAACATTCTGATTAGAGGGTTCTGTAAGAATACCATGGTTGATGAGGGATTTAGGTTCTACAATCAGATGGTGGAATCAAAATGCGATCCTGATGTTGTTACCTATAACACGCTTATGGATGGGTTGTGTAGAGTAGGCAAGGTACAGATCGCACATAATGTGATGAAGGGGATGAATAAGAAAGGTAGGGATGTGAAACCTGATGTTGTTACTTATACAACTTTGGTAAGAGGTTATTGCATGAAACAGGAGATCGATGAGGCTATGGCTGTTTTCGAGGAGATGGTTGAGAGGGGGTTGAAACCAAATGATATTACTTTTAACACACTAATTAAGGGGCTCTGTGAGGCGCAGAAGTTTGACAAGATCAAAGAGGTTCTCGAGGGTGCCTTAGGTGGTGGAAGTTTTACTCCTGATACTTGTACTTATAATACACTATTGTATACACATTGCAATGCGGGGAATCTTGACGATGCATTGAATGTGTTTGAGAAGATGATGGAATTAAAAGCTCAACCTGATTCTGCTACGTATAGTGTTCTGATCAGAAACTTATGCAAGAAGAAGGATTTTGAGAGAGCAGAGAAACTTTTTGATAAGCTTTTCGAAAAGAAGATTCTAGTGAATGACAATGGCTGTACTCCTCTTGTTGCAGCTTATAGCCCAATTTTTGAGTTCTTGTGTAAAAGTGGCAAGACTTACAAGGCGGATAGAGTGTTCAGGCAGCTGATGAGGAGGGGAACACAAGATCCTTCTTGTTACAAGACTTTGATCATGGGGCACTGCAGGGAAGGTGAATATGAAGCTGGTTATGAACTTCTGGTCTTGATGCTAAGAAGAGGCTTCCTCCCTGAATTCGAAACTTATCAATCATTAATTGATGGCTTCTTGCAGAAAGGGGAACCCGTTCTGGCTCAGCAGACACTAGAAATGATGTTAAAGAGCAGTTACCTACCTACAGCAGCTACTTGTCACTCTATACTAGCACTACTACTGGAAAAGGGGTGTACTCATGAATCAGCTAGGTTTATTAAACTGATGCTGACGAGGAAGATTAGGCAAAATATACAACTTTCTACGGAAACTGTGAGGTTACTGTTTAGCAGGGGACAGAGAGATAATGCATATCAGATTACTGGTCTACTCAATGAAAACGGTTACATAATCGACATGGAGAAAGTGATGAGTTTTCTTTGCAGAAGTGCAAAGCTGTTGGAGGCACAACAGATGATGCTATTTTGGTTGGATAAGGCTGGTAAGCATCACTTGATTGATGTTAGCACTTGCAACGCCATCATTGAGGGTCTCTGCAAGAAGAAGAGGCTTTCTGAGGCATTTCAGTTGTTTGTAGCTTTGGTGGAGAAAAACAAACATAGAGAGCTGATCTGTGCAGAAGAATTAGCTGCTGCTTTAGGTGCCAAGGGACAAGTAGAAGAAGCTAGCTTCATAAATAAGAGGATGCAAAACCAGTGGGAGTCGGTTAAATTTCAAACACCTCTGGCAGTTGCTGAGACATGAGACTCGCAGCGGCAACTGAGAATACAGGAGACTTGCAGCAGCGCCTGAGAATGCAGGAATCGCAGCGACGAGACATGGGTGGCTGCCAGAGAGGGGAGTCGCAGTCAGGCAGCTGGAATCAAGATCATCGGGAACGGGAAGACAGATCAGAATTATTACTGGACATCAGTTGCCCTCACTAGTCAGACTTTGACAGGTACAAGAACCAAGTTTTAACTTGCTTACTTTTACCCTGGTTGATTGCGGGGCAGGCTACATGACATGACTACTTGTACGAGTGCTTCTGTATTATGTTAACGTTGAACTCAATCAAGAAAAGACAGCTGTACATATCATAGTTGATTATCCTCACTTGGTATTTATGAGTTATGATCAAGGTTCGGTGACATTCCTGAAATTCTCGCGGCGGTTGAGTCATGTAAACTTCTTTACCGAGTTCGTTGTTTCTGTGTTTTGATTCTACTGCTAGATAAAATAAACTCTCTTGCACCAGACAACATTGTGATCAGCAAGGCACACCGGAATTTAAATACCATAGAGACTAACTACTGAAAGTAATCACATATCAACTGTTCGAAATAACTGACTATCCCGAGGATGATCCCCCCTTGAACACTCATGATTCTGTGAAGTGAAGTGAAGCTCGTTGGAATCGAATTGCTCTAGAACATTTTCATTACATAGAATCTGGAGCTCAAATCTCCAGTTTTTTCAAGACGAGAGAGCGAACAAGCAAAGAAAACAGTATAAGAAAATTGAATTTCTCAATACTTGGTATCAATTTGTAAGAATTGAATTAGACAAGAGCAAGCAACTCCAGGCTCTATACAATTTAGCAACGAAAAAGCAAACAATAAAATAGCTTCAGTGCGTGTAGTAAAAATAGCCACAACGGTCATGAAATTTATTCCCGTCATAAAATGAAGAGCAACGTAAAGCTAAGGTTTCTTCTTCGGGTTTGAACTTGAAGCAAAAATTTAACTGCTTTTTCTCATATCTTCAAAGGTGGTCGCAAATGGCCCTTGTGAAATCAGATGTTGTAGAGCTGCCGCCGAGATCTGCTGTTCGGTACTTTCCTTCGGCGATGGTTTCAAGAACGGCCTTCTGAATCCTATCTGCCTTATCGTGGAGTTCCAGATGCCGCAACATGGAGACACCACTCAGGAGCAGAGCAGTTGGATTTGCCAGGTTCTGCAAAAATTTCCAAGCGCCGAAAGTGTCACGACAACAAGCATATAGGAAAGTTAAGATTTCTTCACAACAGAAACTAGCAAGAATACCAGTGGTTCATCCATAACAACCAAATACTAAGAGGTTCAAACATCTTTCACGTTGCTCTGTCCCCGAGGACTTTGGTTAAGTTCTGATACTCATCTTTAAGATTTACTAAACACATGCGAGAATATTAGTAATGGAGCTAACCTTCCCAGCAATGTCAGGGGCAGAACCATGGACAGCCTCAGCAAGAGCTATTCCTCCCTCACCAATATTGCAACTGTAACAAAAGGAAGTTAGAATTGCAGTCAGATCACATGCTTAACATGATAAACAGGAAAAAGTACAAGGGGAGGAGGGGGGGGGGGGGGGGGGGGGGGGGGGGAATGATTATTCTAAAGGGTACAACCTTGGCGTCAATCCCAGACCACCAATTAGACCAGCACAAAGATCGCTGATGATGTCACCATAGAGATTAGGCATAACCAACACATCGAAAAGAGCTGGATTCTTCACAAGCTGTTTATGCATTCACGGAAACAAGTATCAGCAGAGTTGCTTGCCTTTTTTAATCCAAGAGTGTTACATTACTATTAGTGATATTAAATATGCAAACTTCAACGGGCATTGGACAGTCCTTCAATTAAACTAAAGCATGAAAGAGAGGGAGCGACAGTTATTATAATTTCACATACCATCATGCAACAGTTGTCAATGACAACCTCTTCGTATTTGATCTCAGGATACTTCTCAGCAACCTCACGGCAGCACTGCAAAGCCCATTACACCAACGTTGAACAAAATAGAAAAACAAAAACCAACAAAAAGAATAGCTGTGCTTCGTATGAGAAGGATCAACAGTATCTTTACCTTAAGAAAAAGACCATCAGTTTTCTGCATGATGTTAGCCTTATGAATCGCAGAAACTCTCTCTCTTCCGTGAGCCTTTGCATAGTGGAAAGCATATTCAGCCACCCTCAAACTTGCCTGGCGAGTAATGATCTTGAGACTTTCAACCACACCTCTCACCACCTACCCACCAAAAATCACCATCATGTCAAAGTTTATCAAGGTTGGCTAGGTGCAAGTTAGCCAAAACCGGAAAGAAAGCTCACTTGGTGCTCAAGTCCACTGTACTCTCCTTCAGTGTTTTCACGAATGGTGACGAGATTCACATCATCATACCGGGTTTTGTAACCAGGAAGGCTGTAGCAAGGTCTGACATTGGCGTACAGGTTAAGTTCTTTCCTGAGAGTGAGATTCAAAGAACGATGGCCCTTTCCAATTGGTGTAGCCATTGGCCCTTTCAGACCCACTCGGTTTCTTCTCACCGACTCCAAACTTTCCCATGTCAGAAAGCTCTGGGTTCTAGGATCTATCTCGGTCCCGACATAATGTTCTTCCCATTCAATTGGTACCTCGGCTTCCCTGAAAATCTGTATGTACCCACACTCAAATCATATAGATATATGACAAACAATAAGCATAATTGCTACAAGCAAATTAGAGAAGAATTCCACAATGAGGCAAACAAACACAATCTTCCACCTCCTATTGAGAATTTCCTCGGGAGACATTCTATCCATAGGAGTAACGATTCTCTGTTTGATTTGCTAGAATTCAAGAATTCCTACAAAAACATGTTCAGGCTAGCCAGTAGGGTGAAACTGACTCCACGTTTTTCATGTACCTATAAAATTCCACTGACCATTCAGACTGAAGTGTCATGATACACCTCGTCCTTTAATAGTCCTTTCTCAGCAAGTTAGTGCTTCAATGAAAGGGAAACAGCTATTTATTTATTGCAAGCTATGAGCTTTATTTACCCAAACAGTTCTTCATGGTGGTACGTCTATTTTTCTGTCCAAGTGTTCACGGAAACTCCAGCTACTTGAGAATGGCTTCATATAATTACATAGACGGCTTTCGATTCATGTGGATGTTTCCTGGTCCTAGATTTGGCCCTTGCGTGCACCTTACTAGACCAGATATTTCCAAGCTTGACCACACAAAGGATGGAACGTCATCTTCATTCATCACCAACCAAACAAATAGAAGGAAGAAAACAAAAAAACAGATTTTTCAACATATGATGATTTCTCAGCGAAATCTCGAAACAAGCAATTGCCATCTCAGGCCGACGAAAGACGAGTGCACACCACCAAACAAAGTCCAATCACGCTCATTTTGCCATTCAAGGAAAATCAAATCGAATCAAGACTAAAATTCCATACAAAATATCATAAAACCACGGCGAGAACTGCAAGAAGGATGCCAATTGCGAGGGGAAACAAGGAAAGGAGAGACAAGCGAGGAAGGAAACCTGTTTCACAGATTCCGCGATCTCGGGGCCGATACCGTCGCCGGGGAAGAGAGTGGCCGTGATTGGAGCCGAAGAGAAAGCCCTAGCGGCGGAGAAAGCGGACGGGGACGAGAGGATCTGGTCAGGGCGGCTTCTTAGAGCGCGGCTCAGGATCTGCTTGAACGCCATGATCGCCGGAGAGGTCTGTGGTATGTGTTGGAATTTTGCCCTTTCGAGTTCTCGACGAAAGACAAGAGACAGAAGGAGAAAATCGTGCCACTGAGAAAGAACGAGAGAAGAGCCAACGCGACGCGACTCTGGGATAATAATAAATTTAATGAATAAATAATAATTTACAAGTGGTTCGTCCGGTTAATCGGTCGAACCGTTCATTCCCTTTTTTTGGCACCTAAACCAGCTACAACCCGTTCAAATCAAAACCCTAACCTAAAACCCCAAGACCTCTTCCTTTTCTGCTCCATCTTCCCCATTGATCACAGCTGCTTGCCAGCGACTCCTCTCTCCGGCAGCCGCTTCTCCAACGCCGCCTCAACTCTCCTCGTGCTGGTAATTGTTTGATTCAGCTCAATGTTCACTGAGTTTACAATAGTGAAAAGCTCATTTCTTTAGACCGAATTGCGTCATTTCATTGCAATGACATTTGGAAGGGTAATGGTTCCTAATGTTCAAATGGTTAGCAAAATGAAATTGCTACCATAATAGCAGCATATCCTTACAAATCTTCTCGTGTTACAGAACAGCACCTCAGACTCATTCATGATTCCGCATTAATCTTGTTACAATCCGACCACTGAAGAAAAGAACACAGTTAATCAGAACAAAGCTACTTCGATCAGTCAAGGTAAACTTTAACACCAATCCCATTATCAATGAGAGACTGAACCACAGCTCTTATTTTCCCTTCAAACTTGTCCTTCTCCCTAGGAGTGTAGACAGCAGTGTAAACGTCAGCTTCCCTTGCCCTCTCGCCCAGAATCCGGCCAATGGCCAGGCAGGCAGGAACGTCCGACCTCGACTTCAGCACGGCCTTGATGTCCTTGGAGTTCGTCCCAGCCACTGCAACTTGCTTGCTCGTCACCCTGTGAGTGAGCGATGCTGACACGAACCGCTTCGAGATGAACACGTCCAGTGTGAACGGCTCCAGGAATGCTTGTGTCCTTTGCTTGAAAGAGATGTTCTTGTTCGGGTTCTTTGATACTTTACCCTTCTGGAAAGTGTACGGCCTGCTGTTTTCATCGTCCAGAAAATCCTCTACCCCGAAGAAGCTTCTTGGGGCATTCTGTGTCTGTCAGTATGATATGAAACAAATTTCCAAAGTTTAAGTCAAGGCAGAAAGTTGTCCATTTTGCGTACAATCCTGATACAATAAATTTTCTCAGAGGCCGTGTTTGGCTGATGTATTGCAGATTTTGCAGTGATTGATCATGCCAGAATTCATGTGTTGATGTTTGTTTACTCCATTATTTGGTTCACCAAGCAGAAAGGGAGCTTGATGCACTTGGAAAATAACTTTATGGACTTGTAATAAATTATAGCTCACCCCTTCATCAGAAATTCATCAATCCAAGTACCAGATTCTCCTCAATATTAACAAGAAAGATACCAACAGTTGCTACTTCCACACTTAATAATGAACCCAACCCATACAGAACCTACATATAACGATCTATCACAAAAGTATATAACAAACAATCTATTAGTTCCTAAAATCCATCTACTTCTCAAAGTCTCAGAATTCTATGGCAATTGGCACAAGTCATGGGATGGTGAGGAGAAGGAAAAAGGAAGTACCTGTCCAGTATGGAAGCCCACAATTGCTGAATTTGAGAAAGGTCCAAGCTTTCTGCTTGAGGTCGACAGAACTTCGCCGCCCAGGACTTTGCCAAGCGCTTGTTTCAACATGTGATACTCCAGTTACTTGAACTAGACAACCCAGTTCAATTCAGTGGCCCTTCACCGTCTATTATAACCTGTGAGTAGGAGGAAATAAGAGATTAAACGAAAGAATGGGCAGCAAGGGAATCAGAGTTCGCATCAACTGCGTCCATACTATTTAAATTACCAACTCAGGCCCACGATGAAAGAGTTCCTGACACTCAAACATGCAATTCATCAAACAGTTTGCGTGCAAGTCCAACCAGGCCAAGAAGCCAAGACTAGCTTCCAGTTCGATGAATTAGGTCTTCTCAGTGAGAGCACCAATTAAGAGTTAACACTGCAATACATGCCCATTCCAAGGGACAGTGAAATCAATCAAAATAAGCCTTCTCAATCCGAAGTCCAAGAACCATCCAACCGGAAACCAATACAACTAAAACCATATAAGCAACAGAACAGAGGGTTTCCGGGAAGTAACCTGAAGCTTTATCCGTTTGGGATCGCCAGTTGGCTAATAGTCTGTGAGTTGCTGGCGTTTGGATTCGCCGGAGGCTATATATTACGGTCCGCGGAGACCCAGCTCCATTCGCCTCTTTCGAGTTCGACGAAAGACGGAGAGAAGGGGAAAAGCGTTCCCCGCCGGAAAACAGAGAGAAAAGACTGAAGAGACCTACGCAACACAGTGATAATAAAAATTAGTTATTTTATTTCAAGCGGTTCATCCGGTTGACAGGTCGAACCGCTCTTTCCCTATTTTGGCAACTAACTAACTAACCGTCCAAATCGAAACCCTAACCTAAACTCCCAAGAAGAGAAGATATATCTTCCTTCCGCTCTTTCCTCCACTTTCTCCCCACATTGATCCCAGCTGCTTTGCCTTCGACTCCGCTCTCGTGACTGCCTCCTTCACTGCGTCTCAGTTGTGGCAGCTTCGGTTGCGCGGCGGAGCACAGATAAAAGCTCTCGTGGATCCCCGCGGCGCTCTGGTAATTGTTTGGTTCAGTTCAATGTTCGTTGAATTTACAGTAGTGAAAAGGCTAATTTCTTTCAATCAATTTGTCATTTCATTGTAATGGCATTTGGAAGGGTAATCTTTCGTAATGTTCAAATGCTGAGTTAAGTGAAATTGGCAAATTGCTAACATCCGGTGATTTAGTTAGTATGGGCTAGGCTGATTTTTTGGGACTGAATCATTCTTTGTGAGACAAATGTGATGTCTTTTTTCGAGTTTTTAGTTAGCTTTCTAATGTAGTTGATTGTTGGATCCTTTGATGACTCTGCTTAGATGAGTATATCCTGCTTTTGGGTTACTTCTGAGCTTCTGTTGTGGTGCTGTGAGATTTTCATCTGCTCCATCCAGGGTAGTTTACTGCAGATATGCACACTATTCACCGCGTAATATCTCGGTTATCCTCAACCACGGTGTGCAGTAGTACACCTGCATCGAGATTTCTAAAGGAAACAAGTGCTACATCTGCATTTGGTGCTGAAGCAAGTCAATTCATTAGGGCACGTGGCTTTTCTTCACAGTCGGGCGGTAGTGGTGGTGGTGGTGGTGGAAATCAGGGAACGAACGATTGGGAAAATTCTGCTGCAGGTGGATCGTCCTTCGGTTCGACCGGGTCTGATGATCTGGGATGGGACTCTGTTTCATCATGGTCAACTGGATTGACCAAGGATCATTTTGATGGGGAGATGGTTGGCAAGATGGCAAGTTCAACTGGCAAGGAAAACACAGCTTCTCAGTCGTTGAAGATATCTGAGTTGCAGGATCTTGATGATAAGTTAAACGAACTGGATGCAGAGAACAAGAAAGGGAGGGCTTTTGTTAATGGATGGGGGGAGAGATTACGCGAAATAAGTGGGTTGTTGAAGCAAGTAGAGGAGCCTGGTGCTAGAGGATCTTATCTTAAGGATTCAGAGAAGGCAGAGATGTATCGGTTGCACAAAGAGAACCCTGAAGTGTACACTGTTGAGAAGCTTGCCAAGGACTACAGAATCATGAGGCAGAGAGTGCATGCCATTCTCTGGCTCAAGGAAGAGGAGGAAGAGGAGAGAAAGCGTGGTCGTATCCACGATGACTCAGTCGAACTTTTGCTTGATACCTGCCCAGAGTAAGTCACCAATAACCGATGTTTCGTGTGGTCAAAGAGCACTCATAGAATGCCAACAATTTATCATTAGTTTTCAACGGCGAGCATGAACATTTCATCAGTTATATGACCAATATAGTTGAGTTTCCCCAGACACTATTTTAACCTGGTCTTTTATTTTCTTGCTCTGGCAGATTTTTCAATTCCCATGACAGAGAGTTTCATGTAGCATCTCTTCCTTACAAACCTGATTTCAAGGTGATGCCCGAGGGTTGGGATGGTACAACTCGGGATCCAGATGAAGTCCACTATGAGATATCCATGAAAGAAGATGAAATGCTGTACCAAGAGTTTGTCCAGAGGATGGAATTCAACAAAATGAAAGTAAGTTTCGTAATGCTTTCGACCATTTTATACTGTAAGGTGAAAAGTTGCTTTCCATCTGGACTTTTTTAGCCATTTCGTGCCTTAACTTCTTGGTCATTTGGACTTATCTCCTCTACTTGTCATTCCCCTCCGATGTTGTGTGTAAAAGAACGCACAACTTGTATTTCTGAAGCGATTGAGGGAAAGTTGAGAAATTTTCGTTCTTGCTTTGTTTTGTGAGTTCTGGCGGGTTGTCGGGTCTGAAAATCTTTGTGAAGGTGGTTGTTAACAATATAGTGACTCCACGCCAGTGGAATATGGATCTTTTGTGGTTTAATTATTGTGTTTGTGGCCTCGGTAATATGATCCATATATATGTTGGCAAGTGTGTCTGGTATGTGGAAGAAGCCTGCTTTCCATATGATGATAACGATGTCCCTTGTTACAGATTGCTGGGAAGGTTAAATGCCACAAATATAGTAGGCGGCGCCCATCTGAAGGCTGGAACTTCACAGTGGAGAAAATGGGCCCTCAAGGAAAGCGTGGAGGTGGCGGTGGCTGGAAGTTTGTAAGTTTACCAGATGGCTCCAGCCGACCTCTAAACGAGACAGAGAAAGTATATGTGAAGCGAGAGACTCCACTACGGAGGCGCAAGATTTTCCCATGATTTCATTATCATCAGATTCCGACGGCAAGGGTTATTGATTAGGAGTAGTCTGGGAATATCTTCAGTGATACGAGCTTGGGGTAATCACTCTGTATAATAAGAATGAAAGGAAGGCAGTTGGAGCTGGGTTCATTTGTTTTTCTCTTTTCTTTGATGTACTGGAAAATGGGTGAAATCTAGCCCTCTTTAACTATACATTCAAACAATTTCCTTCCATTCTTGGTTTACAGTTGATATAAACACAGAAAAATACTCGTCTTAGGCCTTCAATCCTCGGGTGGAAGCTTGTATATGCCATAACCAGTATTTTGTAGGACCCTTTATGTTATTGCATGCTGTCAAACTGAGACTTAGGTTTGTGGCTCTCTCTGCACAACTTTTCAAAACCTCTAACAGCTCTCCCTATGAAGTATGAACCATGCTTGCATGCATGCACATTTCCTTGCGAGTCAAGGTCAGCAAGAACTAGACACTGACCCTAGCTAGCGAGATGCGATCAACTGGGTCTGGCACTTGGATCAGTGAAGGAGGCTGCAGCGACCATGTCTTTAGATTGCTTAGTGACCGACGATGATGATGACTCGACCAGCTCTGGTACTTGATCAAGCAATCGGTTAATCTGCCCTTCGAACTCACCCTTCGCCCTGTTGCTTTTGCCTCCAATAACCAATGATGTTCCATCTTGTAAAGCCCATATCTTGTTGAATAGAGAAACAGGAACAAGAAGACAGACAACCGATTAATATTTGAAGCCAAGAAAGACAACAAAGAAATCAAGAACATCATTAATGTTCATAGAGCCATCTGCAAAAGCAGATCAAATTAGTGTAAGCAAAAAATATCAGATTGTCTGCAAAAGCAGAATACCAACCTGTGCATGTGATAAGATGCTGATGCATGTTGTGAGCATTAGAGCACCGAATCCGCTGTACACTACTGGAACTCCAGGGTCAGTCTGATTCAAAGTAGCAAGTAGGTAAAGTTCGGTTTTCGAACTAGTTCGAAGAATATTAATTTCATAATGGTTCAAATACCTCAAAGCAAAGTCATACCTTAAGCTCAAGACCGCTGCTTCCAATTGCATCTTCAATAATAATTTTCATCCCATCAATCTCAATTGGAAGCTTGGAGTTAGGGCGTCGAACTCCAACGAATTTCCCTTCTTGATCATACAACACAATGGACTGTAGATCACGAGCAAGCATTGATCTGAAGGGGGGGAAAGTAGTTCAAGCAGAAGACCTTTTTACGTAAGTATCAAGTTAGAAAGCCAGATTTGTAAAAGGAAAACAAAAAGGAACAGAAACAGAAACTAATAGATTGACAGGGCATGCGTACATTCCCTTGACGTTAGGAGCATCAATACTCCCAACTGGTAAGATTGTCCCGTAGAGTTTCTTATCCCCGTTTACTTTTAGTGGCGCCATTGGCAGATTGAAAGGTCCTTCCCCATCTTTGACTACTTGCAATGCTGAAATGCTCCAGTCAGTCTGATAAATTGTAAACCCGCCATAACGTAGAGGATCATTCACACTGATTGTTTTCCTCATAACTTCCTTCCCATCAAGATTTACCAGTGATAGGTCCGTATGAAACTGCGACACCTATAGAAAACAAAGATGCACACAAATTATTTTGATGAGATGAGTTGCTACTATTAACAGTCAAGAAAAGCTTGATCATCTGAACAGATAAAGATGGGATGTACCTCTCCACTCTCATAGTAGTCCATGGAGAACTTGTTGACGTGAACCTCAGTGCTGAAAGCTTCAGTAGGAAAGGAGAGAAACCCACTTGGTCCCAGTACATCTCCTACAACAAAATTCAACCCTTGTGGAACTGTAACCGATCCTCTGAAGCTTCCTGTGGCGCTAAGAGTTGCACCCACCATTATCAGCAGCATGGCTAAGTGTACTCCAATTGGGGTGTACCGACCCACGAGACCCTTAAATGCATATAGACGTGGCCCCTTAAGAAAAACCTACATTGATGATCAAATCAAATCCATGCTCAGTAAGCACCACCATACACAGCAAAATCACTATTTAGTAATTTACAGATTGAAGAAGGGTAATCTACCTCGTATCCAGATCCCATCAGGATCACACCCAAATCTTGAACTGACGCCCGGGGCAATGTTTCGGAGAAGTCCTGCTTACGAACAGCCTCAGGTGAGTCCATGAATTTCCATCTGCACATACAACGAATTGAAGTAGCAGTGTCAGTCAATGAACAATTTTGCGCTGTGTTATCTTCTTTATTATTGTGTCATCATCATTTCACTACTACCAACTAATCAAACCTTCTTGCGACCTTAACGAGGGGAATCTGAGTTGTGTACGTGCAAGCCATTAGAGAAGCCCCGAGAAGCGCCAAAGTTGTCAGGAAAACAGGAGATGAGAACATGTGATCAAAACCAAGGGCGAGAACCCATCTCCACGTAATGAACCCATATGAAGGACTCTCTTCCGGGTACTTCTGGAAATAGTACTCTGGTGTCTCGCCTTGATCAATCACTGTACCTGCAGAAATCATCACCCATCGCCATTATTGATTAGTCTTCCCAAGCCCACCATACTTCTGGTTTAAACCAGAACCTCTAACATCATGCAAACTAAACCCAACGCTCCAAATACAATGGTAAAATCACGATAAGACTATACTGATTCAGTAAAGTGTGAAATTCAGAGAGTATAAAAATGTGGCGAAAGGAACAGCAATTCCAAAATTCTGGCAATTACCAAGAGCCATAAGCGCAGCAATCACGAACATTTCTCCGATGGCCAGAGGCAAATTAGACAGCAGAGACAAAACCTTCCTCGACAACTTCTTCACCGACCGCGACACCGCACTACTTCCACTCCCAGCCTTGACGGGATCCTCCTCCTTCCCGCTGCCGCCGTTCTTCTCCGCCCCCTCGGACAGCGGCGGAGCGGAATTCCATAGCTCAATCTTCTTAGAAGCGCTCTGCTTCTTGACTCCTCCCGAGGATTTCAGCTTGCAGTTTATTAAGGTTAATGGAGGAGGGACTTGGGTTCTGGAGCGGTTGCGGAATGTGTAGAGGTGTTGAGGCTTGAATTTGAAGGTGGAGTTGACGAAATTGTGACAAGGCTTGAGGAAATGCAGTCTGGAGGGAGATCGGTGCAGCGTTCCCGCCGGAGGCATTAGAGCCTCCATTAATGCAGCTCTGAGGCTTTCTTCTTGGAGTCCAAAAGATCAGAGTTTGGTGGTGGAACAACCAATTTTTCAAATTCCTTTTATCCGGAAATTATAGTGTAGAACGTAGTGACGTGGACCATTTAGCAGTTGTCACGTAGAAAAGAATTGGCGGATATTTCATTTTAAAAATAGGTGACGTGGACCATTTAGTAGTTGCCACGTGTTAAAAATGGTGGATATTTGGAGATGCGGGGAATCGAACCCCGTGCCTCTCGCATGCGAAGCGAGCGCTCTACCATATGAGCTACATCCCCGATTTTGTAACATTTCATCATAAATAATGTTTTATAAGTCAACCAGTTACGCTTGCATCCATTATCTTTCCAAAATCAAAATAACGGCCACACAGTCCTTTCCCTCCCACAAAAAAACAGAGCAAGTGAACTCGCAAGAATGCTCCACTCTCTATCCTTCCAACCTTCCTCTTCTTCCACCTACTCCAGACCCTTCACCTCCCGCCGGCGGCTCCCACCGCCGATCCACATCAAGTTCGACACAACCCGCCGCGAGCATCTCCGGTACCTCAAATCCATAGGGGTAGTCCACCCAAACACACAACTCCACAAGCTCCCATCTCCCGATTCCACCTCCAAAATCATCTCCATCGTCGACTTCTTCAAGTCCAAGGGCTTCTCCAACGCCGACTTCCCCCGCCTCGCCTCCATCGGCCCCGAGCTCTTCTCCCCCAAATTCGACGTCTCCTACATCGAGCCCGTCTTCCAATTTCTCACCTCCGACCTTGGAGCTTCCCCTGAACAGTCTCGGGGTCTGATCACCCGATGCCCCGACCTTCTCTTCTCCGATGCGGAGCACTGTCTCCGGCCTACGCTGGACTACCTCAGGCGAATCGGGGTGGAGAATTTGAACGTGCCGAGCATCTTGAATGCCTATCTGTTGAACATTCGAGTCGGGAAGTTGCAGTCGAAGGTGGAGTTTTTGAGGAGCATAGGGTTCTCGGAAGAGGAGGCGGCGAGGTGCTGTGCGAGGATGCCTGCGATATTCAAGTACAGTGTGGAGAATAACTTGAGGCGCAAGTATGTTTACCTTGTGAAGGAGATGGAGAGAGGGTTGGATGAGTTGAAGGAGTTTCCGCAGTATTTCGGGTTTAGCTTGGAGAAGAGGATTGTGCCGAGGCATTTGCATTTGAAGGACATGAACGTTAGGGTGAAGCTGAATATGATGCTGATGTGGAGCGACCAGAGATTCTATGCTAGGTGGAAGAAGAAGAAGATAACAGGGCTGCATAAGCGAAATTCGGGCTCTTTTGGCGAACTGTCGTAAATACAACTTCAGTTGTAAGTTTGAGAGGAGGAGTCGAGCAATAAAAACTATTGAATCGTGATTCGAATCCTTCAAACAACATTACCAAGCTGATGAAACCGTGTTTTGATTGTTAGTACGAGAAAGTGCGAAACAGGGGCTCAATTGTTGCTGCTTAAGCTGCTAGTTCTGTCATCTGTGAGCCTTCTGATTTCACTGCTTGCTGCAAGTACTCAAACAAGAAAGCACGTTCTTGGTTCACATTGTCAGGCACAAGTTTGCTCGGAATGGTACATGTAACCGCTAAAAAGGCGATATGTACCAACAACTTCGAGAATCCGCTTGTGATAGTTGTTTCTAGGCGCTGGAAGAAACTATGTTTCTCTAATGTTTAGTGCATGGGCGGAAGTTAACTCGTACAAGCAAGCCAAGAACTGGGCTTCTAAAGGGTCTTGCTATCGATTAACTGAGGTCCCTTTCCATCTGCCTAACCTATCACATAGAAAGCACAGGATCAAGAACAATTGAGGAAAATGCTGCATTTACTGTTCTCACATTCAAAGCAACATTTTACCTAGGGAAACACAGGTTTCATGGTTGCTTCACTAGCATTTCGATATCAGCTCCTACTTCAGAGATCTTAGCATCCTTGGACGTCTTGGCTTCTTTTGCAATCTTATCGACTTCAAAGTCCAAAGCTATTCTTTTCACCAGACCATCAAGCATCTGTTTCACAGAAGTAGACCATCACTTATTGAAACAAAGATGGTTGATAAACATTACTTGCAGTTAAGCTGCAATGTAAAATTGAACACCTAAGTAAAAGTGTTTAACACATAAATAAATAAAATTAACTACATACGAGGGATCCAATGGCGACAAGAGCCCGGAACTTCGAATCAACATCCAGATTTTCCTGTTCTGCTATCTGTAAAAACCGTAGAAGATATTGTTTAAGGCCAAATCTTGATAAATAAAAATGAATGAAAAGATCAGTATCAAGATCACAGTAGCTGCTTCCGTACAACCTATTCTTCTTTTCTCCCTTAGTTCTTCTATTTTACCACTAGAGTTAATTTGGGTATTAAGCAAAATAATGGATGGACTATACCTCAAGAGCGGCAGAAAGAACATGTGATTGACCCTCTTCATCTTTCTTCTCTATTAGTAGAACTGCATAGCTACATAATTCAAAGATTTATATTGGTGAACATTTGCCAACAAGAGAAGCAATGATTATTGATTACTTTAACTGCTGGTTCTTTCATTTTTATAACTCATTTACAATCCATTTATTATCATTATTAGAGTTAATACAGGGAAAATGCTTACTTAAGTATCATGGTTGAATAAGCCAACTGCAAGTTCTTGTTTGGGGATGTATTAACATTCGAGAATGCATCAAGAATCTGCAAGGGTAAGCTAAAGTTCAGATCTGCTCCATAAAAGCAAATATCCGAAACCAATTGGCTTCTATATCTGCGATTACTCGAACATCACAAAATACGCAACGGGAAAATCCACACTCAGAACATTCAGTATTGCCTAGTGGTTAGTGCCAAAAGCAACGCAAGGTGAAGAACCCTACAAGAAGGAACAATTTCCTTCACAGGTATTTCCTACATGTTGTATTTAAGCAGCAGAAAAATAGAACTAGACTTGCCTCGTTGCGATGCTTTAGCAGCCAGCTGTGGTACAATGAATTTTTGAAGAGATTAGTTACAAGACGGATACTGGTCAAAAGGTTTGGGGCAAGAGGATTATCTCCTGTAACTCTCCTGAACGTTTCCATTAGCATATCTGGCAATACAGCACAATTATGAACATTATTACTCTTTCTGCGCATGAAATAAACTGTAACCATGAAAGAAAGATGTCCTGCAAGAACAGAGTCGTTCATAGGGCTATTTACAGCAAGGCGACTAACTATATCTTAGTTTTCTAGCATCCCAATCATACACTTGAGCATTTTGGAGTTATTGGTTGCTTTTGGATGGAGTTTCGCTGTTTCCATAGCTAATTTTACAGGCTATTCAAACCGAGGGAAAGAGAATCATGCAAACAATATGGAAATAAGTGAAGAGCTCAATATTGCAAATAAAAGAAATGAACATCAGGGACATATCACTGTACCATTGTCATCTTTGAAATGCTTCTGAAGAACCTTAGCACCATCAGGATGTAGGACAGTCATCCTAAGAATATCAATCACTGAACCAAAAAGAACAAGGGTCAACATAAACACTTGTCCAGAAATTAATACATGCATCCAGGTTAACAAGTTAATTCGCATGGAACACAAATGTCTATACAGAACCACAGATAAGAAAACACTACTCATCACTTGTCATCGCAGTAATAAATATTACATATAAGACACGAGTGTGTGTGTGTGCACACATAAACAGTAGGAATGAATAAACCAACAGCATGGTCTAATCTAACTCCCAATTCTACAGGAAACGAAGAAAGTCATTAATTCTTTTACAAGTAGCCTTCTCAACAAGTGCTAAACAGTGAGAATATGAAAGTAGGTTGAACAATATGTGGCTGTTTAGAAAAAGAACTCAACCATGCCTCAAGGTTTATAAGAGAAATAGTTTGTGGATATGAAAGTTCCATATTGGATGAGAACAACTGACTTCTGTTTTTCAAACAACAATAGAAGGGTAGAAGTAACAGACATCAAACAATCCGTGATCCCTATGAGACCTGCAAGAGCAGTTTCTGCAGAAATACAATATTCTTTCAACATATAACATGAAGATAACAGGGTCTATTAGGAATAGAACTCCAAAAACTGCATGTAACAAGAATCAGAATTTACAAGAAATTTGGTCAAGTAGCCAGAGCCTTGGCGCTCACCTGGGAATATCATCGTAGGAGGCCATGAGTGTAGTAATTTCAGCAGTAAAGCAATGTCAACATCAGCGAATTTACTGGTATGATAATGAGATGTGTCTTTCAAGACTTTGATAATGGCACCCAGTCTCAATACCTCCAGTTCTGAGAGACAAATGTGCTTTTTATCCTTCAAGAAAATAAATGGTATGGAAAAGATATTAGAAGAAAGTCTACCATACTTATGCAACAGAGACCCACAAAAATGTGTACCTCGTCAGAAAGTAGAGCACTGTTGAACTCTGTAATCTTTTTCACAATCCCATCAAACTGAGCCCCGTCAAAAGCAAGCATCCCTTTCTGGAAATGAAATATAACAATATGAACAAGATAATCCATAAAGTTCTCAAACAATGAGTCTCATTATGAATCCAACAATGGTTCATAAGAATCATAGAGTGATATTCAAGCATAAAACAGTAAAGTAGGCATATTCTTCTTGAAAGTAATTCTCGCTATCCATCTAAAATATGGTTACTCCAGCATACCTTGGGGATATGCTTGAAATTAGGTTTTGCTGGACCACCTGATTCATATATACAATTAAGAAAAATCATAAACTAATTAACCGCTCCAGTAACCAGGTGCAGCACAGCAACATAGAGTCAAGAAGTTTTGAATTCTTTGAAGAATCGCTAGAACAATCATACCAGAGACATTGGAAGTTCCTCCAGGTACATACGAACTTGCTGGAAAAGCATGAGGAATATTCGTCACGAGATGAAGGGGATGCTGCCAAATACTTAACATAAACTACAACAAGCAACAATTAACAACAATATGAAATTGCACATACCGCCAGTATAAGGGTCACGGAATGATGGATCAAAAGGATTGCTCTTTTGTCCAGCATTCTGAAGTATGAACTCCACAATTTGTTGACGATAAGAGAGAGGAAGATTCTCCTTTAGAAGCCACTTATCAGCAGTATCATATGGGTTATCTGTAAACATCTTAGCTAGTGTTATCAATACATCAAATTAGCCGACTCAACAGCGTTGAAGGTAGTTGAAAGCTTAGTACATGAAAGGAGCCCCCTTGTAAAAGCATATTGCATAAACATATGCGTCATATATCAAACAACCAATAAGCTGAATCATTACAGATGAAAACACAAGAATGCAAAGCCAATCAAGACTTTCAAAGAATTCATATTTATCCTGCCAGTTGTTAATCGTCCCACAGTCAGTTTAATTGGACTGCCATGATGGATTAAGCGCGGATGACAGACAGGATCAAGCATCAAACTCGATCAGCAAAATGATGTCATCTAGACTGTGCGGGATTATTAAGTATAACATTTGAAGTTGATGTTTGGAATTGCAGTTAAAACTAATATACGTTACAAGAAGCTGGGAGCCTGCCAGTTTTTAGGAAATGGTAATTTTTTTCATTCTCAACGCAGGACAAAAAGCAGAACGAATTAAAAATTCAAGATAAATACCATCTCCGAAGCCTAACAGAGCAGAAAGGAAAACACTGATACCTGATCGATTGTACGGCAGTTTACGAATAGGCTCGCCATCTCCAATATCAACATCGAATACTGATTAAGATATGAAAGAATATCAATGAACAGCAATTGCAGCGACACCGCAACATGAATACATAAAAGTGAATGAGACTAAAAATTAGACACAGCTAAATTGATTACCAAAGTCATACTGAACGCCATCAAGGATAGGGCTTTTCACGGCATCATCTGGTCCATCAACAACTTCACCAATCTGGAATTCATAAAAAAGAACATGAAAACTTGGAATTTCAACCTGCAAACAAGTTTTTTCCCTTCACCATACAAATATTACCAATGTACAAGAATTGAAGCTAATGCACAATTCCTGAAAATTCAACAAGATTCAAGTTTGATTACAAAACTTCTACCACTATTACTGACTGCAGAATCAGAACAGCAATTGGAAGCATGAACCAGTTCAAATCCTCTAATACATAAACGAAACTCGATTGATTAAAGTCTCTTAATCAAATCGTTTTCACCAGAAATTTTGACTACATAGCTTAAATGAAATAAAGAAAAGTCTTTAGAATAAACTGGAGATTACTTTGTCCCACGTGTGTTCTCTCAAATTCCATGAATACGCAACTCCACTGTCACCTTCTCTGACCACTTTTGTTTGTCCATCAGTGGTTCCTGAAGCATATATGGAACCCACATAATTACTAGTAATTGAGTACAGAAATTCTTGGTTGCGAAAGTTACCAACAGCAAACTTTGCACCACTAAATCAAAGCAGGAAAAGCACAATACTAAATCAAAGGAGTATTAAAATGCCATGGATTGGCATTTGCAATGCCAAACAACTGTTGTTATTAGTGTTCATCAGTTCATCATCTTTGGCACTCATTTCCTCACAAGCAAAAATGGACTCATGGTAACTAGTCATAGGAAGCATCATAGCGAGTGTTATTCGAGGGGTTTTGAATCTCACCTGGAGTTTGTAAAGCATCCAGGCCAGGTAATTCTTCCAGTTTCAGACCTCCAACCCTCTTCCTGATAAGATAATCCAAGTACGTGTGAAGCACTATATGAATTCCTAAGTGTCAGGTACGTTATGCATTCCTCAACAAAGATATAGCGTTATAAGATGTGACTTCTAAACCAAGACAACAGGAATTCTATTAATCCGTATACAAATCACGCAAACATTCATACAAGCAACGACTGAGACCATTTTGGTTATAACACGCAAACATTCATACAAGCAACGATTGAGACCATTTTGGTTATAACAGATTTGTCAAACACTATAAAAAGAATAAAAATAAACGAAATACAATGAGAGGGAATGCCAAGCTAATTTCATTATATCAAAGAAAGAGCACATGCAATGGTTCAGAGAAAAGCAACTACGCATGCACAAACCTGCTTATCTTGTATTGGGAAAGCTGAGACATGTAGGATTCTAACTCAGTTTTGTCAGCAACTCTATCCTGATTTGATGTCCAAAGACGTACTACTCCATCTGAACATGCAGTTACAATGTCCCCGTTCTCCAAAAACTTGGCATCCCAGACACAACCTGGATGTTCTATGCTCTGAACACAGATTCCATCTGAAACATTGTAGTGAATCAGTAAAAACATTGTGATATCTCAATGACTTATGGGAGCCTTCAGAATTGAAAGTCAAAACGCATACATACAGAAGAAGAAATAAATGAGATAATCACCTTTCCATATCTTTGCTGAGCGATCCTCACTGCCGCTGATGATAAGTCCAGAAGAATGAGAATCAACTGAATAGACTATAGAAGTGTGGCCAACCATCTCCATCAGTACTTCGCCAGTCAATTCCCACAATCTAATGGACCTGTTGCAACAGAATATCAGCATTAATAGAAAAGACCAATAATGAAGTAAACCAAAGATGATGTGGGGGGAGTGGGGGTAAACCGTCCTCTTATATTAACCAGAGATGGCATAACCAGAGCATTTAACACAACTCAATAAAAGAAACGTGAAAAAATGTAAATAAATAACTAACCCGTCATGGGATGCAGACAGAAAGCCCAGTCCATGCATGACTGCCAAGCTGCGGACAGTATCTGCACAATTCAATATGTCAGGACATCCAAATGCACGTTTATAAGCTGTGAAAAGCGAATTAATCAACTTGACAAAGAGGAATAAGAGAGAAACAACATAGGTGAATGTTCTTGACAATTGACAGTTTGACAACTACACAATCAAACCAGGATGCTAGACATTAACTTCTCAAACTTCCACTGAAAAATGGCTTGATAGGCGAAACAGCTAGACTTGTTGATTTATCGAAACTTTTAGGAGCTAGGAATTCAGTCCAGTAGGACTAAGGTCTTTGTAAAATTGTACAAGGAGTAAATTCGCGGGGCTGAAAATTTTATAATTAAAATAATACAGTGAAAAGGGTCAAAAGACATGAAAAGGTACAACTTTTTTCTATGCTCTTAGTTTTTTAATTCATGTATGGGACATTATCTTCACACAAAAAGGGACATTCTGTTCGTTTTTTAAGTAATTATTTCATGGGTCCTCCGGCCTAAATTTTAGTCACCCTTCTTAAGCTTTAGCATTAGACTAATTTTCGTTTCAACCTATTTGCTCCTTAAGTTTTGGGAACAAAATTTTAGCTCAAAGAAATACAACAACAAGGTCGCCAATACCCATAGGAAGCATAGAATACAAAGGGAACCATTAAAAGTTCTCATGCTTCTGCTTTGAATGAATTTATTACAGAAAAAAAAAGTAGGCCAATCCACCTTTTATGATGAATGAAAAGATAAATCCAGAGATAGTTATCTGGAGAAAAAAAGAAAATAGGTGCAGAGTGAACCTGTATGCCCCACAAAGGTGTGCGAACAAGTCTTTCCTCTCCAGAGCTTAATAGTTGTGTCACTAGAACCTGTATGATAGAGTGAAGACTTCATAGCTGCGGTTTACAAGCAAAAACTAGAAACACAACACTTACAAGGTTCCTATGCCAAAATTATAGGCCAGTGGAGGTCTGGAGCAATAACATAAACAAATAACTGGAATGTCAACTTGAAGCAAATAGTATACCTATTGTACTAGAGTGTAAACAGGGTATGGAACTAAGTGATCCTAAACTAAAGCATAGAAATATATGAATATGTCGGTAGACAAGTCAACCCTTTACACCATCACACTACATAGATGAATCTATTCCGAAGAGACTCTGAACAATAGTGTCATTCATTTAATTAAGAGCACACCATGTACAAAGCATGACAGCTAAATATTATATGATCTTCTCATTCAATCACTAGAAAGTCTAGAGTAGAGGAATAGCTATATTTGATGGATGGGGATCTTTTATTTAAGACTGGCATAAGGAAAGAAAGAGAATGGGAGTTTCACCATATCTTTATCAATTGGCATTTCAAAGCAAATCTGGGCAATATATATTTCTTACTTCAATGTTAAAAGGGAAATCTAGCTCAATGATAGCATGTATACACTGCTGAGCGAACTATCTGTACTTTACAAACCAGCCAAAACTCATACCTGAAACAAGCTCGCCGGATGGAAGTTTTATAACAGCTTGCACAGGTGACTTGTGAGCTTCCCAGGACTCAACAGCTTGGCCCTTCCTCCACCGTTTCAGAGTGCTGGCGCATATCCATCAAGACCATGAGTGAGCTCATGTGCATTAATTGAATTAAAGATTAACTTAAATGCAAGCAGACAACAACTTTCAACAGAGTAGGAACTGGCTCATGTTCATGATGTCAGCTTATGCAGATTGATTGTATGCTTTGTTTTCTCTTTCTATTCTTCCTTTTTCCTCTGGATGAATATTAATAGACACTACGGAAGGCACTATGTCCGCTACAGTACAAGCTTAACATGAAGATGAGTTTGCTACAAACTGAAAACCTCAAGACCTGAATGCTTCAGCACACAGAATAATAAGGAAAGAGATAAACCTTGAATTGAATGAGCTTACCAATCAACTGAAGATGAGATTATATCCTCATTATCCAACACAACTCCAGTAACTTGCAACTGATGCCCCCTCAGAGTCTGCACCAACTCTCCAGTACTTAAGTTCCAAACTAAAACCAGAGTATCCATTCCTCCCGAGACAATCCCTCCTTCTGGGAACTCGTCATTCGGTGAAATCCAAGTCAATGGACCCACAAAACTTGTATGTCCCAGCAAGATTTTTGACGAGGTATAGTTGTGCTTGGCCGATGGATCTGGAGTCCAGAACCTCACAGTCCTGTCTCGTGAAGAAGTTGCTATCCCGGCATTATCGCATACACATATGCCCCGAACCTGAAATCAAGGAAATCATACTGTCTCAATTTACATATCAAGGAACTCTAAAATATAAAATAACTCTACTGTTCTCTTACATATACCACCATGGTACAAAGTTGTCCATGGTGACACAACATTGTATCATCCCGCTACTAGACTTATATCAATGTAGTACCATCTGAGAGTAAAAAATGGTGAGAAAGCGAGATTTGAAAACATTGGCAACGAGAGAGAGTGTCAACCATCATTGCCATCCACTTGAATGGATGTCATTAGATAGGGTTTTTTTTTTAAACAGTTTCCATGGATGACACTAAGAAGTCACCCAGATCAACCAACTCATCCCTTCTACTTCCACTTGAGGCTATAACTAGCTTTGAGTTACACTGACCTTTCTTTAGAGTTGGTTGCATACGGATAGCCTAATTGAAATACCATAAAAGCTTTCCACAAGGGAGTCAAAAATGGAGATCTGTACGAAGAGGGGGGAGAAGAAACTGGATGAAGCATTATTCCCTACAAGTTTTGCCAATATAAAAAGCGGAAAGAACTGAAACACCACCGAATCTCCATTTTCACTGCCAAGATAACAGGATATACGTCCATTACCCTAGCTAAATCAAATAACCTTGTTTCTCACTGTCCTCCAAACTCCGGCAGATGCTTAATTTCGTTGCACAATTTCTCAGCAACTACTGGTAAACATCAACTTGAAGCTGCTAGTTCAAGAAATGTTGACCAGGATCATAGTCCAGAGGCAACGGCCAGCAGTTGACAGTCCCTGCTGTGTTATAAATGTTACTGACATGATCAACACAGAAATCAGCAATCTGCTGCGAGGCCGTCAGAAGCTAGAGTAGTCATGGAAGGCTAGTTTTGCTTTTTCCTCCATGAATAGCCATGGAGGACTGGTTAAACTTACGATCATCTACCCACAATAGTTAAAACTCCCCGTGCTGCAATTTCCCTCATACAATATTGGAGACTTAAACTAACCAAAGCAAGCTGAACTATTCGGCTACAATTAGATGAACATCAAGAGACATCAGTCTTCAAGCAATCACACTTCCTACGACCTACATTGCTTCAGAATTTCGAATTCGGAAGAAATTCAATCAACTACCAACACAGACAGGATCGGAAGGCCTCGGAAGTAGAATCGAAATTGCGAGATGGAAAGACGAATCGTCTACTGCCAGATCAATTTCGAAGGCTAAAAGACGAATGGAAATAGACGGGAAAAGGGAGAATCGCTCGCTTACATCGTCGTCGTGGCCGCGAAGTTCACACCTCAGTTCGTACTGCCTGAAATCGACTTCCATGTCCGCCATGACTGAGCAAGAGCTGATGAGAGCAGTAGCTCGTTTTAGAGAAAGGATTTTTAAGAGCTTGCCTGACTTGTGAAATGGGCAAAGACGCCTTCGATTCCCTTTATTATAACTCCGCAGACCGACTTCTCACGCCGGCGTGAATAGACGATACGCACCCCTGGCGCAAGTCGTATAATACGTGGGGTTAAAAATCATTTTTTTTAATACCAAAAAAATCTGATTGAATAGTGCATTAGGGGTGGGAGTGTACATGGTGGTTGGGCCGTGCTTGGGCTGGCACGGCACGGGCACGCTTCAGGCCCTTTCATGCCGTGTTTGGCACAACTCGTCAGTTTTCGTGCCGTGTCATGCAAGCCCATTTATCAACTTTGCTAGGCCCGGCCCAGGCCCGGGCACGGTTCGAATCGTGTAGTGCCTATTCGTGCTCGTGCCATGCTCGTATTCGTGTTTAATGAAAAGAACGAAAACAAAAGAGAGAGTGAATAAGAAGGTGAAAATTGGACCGGGGAAGATAGTATTAACTGATAATGTTTGAGAAAAGTAACAAATATGGGGGAAAAGAAAATTGAAAGTATTAGTAATTACATATATATCTTTATGACACTTCTAACAACAACAAATAATTATTTTTCTACTTGTGTTTTGTAATATTTGAACCTATAATTCTTTTTATACTTATTTTTTATCAAATAAATATTATTTTCGTGCCATGTCCGTTCTAATACTCAATAAAGTCTCGAAAATATTAGGCCCGACACGGCCCACTTATATACCGTGTCGTGCCCGTGCTCGTGCCCGTGCTCATGAAGTTTAGGCCCGGCACGGCCCATAAATTATTCGTGCTCGTGCCGGGCTGACCCATTTATTTCGTGCTCGTGCTCGTGCTCGTGCTCTAACCGTGCCGTGCCGTGCTAGCCCGTGGGCGGCACCGCCCGGTGCCTACGTACAGGTGGGAGTTTGGTTCGTGATTTGCAGTTTAACATGCAAATCACACCGAACCACATATTGTTTGGCTAATCACTAACCGTATATTATGGTTAGTGGTTTTGTTGTTGTTAGTGAAATTGTAAACTTTTTTGTAATTATTACGGTTAAACCACAATAATTGCACAACCCACACTTATTCATTAAATTTTTTTTATACGTATCAGTATGTAATTGACTCGCTCCTACTGTCACTCTAGAAAATGGCCAAGTGTAACCACTTCCTAATGCGTAGTATAGCGGGTTTGGGTTTTAATGTCAACCCAGGTCCTAGATGTGATGACTACTCAACGAATTCTTATTATTTAGCGGTGAAACTTTAGTGCAGGTTCAAACAAGCAAGCAATTAAACGGTTGTTTTCAAGTTGAGAGAGGTCACCCGGATATGGTTCCCCCTAGACTGCAGTTAAGCCGGGTTGTAATTTACCAAGTTCAATTCCTATGATAGTTATACTGCGGGAGGTTCTTAAGCAGTCTGAAGTTCAACTAAAGGTCTCCAGACCCTCTCAATCTGAGCCCCCAGCGGGCGACTAGCCTCCACCAGAGTAAACAGATTGAGGCCCTAACGAACCAAACCTCCACTACCGAAGTAAATTCGGTACATTATAGTGAATTGACTCCTCGACTAAAGTCGCCAATTCACTACCTTCAATTAAGGGTGCTCTATCAACCTAGGCAGATATTCTCTTTCTAGGCTAAAGTAGAAATAACAGGAATTTGATCAGGATTCATGCCATTCAATCATTCAAACCTCAATTGAATATAATCAAATCATAGAATCTGTACTTGGGTTCATACAATCAGACCTAACATACAAATCTAGGGTTCTCCATACCCAGATGAATAAGAAAACTACTCCATAGAGAGAGATGGAAAATCTAGCTCAGATGCGGAAACCATACTGTGAAGGATGATAATCTGCTTATGGCGCTCAATCGGATCTTCTCCAAGCTCAAGGATCGATCAAAGACACTTGAAGACTCAGTTTCGTCACTTTCTCTCTCTAGGTATCGCTCTGTCTCTCCAAAACTCAGAACTCCTTCTCCTTTGGCTCAAATCTGCTTAAAAGGCCGGCCCTGGGCAAAACACGGTCGAGGGCACAGCCGTGCTTTGGTTTTGCCCGCCCGTGTTTTGCCCCGTGTTAAAAACACGCCCGCGTCGGCCAAAACACGGTCGTGCCTAAATATGGACACGGTCGTGTTTTGCTTTAGGGCAGCCCGTGTGTTATGGGACAATCCAAGTACCACATCGGTTATACAAGGGAAGGAACCCTTGTATATTAGTGTCCACCAATCTCATTAGTACGAGGCCTTTTGGGGAGGACACCCAAAAGTAAAACCGTGCGGGCTTGGCCCAAAGCGGACAATATCGTACTAATGAGCAGCCCGGTTATGACAAGTGGTATCAGAGCCTGGTTCGGCAGATTCGGGGCGGTGGACGTCAGTTCGGTGGACCCTCGCTCGGTGACCTCGGGGTTTGAGATCTGCATCTGGTTTGGTGGATCCAGGAGAGATCCACGTTTGGGCTTGGCGGATCAAAGAGAGTTCCGCATTTGGGAAGCAGATCAAAGAGAGTTCTGCGTCTGGTAAAGTCCTTGTATCGAGAATCCCATCGATACAAGGCATCTGGCGGATCAAGATAATTGATGAGGTGAGGACACGATGTTCGTGGTCCTTGGCTTGAGGGGAGGATTGTTATGGGACAATCCAAGTACCACATCGGTTATACAAGGGAAGGAACCCTTGTATATTAGTGTCCACCAATCTCATTAGTACGAGGCCTTTTGGGGAGGACACCCAAAAGTAAAACCGTGCGGGCTTGGCCCAAAGCGGACAATATCGTACTAATGAGATTGGTGGACACTAATATACAAGGGTTCCTTCCCTTGTATAACCGATGTGGTACTTGGATTGTCCCATAACAATTCTCCCCTCAAGCCAAGGACCACGAACATCGTGTCCTCACCTCATCGATTATCTTGATCCGCCAGATGCCTTGTATCGATGGGCTTCTCGATACAAGGAATTTACCAGACGCAGAACTCTCTTTGATCTGCTTCCCAAATGCGGAACTCTCTTTGATCCGCCAAGCCCAAACGTGGATCTCTCCTGGATCCACCAAACCAGATGCAGATCTCAAACCCCGAGGTCACCGAGCGAGGGTCCACCGAACTGACGCCCACCGCCCCGAATCTGCCGAACCAGGCTCTGATACCACTTGTCATAAACCTCCCCAAAAGGCCTCGTACTAATGAGATTGGTGGACACTAATATACAAGGGTTCCTTCCCTTGTATAACCGATGTGGTACTTGGATTGTCCCATAACACCGTGTTTTGCTTTTCCATCAGTTTAGCTCTCGGCAATAAAAACACTGGTGTGCCTGTTTGTGTACACGGTCGTGTTTTGGTTTAGGCCAGCCCGTGCTTTGGCCCCAGCTCGAGCGAATGACTTCCAAATGCCCCGAAACTCGTGCTTCGCCTTTCCTTCGACGTTTAGGACCTGAAATATGGCAAAGTAGTACAACCCGGCGTAAAATGGGCCAAAAATACACGACTACTAGCCGCAAACGGATAAGAACTAAGAGTGCAAACATGTGCAAATACATCGTTATCAAATTCCCCCACACTTAACCGTTTGCTTGTCCCCAAGCAAACCTAACTCAAACCAATGCAACTCTCCAGACCTCTATAGCAACAAACAACCCCCATCGTCGGTAGAGGATTTTCTAGATCATAACGCAGCTTACGAGGCCAACTGGTCTTCTAAGACGTCCCCTATCTCTCTCAATGCGAGTACTAGACTCAAGCCAGGATCATGAGAAGAAGTAGAAGTAAGACAGTGAGTTCATGGATAAAGGGACTCACACCATTCACAATCAAGGACTCGCGATACTGGGGTGCTCTTTCACTTCATTTCACCGTTGGAATCCCTTTTTCACTTCCATTTTACTTTTTTCCATTCACTTAGCTGGGTTCCAACATCAGTCTTTCGCACAGTCGACCCTTATTAGTCGAGCAAGAGCAATTTCTGTACATCTGGCGCTCGCCGGAGTACTTCTTTTAACTCCTTTTCTTCAACTTGTGTGGAGGGTCAATGAAATTAAGGGGGTCGGAAGCTCTATCCGTGCCCTTAAAAACACATCCTCAAGTAGGCAAACCATTCAACGGGTGGAAGTTTTACTTGTACTAGAGATGACTTAGCTTCACCTTGTAGGAGTACCCCACTAAGGATCAGTAAAATCTCTTCCAAACCCCGATTTTTGTGCAATGAACGGTGCCGCACATGTTGGGCTTATCCCATGTTTAAGATTTAAAGATTTTGACATGGAGGACCAACTGCATTTCATTTTTCACATGAGCACCCTGTTCAATACACGAGTCCATAACACAATCCAAATAGAGTCACCATTATCACATGAATTCAACGGTCCTAGCTCCACTAATTCACAAAATCAACTGGCACAACAGAGAGCTAGATAGGAAAAATCGTATACTTCAACATCCTCTATAGTGCTACACTACCTCCCTAGGTTGCAAATTACACTAGAGACTGTCAATTCAAAGCATACTGAGCAGGCAATTTGCAAGGAAACACGTACTTGGAGCCCTCAAATTTAAAAATTTGGACAGTGGACTAGGCTCCAAGCACACAAATAAATCTAATATTCTAATGCAGTCAAAAGAGAAACATCCCCCCACACTTAAGATCGACATTGCCCTCAATGGAGAAGAGGGAAGGATAAAGGGGAACGATGTTACCTGTGTGCACGGACTACATGAGACTGGAAATGGACCAGTCTGAGTGAAGAGGACGGGAGAGGGGACCAGTCAGGGACAAAGCACAGCTAAAGGGAACAGAAGAACTCAAGCACAATCCGTTAGGTCCAATTGTCAGCCCAATAATACATCATCCAAAAGAAAACAAACCAAAACCAAACCAGTTTACAATCCGACCCAAAACAAAAGGAATAAACGAAAACCGTGGTGGGGTTGCCTCCCCGCAAGCGCTTCTTTACCGTCTTTTAGCCGGACGCCCATGGTGGATACTCAGCGGGGTGCAAGAACAGGTGCCTCCAAGAGCGGATCCACATCGCTATTGAGGTACAGCTTCAGATTGCGGCCATGCACCAGACGAGTGCGACCACCAGCATCGCTCAGCTCGACCTGGCCATCCGGCAAGATGCAGGCGAGTGAGTACTCGGATGGCCAGGGTGGTCGTGGTGCAGGAGGTGGAACCAGCTCTTAGTGGTCTCCACCTTTCTTCCGTACAGGCTTAGCCACCTGCTGCTTCGGCCGCCACTCCTCTTTGATCCTTTTGTTTGGTGGTAAGGTTGAAGGGAGTGGCGGCGCAGGCGTGAGAGGGGGATCCTGCAAAACGAGATGCACAGGGGGGTACACAACAGGCTCGTGTACCTGGTGAGAAATAGCATGCATAGGTTTGACAACAGGCATATCACAATGATCAGGGTCAGCCACAGAAAAAGTAGCATGTTCATTCCCATCACGCAATATCAGTTTACCACTATGCACATCAATAAGTGCCTTGGCGGTGGCAATAAATGGTCTACCCAGAATCAAAGGCACATCCACATCCTCATTTATATCCAGAACAACGAAATCAACAGGATACGTGAATGCGCCTACTTTAACCAGCAGATCCTCTATGATACCCCTAGGATGCACAATAGAGCGATCAGCTAACTGAATGCTCATCCTAGCAGGGCTAAGTTCACCTAGGTCTAGCTTTTTAAACAGATTGCATGGCATGACATTTATGCTAGCGCCTAGGTCCGCCAAGGACTTCCCTACGTGCATGTTGCTAATATTAAGAGGGATAGTGAAACCCCTGGGTCTTTGCGCTTTTCGGGCAGCTTGTTCTGCAAGATGGCAGAACACTCCTCACTCAGCATCACTGTCGAAAGATCCCCAAGTTTCTTCTTGTTGCTGAGGAGATCCTTCATGAACTTTGCATACTTTGGCATCTTCGACAGTGCTTCCATGAAGGGTATGCTGACATTGAGCTGCTTCAACATTGCCATGAACTTGGCAAACTCAGTCTCCATCTTATCTTTATGTAGTCGAGTTGGGAAGGGAAGCTGGGGTACATGCTCCTTAACCACTGGTTGTGGCTTGGGAGCAGGGGCTTCCTTCTCCACCCTCACTTCTACATCATCGGCTGGAAATGCTGAAGCGGGCCATGGCTCTTCCTCCCTAGCCTGGGCAGGTATCGCCGATGTGGACTTGCCACTCCTGGTGGTGATGGCATTCAGTTACTGGTGCGGCTCCCGTGGATTGGGGATGGTAGTGGTAGGTAGAGTTTCGAGGGCCCGGGTATTCATTTGGCGAGCTATGTCACCAACCTGGTTCTGTAAATCTTGCAAAATGGCCCCCTGGTTCCTCAGGCCTACCTCCAGTGAGGCTATGTTCTGGTCCACCCTCGTGAAATTCGCTTGGCTGGTAGTCATGAATGCCACTAGAATGTATTTAGCTCCGTCATCTGATTATCTAGAGCCGGAGCTGCTGCTGGCTCGGCATACTGACGCTGAGGCTGTTGCTGAGGAACTGGCCCCTGTCTAGCCTGGAAAGGTTGCCTCTGGTGAAAACCACCTGCTAGTGCTGGGAAACCAGGTGGCTTAGTGGTGTTACTCTTCCAAGCGAAGTTGGGATGTTGGCGCCACCCCTCATTGTATGTATTGCTGTAGGGGTCAAAGCGCCGAGCATTGGCGATGAAGTCCAACTGCTCTTGGGGAGTAGAAGACTCCCGCATAGCCTGGCAGTCTTCCACCAGATGATTTGAGCTCTCACACCACTGACATTGAGCTACTGGAGGTGTAGCCAAACCTCTTCCCAGAATAAGACTGTTGGGCTACTTCAATGTCTCACTAACTCGGCCACCTGCTGCTCGAGCCCGGACCTGGCCTTCATGGCGTGCACACCACGATCCCGGGAATTCGTGCCTCTGGTGCTCTGCCCCCAGGAATGATCTCTGGCAGCCAAGGTACTGATCATCTGGTTCAGTTCGGGTGAAGTCTTAGTAAGGATGTCCCCTCCCGGGCATAGAGACTCAATCACCCTCTGGCTGTCCGGAGAGAGAGCACTGTAGAAGTTCCCCACGGTGAATGCATCACTGAAGCCATGATGGAGACACTGCCAGAAATATCCCATGTACCGCTCCCATGCATCACGAAGTGACTCATCTGGCTCCTGGCGAAAGTGAGTGATCTCCCGCTGGATCTCTGTGGTCTTCGATGCTGGATAGTACCTGTGCACAAACTTGACGGCCAGATCGTCCCAAGAAGTGATGGACAGTGGGGGCTGGGTCTCCAACCACCTCTTAGCATTCCCCGCCAGAGAATGGGGGAAGAGGTGAAGGAGGATTGCGTCATCAGGGATACCGTTTAGCTTGAACCCGTTCGTTAGCTGCAAAAAATGGAAAAGATGCACCCTTGCCTCCTCATCCTTCAAGCCATGGAACTGGATAGAGGATGTAATGAGTTGAATCCAGCATGGCTTGATCTTGAAGTTGTTCGCTGGAATAGGCGGGTAGAGGATGACTGGGCGGATATCAGCAATCCATTGAGTGTAGTAGTACTCCAAGGTGGGACCCGGCGGCGGTGGATGATGATGAACCCCATCTGCCTGGGGTATGGGGTTGTTCCCCAAGATCTGATTCACCGGGGGAACCTGGTGAGGATTCCCCTGGTGTGGATTGTGATCTCCTTCCATCTCGTACTCGTCCTCGGACTCGCTGCTCAAGTGGCCATCTATGCGCTCCTCCGTAGCCAGCCTAGCTCACTGTTGTCTCCTGAGTTGGCGACAGGTGCGTTCAGGCTCCGGATCCAACGGCATTAAACCTCCCGACTGGCTACGGGTCATGCACTACCTGCACACAGTCAAGCAAGCAAGCCCGTGAAGGCACAAGTGTAACAAAGCAAACAATGCGAAAAAGAAAAGCTAAATTAACAGAATTCACGTTTCTTCAACAACCTAGCCGTCGCCAGCAACTGCGCCAAAAACTTGACTCGCTCCTACTGTCACTCTAGAAAATGGCCAAGTGTAACCACTTCCTAAAGCGTAGTATAGCGGGTTTGGGTTTTAATGTCAACCCGAATCCTAGATGTGATGACTACTCAGCGAATTCTTATTATTTAGCGATGAAACTTTAGTGCAGGTTCAAACAAGCAAACAAGCAAGCAATTAAACGGTTGTTTTCAAGTCGAGAGAGGTCACCCGGATATGGTTCCCCCTAGACTGCAGTTAAGCCGGGTTGTAATTTACCAAGTTCAATTCCTATGATAGTTATACTGCGGGAGGTTCTTAAGCAGTCTGAAGTTCAACTAAAGGTCTCTAGACCCTCTCAATCTGAGTCCCCAGCGGGCGACTAGCCTCCACCAGAGTAAACAGATTGAGGCCCTAACGAACCAAACCTCCACTACCGAAGTAAATTCGGTACATAATAGTGAATTGACTCCTCGACTAAAGTCGCCAATTCACTACCTTCAATTAAGGGTGCTCTATCAACCTAGGCAGATATTCTCTTTCTAGGCTAAAGTAGAAATAACAGGAATTTGATCAGGATTCATGCCATTCAATCATTCAAACCTCAATTGAATATAATCAAATCATAGAATCTGTACTTGGGTTCATACAATCAGACCTAACATACAAATCTAGGGTTCTCCATACCCAGATGAATAAGAAAACTACTCCATAGAGAGAGATGGAAAATCTAGCTCAGATGCGGAAACCATACTGTGAAGGATGATAATCTGCTTATGGCGCTCAATCGGATCTTCTCCAAACTTAATCCGGGTTCCCGTGGTGATGGAGATCGATCAAAGACACTTGAAGACTCAGTTTCGTCACTTTCTCTCTCTAGGTATCGCTTTGTCTCTCCAAAACTCGGAACTCCTTCTCCTTTGGCTCAAATCTGCCTAAAAGGCCGACCCTGGGCAAAACACGGTCGAGGGCACGGCCGTGCTTTGGTTTTGCCCGCCCGTGTTTTGCCCCGTGTTAAAAACACGCCCGCATCGGCCAAAACACGGTCGTGCCTAAATATGGACACGACCGTGTTTTGCTTTAGGCCAGCCCGTGTTTTGCTTTTCCATCAGTTCAGCTCTCGGCAATAAAAACACTGGTGTGCCTGTTTGTGTACACGACCGTGTTTTGGTTTAGGCCAACGCGTGCTTTGGCTCCAGCTCGACCGAATGACTTCCAAATGCCATGAAACTCATGCTTAGCCTTTCCTTCGACGTCTAGGACCTGAAATATGACAAAGTAGCACAACCCGCCGTAAAACGGGCAAAAAATACACGACTGCTAGCCGCAAACGGATAAGAATTAAGGGTACAAACATGTGCAAATACATCGTTATCAGTAATAATTAATATTAATAAGTATGACTATCAAATTCAGATGACTTGTATGAAGTTTACTAATTAGCACTTTAGCAAGGTTTTTGTTATATTTGTTGAATTAGTTATAGAAGATTATAACTTCTACTAATTGTTGAATTTTTGACGTGTCATTAAGAAGAATGAAGTTTGAATTGTTGTTAATGTCTTATTGTCCTTTAATAGTTTTATCAGTTTTTTATTTCGGTCGTAATTTTTTTATTTTTTATGAATTGGTAAGCTTTATATCATCAAAAAACCTGCAAAACTGATGGCAACACCCCTGCCAACTAAGTCATTTTTTCTTGCGTTCTCAACCACAACTTAACAACTCTACCTTTAGCAAAAAAAAAAAAAACAACGAAAGAACCTATAACTGAACCAAGGGCACCATAAGCTGACTAGTCCCAGAAACTATCAATAAGTACAAAGGGAAACAAGACAGAAAGATCTTTTGGTATACAAACAATCAACTCTTGAAACCTTCTCCTTGTCCCGCCAAACTTCAAGTGACACCTTTCTCTCCAGATGGAACTGACTATAGATCTCCAAATCGCCCTAATAGCTTGAGCACGCTCCTACTTTCCTCGAAGATGTGATACAGCCCACTGCAACTCAACGTCCCAATCATCAGAAGGAGTTCTGGGGAATTCCTTGGCAAGCAAACCTGCATACAGCTCTTTGTAAACCACACATTCACCAAACAGATGCGCTCTAGTCTCCAAAGCACAGGAACAGAACACACACGAGAGAGGGCCTCTTCCACCCCATCTAGCCACCTTGTCACAGGTGACTATATAATTTTTTACAATCATCCAAACAATGAATTTATCCCTTGGAGGGGAGAGTCCTTTCCACACAAGAGAATACCATGGAACAGGTACATCCTTAGGCCTGAACACATCCCACACCATTTGAATCTTGTATCTCTGCATAACTTTACCAGACCATATAACCTCACCATTATTTATTGACATCCATTGACTTATTCTATCTCTATTCTTCAACAGTTTTAACCATAGCCAAGACCCTGCTTTGGATTGGAATGTCCAGAAATCATGCTGCTTTATCCTATATTCCCTCGGCCATGCAACCCATAATGAACCCTGGTGCAGGAGGATAAGCCAAATGTGTCTAATTACACATGCAAAGTTCCAACTCACTAGATCACGAATACCCAAACCACCTTCATTTTTGGGGAGCGCAATGTATTTCCAAGATGCCGTAGCCTTCTTCTTCCCCTCCTCACCTACTCCCCACAAGAAATCACTACACAATCGTTCAACTTCCTTAATAACCCTCTTAGGCAGAATAAACACCGCCATCCAAAACTGAGTCAAGCTAGCAAGCACTGAGATAATAAGTTGTAAACGCCTAGCATAGCTAAGGAATTTAGTTTTCCAACTATGTATCCTCCCAGTAATCTTATCCAACAGAGGCTTACAAGCCTTAATAGATAATTTGCCAGGGATAAGAGGCAATCCCAGATACCTGATAGGAAGCGTTCCCAGTTTATACCCTGCATTAAGAGCCATATGTTTTTGCCATTCAATAGGAAGACCCCCACAAAACAGTTCACATTTTTCAGGGTTGGACTTAAGACCAGAGATTCTTCTGAATTCCCCCAACACCTTCTGAATACATTGAATACCATGATTTGAGCCATCAGAGAATAATAACAAATCGTTAGCAAACATCAAATGTGTCAACCCCAGTCTCTTCCACATCGGATGGAATGGCATTTGACCTTCCTTAACCGCTTTCCCCATTAAACATGACAGGATTTCCATTGATACAGCAAATAAGTAAGGGGACAGAGGGCCCCCTTGCCTCAATCCTTTACAAGCCGAGAAATATCCCACAAGTCCACTATTAAACCCTACACTCAACTTAGGATTAGTCGCACACATAACAATCCACTTCACAAACAAATCAAGGAAATTCATTGCTTTTAAGACTGTAATAAAAAAATCCCAATCCACCGAATCAAAAGCCTTCATTATATCAACCTTAACTATACTGCACTGGGATATATCACTTCTTTGATACTTCTGGACTAACTCATGTGCCAACAGAATGTTCTCACCAATTACTCTTCCTTTTATAAAAGCAGTCTGGTTGTTACTTATCAAGGAAGGCAAAATTGAACTAAGGTGATTTGCAATTATCTTGGAAATACACTTATACAGTGTATTACAACAAGAAATAGGTCTAAAAAACTTCATTTCCTCTGGGTTCTGAGTCTTAGGGATCAATGCTAAGAGTGTGGAATTAGTATCTGTGGGAAGAGAACACACTAAGAGGCAGTATTTCACAGCCTCGGTGATTTTAGGGCCAACAATGTGCCAGGCAGACTGAAAGAAACAAGCAGGAAAGCCATCTGGGCCAGGGCTTTTATCACCTTTAAAACCAAATAGAGTATTCTTCACTTCCTCCTCGGAGATAGGTCGGATTAACCACTCATGTTGTCCCTCAACAACATGAGACTGCAAGATATTACGCATATCCTCAATACTACAAGCCTCAACTTCATTATCCTTCTGTCCCAATAGTCTTTTATAGAAAGTCTCAGCAGTACCACACATGCCATCTGTATCTGTAATTCAAACCCCTTCATCATTTATAAGAGATCTAATCGTATTCCTTTTATTTCTTATTTTGACCGATCTATGGAAATACCCTGAATTAGAATCCCCAACTTTCAACCAAATTTCCCTAGACTTCTGCCTTAGAAAAGATTCCTCAGCATCTCTTAAATTTTTTACTTCTGCAGCAAGTTTAGCCTCTTCCTGAAAAGATTCAGTAGAAGGACTCTGAAGAGCATTTGCATGCGCTCCTAACCACTCCTGCTCCTTCATTATAACCCTTTGATGAAGATTAGAGTACTCCTGTCTATTCAACTACTTCAGTAACCCTTTCAATACCTTCAATTTCTTATTTACTCTCACCATAGGAGAGCCCTCCACTTCAGAATTCCAAGCTTCCTTCACAATCTCCCAATATCTCTCATTCTGCATCCAAAACTTGAAAAACTTAAATGGCTTAGGTAGAGACTTGATCAAACTATCAGTGAGTACAAATACAGGACAATGATCAGACACCGCAGGATCCAAGTTATCCACTGCGCTAGATCCAAAAACCTCAAGCCATTTACAGTTTATAAAAGCCCGGTCCAGCCTCCTTGCTATTGGATTACCAGCTTGTTTATTAATCCAAGTGAACCAAGGCCCAGATGATTTATGCTCAATCATCTCGTTATCATACTGCCACTTTCTGAAATCAACCATACTTGCACTAACTCCAGGAGAATTTGAGGCTTCACTAACATCTCCTATTGCATTAAAATCTCCCATAATAAGCCAAGGCTCAGATTGAACTTGCAGTGCCTCCACATCACTATATAGAATCCTCCTCTCATACTCCTCATTCGAGGCATAGACTACTGTTAGGAAGAAAGGCCCCCCCGAACAGACCATAACATGTAAAAATTGATCAGAGTTATGGAGAATCCTTAACTGCACATCAGACCTCCATACTAGCCCTATTTTACTCAGTCCTGAATCATTTCCAACCACCTTTTTTCCCAGCCCTGAAAACGCTTATTGATAAGTTCCTCAGCTTTGTCAACTTTCACCCTTGGTTCAAGTAATGCTACTATATACTATGTTTATTTACTAAAAGTTGTACATCTTTATTTTTAACTGGGTCCTTAAATCCCCGGGTATTCCAAGAAAACACCCTCATTTACGCTTACCTCCCCTACCCCCTCTCTTAGGAATAGGAGCAGCAGGAGACTTCTTCTTCTTTGCCTGACTCACTGTGATCCAAGGATTTTCCTGAGAGTCGGGAGGAACAGATGGAGACTGACCGCCTCTAGCCAAAGGAGAAGATGCAGGTGAACTCGTTGAGCCCTTCACCACATCCACAAACTTAGCAACCTACTCTCCCCCAGCAATCCCAGCAGTCACAGAACCATTGCCTTGACCATCCTCCACAGAATCCCCTGAACCAGACACTTGACCTTCCTCAACAGTAACCCCTGAACCAGATACATGAACTGTCTCCCCAGAAACTCCAGGGTCCACATTTACTACCTCTTGCTCAACCCCAATCTTCTCCTTGCCTTTATTTAAAGCTTCCACCACAGTCTGCATAACTTCATCCTGCTTATCCTTAACTCCAGAGACCTGAGCTTTTGGAACCCACTTCTTAGCCACAGGCTCCCCTCTATTACACTCATGACCATACACCTCACACTTGGAACAAACCACAGGCTTATTAAGATACTCTACCTCAATATCAAAAGTCGGATCATCATCTGGGTACAGCCGAATTCTAGTTGGAAAACCACAATCCGCAGAAAGATTAACAAACACCTTTGCAAACTCAAGCTGATGACCCTTTCGTGTAGTTTGATCCATCCAAACACGTGGACCAATAGTACTGGCAACCCACTCAAGCCCCTCCAACGTATGATATTCCAACGGAATTCCCCAAATTCTTACCCATATCGGCAAATCCTCAACCACAGGAGCGGCCGGCTGAATTCCTGGAGCCCATTTCCTGAAGTATATCTGATTTCCATGATAGTGCCATGGCCCCGACTTGATAACCCATTGACTTGTCGCAGCTGAAGGAAACTGGAAGACAAGCATACTAGGACCAAATTGCGAAACCAACACTGGTCCATCCCTGCCCCAGAGACCATTTGCCCACTATTGAAGAAGCCCCAACTTAGGAAGAGCCCCTACGAACTGCCCTATCAGACAGTCCTTCCACCGTTCTTCTCCCCTCTTCTTCACTTCGTGAGGTAAACGATAGCCATCATTGATCTTCTCCGGAGGACGAAACCGCATCCTATTAGCAGGCGCGACATCAAACAACGAAGCCCATGTTACTGCCTCTCGAATCGGAGCAGCGGCCGACGGAGAGGCCGCCATGGCGGCGAGAAAAACCCTACCAGAACCCTATTCGCCCGAAGAGAGAAGAGAGAGAGCGTCCGACCGGTCGTAGTTTTCTCCATATATTTTATGCTCTACTTTTATATATATTTTATTTGATATATCTTTCATACCTAATATACTATCCTCATTTTTTATTGTGTATATCATCCTTTGTATCTCTCTAATGTTTTCAACTAATAAAAAATTTATAAGAAAAATATAGATAAATTTATGAGATTGTTAAATTGGTTTTTGCCGTTAACCACAAACCAAGAATTTATGAGCCTTGCGCTTCTTTTAGCATGTGACCTTTGTACACCAATCAAAATTATTAAATTGATTAATTTATACAACACAAACCAAGAATTTTGATTGTATGAAATGTCTCACTATTTGGAAAATAAATTAAAAATATATATATATATATATATATATTATGACATTTAAAGATTCCAAAAATATCATGATATTTTGTGTGTACCTAAATTCAGAATATATTATAATATTTTTAAACATTCACAAATATTCTGAAGTGAAATGAGTGAGAATATTCTCTTTAAGCGAACGAGGTTGTGGTTTTTAGCCTGAAGCCCCCAGATTTGAATTCCAGTGATAATGCTCATTCCATCTTCCCTTTCTCCACCCTTCTAAGGCTCTAACAACACCTTATAACAGGTCTCCGCTTAAAAAAAAAAAAGAATATTCCCTTTAAGTTTTAGTTTATAAAATGACATTTCCTTCTCAGTAAACTACCCAAAATTTTGGAGCATTTAAATGTAATTGAGATTTGTATAAAAAAATCATATATAATTAATGTCTATCAAAAATGCCCCCACCCCAATCCCCACCCTCTCTGTCTTTGTGCATTGGGTACTATTGTAATTTTGTAAAAATAAACAAGAAGCAAACGAGAGAAAGGGAGTAAGCGGTTCTTTTTTCACCAACGGTTGTCACTTATGAAAGAATTAGAAAGGGAGAAACCAGAAATTCTTTTTGTTTAAGTGTGCTAACGTGGCAGTGGTCCAGGTCAAAATTCTTTTAATATTTTGATAAATAAATAAATAGCTAGATTCCTATTTAATGTCCTAACTTTTTAAAATTTAACACCCTAATTGTACTAAACAGACAATAGTACCCCCAATCACTAAAACGACACAGCTGCCCTCAATCCCTAATTTTGCTCTGTTCCTCGCCACTGCTTTGCCGGCCACTGTTGTCGCAGCGAACTCCAAGAGGAAGAAGTAATCTGCCATTGCCCACCTTTTCGCCTCCCTCCATTTTCAATCCAATTTCCGACACCACAATCGACTGGCATTGCATGAGTGACCGACGACGACGAGAAGATCCAATCCTCCTCTTCCCTCTACTTTCGCTTCGGGCCCCTGCCATTCTTTATCCCCAACAATCACCGCCGCCCTTTCTCTCCCTAGTAGCTGATGGTGCAAACTCATCAAATAATAATAATAATAATAATAATAAAGCTTATATATATGTGCTTCTCCATGGCCAAGGTGAAGGAGTGGAATCAAAAGCAGTAGATAACAATAGATTGGAGACTGGGAAAAGGTAGAGGAAGAAGGCGAATCTAATCAATGCCTTTTCTCGCCAGCAGCGCAGCGAAAGCTAGGTATTGTGGCGGCGATGGGCGGGGACTTCCAGGGTGAACGACGGTATATACGAGGAAAAATCTAGGGCGAAATTTCGTTAGAGATTGGAAATATTCTTGGGGGCAAAAACGTCGAATTATCTAAGTTAGGGCGATAAATTTTAAAAAGGTAGAGCGTTAATTAGTAACTCCCAAATAGACATGGTGTAAATGATCCATGTATGATGTTGGCTCTGCTACTGGTTGTATTTGATGAAATGAAAGGAACCTTTATTCATATAAAAAATTGTATTATATATCAATATATTCTTTCACATTTATGATAATTGACATACTTTTTTTTTTACAAAAGATAATCATATATTGATACCAAAACATAGATAGTTACACCCTGGAACCCAGCCAGGTCCGAAAATCAAAGAAAACGACTCATGGTCGGGTACAAGGAGAGGGCTTTTCTAGCCACCAAATGGGCCACCCTATTACTACTCCGACCTATAAACCGCACACTAAACCCTGGGCTATTCACAAAATAGTGTAAGACTTCTTCCAAAACAGTACCCAGCCGGCTGTCCCTAACATCCTTGCAATTGATTTTATCAATGATGATCTTAGCATCCCCTTCGAAGCGCATTCCCGAGAAACCCTGACCCAAACACCAAGCAATAGCCTCACGGAGCACTAGCAACTCCACAACCACTGGGTCATCAATCCCCGGGATCTGAATCCCTTGAGCCATAAGAACATCCCCAGATGGAGACAGAAGAACCATGCCACCTGCTGAATGCGATCCCTTCCTGGTAGCCCCATCCCACTGGCAAGTAAACCCTGTAGCCTGCCCTGACCCATCTGACCATGGAATCGTCGGGGGAGGAGGCATGTGGGGCACCTCCACCGGCATCCCCACCCATTCCTCATACTGCTGGGAAAACTGCCTCATTAACCCGGGGAACCCAAACTGCTTGCCTTCAAACACCACCCAATTTCTCGACTGCCAGATGCACCAAAGGACTGCGACAACTGCCATGAAGAGCGGCGATTGCTGAATTAAGGCCATCAAACGTTTAAGGAACAACGGGAAAGTATGGTGAGGCAACCCTTCCCCTAAGTACTCCAGCCCCGAAAGGCCCCAGAGCGCACGCGCCACCGGACAATCCAGAAACAGATGCTCCATGGTCTCCGGGCCACCCCAACAGACCGGACAATGAAGGAGGATAGGAACCTTTCGATCAATTAGGGCCTCCGTGGTGGGGAGAATTCGATTCAGGATTTGCCAAACAAAGACTTTCAGCTTAGGGGGAATATTCGCATCCCACAACTGGATCCAACTGGGTCTATCCATCCAACTAGCCGACGCCTTCCACCTCCCCCTCCTCCTATCAAGGGAGATAGCCAGATGATAGGCTGACTTGACCGAGAACACCCCATCAGAAGTAAAATGCCATATCAGTTTATCCTCAATGTTCTGCCTGGGAAGGGGAATAGTTTTTATAATACGACAAGTAGGTGGATCAAACCACTGGCTGAGCTTGCGATCACACCAGCGCCCTTCCCCTTGACAAATTACCTCAGCCACAGTAGGATCTCCCCCCTCTGGTAACACCACCGGATTATACCTCGGGGGATCAAGCTGCAGTTGAGGAATCCAGGGGGATCGAAGTAGGGACGCCGAGCGCCCATTCCCAATCTGCCATCTGAGACCCATCTCCAATAAATCTCGACCATACAAAACGCTTTGCCAGCCTCAAGATGGGCGCGACCTGGCTTTAGCATTAAGGAAATGCCCAGAGGGGAAGTACTTACCCTTATAGACTTGAGCTAGAAGAGACTGAGGCTCAACTAAAATTCGCCAGCCGATCTTGGCTAAAAGGGCTTAATTGAAATGCTCAAACCGACGGAAGCCCATACCCCCCTCATGCTTACTCTTGCACATATCTCGCCAGGCCATCCACCTGATTCTCGAGTGTCCCTCCTCATCACCCCACCAAAAACGAGCAACATGTTTATCCAGTAGGCGACACAACGAGAGAGGCATCTTGAAACAAGACATCACATGCAACGGTAAAGCCAAGGCGATAGACTTAATCAGTGTCTCCTTCGCTGCCCAAGACAAGGTCCTCCGTTTCCACCCCTGTAGCCTTTCCAACAGCTTTTCCTCCAAATACCGAAAGGTCTCCATCTTAGAGCGAGCAATCAACGTAGGGAGACCCAGATATTTATCCTGCACCCCAACAGCTCCGACACCCAAAATCGCAGCTAAGAACTCCTGGTCCGGTAAAGCAATATTCTTACTGAAACAAACCGCCGATTTAGCCAAATTAACGCGCTGCCCACTTAGTTCCTCATATTCATTTAGTACTGCAATTAAATTCTCACACTCCTGCAGAGTGCCCTGCAGGAACAGATAAGAATCATCGGCAAAGAATAAATGCGAGATATGGGGGGCACGCGGGGGCACCTTTACCCCTGCCAATCTCTTATCCTCAATCGCTTTACGCAAGAGAGCTGTAAACCCCTCAGTGCAGAGCACAAAAAGAAGAGGGGATAAGAGATCTCCTTGCCGCAAGCCCCGCGATGGTTTGAAGAACCCAGACGGAGTACCATTCATCAGTACAGAGAACGATGACGACCGGAGGCACTCATGTATCCACCCCTGCCACACTGAGTTAAAACCCATCTTATCCAAAATTGCAAGAAGAAACGGCCATTCAACTCTATCATAGGCCTTTTCCATGTCAACCTTAATAGCCATGTACCCCTTATTGCCTTGCTTTTTGGTTTTCAAGTTATGCATTAACTCATGCCCAAGGAGGATATTCTCAACAATTTGGCGATCCCGAATGAAAGCGTTCTGGCCAGAAGAAACAATGTTAGGTAAGAGGCCCGACAATCATTCAGCCAAGATCTTAGTTATAATTTTATACACAAATTGGCATAAACTTATTGGGCGCAACTGCCTCATGGATTCAACATTATCCACTTTATTGATCAACGTGAGCCAGGTGTAATTGAAGCTACGGAGCATCCTACCAGTCGTAAAAAATGAGCAGACTGCGTCAACCACCGAATCCCCCACAATACTATGATAATTGACATACTAATGAGTCGAAGTTTAGAAAATGTTTTTTTTTATGAACCAGAAAATCATATCGACAATTCAGTATTTCAAACAAAATGAAGAGTTCTTTTTTATAACAAATAGTTTGTTTAGTGGTAAAAAGAAAGAAAAAAATAGCAAAAGGGAAAAAGACTCCTAATTCTACCCACCCAACTGCCGCGGGAGAGGGGAAAATATAATAAAGATATATCCAACCCTAAGAACGGTAAAACAAGTTATTATTTTATATTTTGATAACCCATAAAATCCCAACCCCACATACCACTTTGTGGCAGTAGAGTCTATTAAATCTGGGGAATACTTGGCGAGACAAAGTCTCCAGCACTCGAGGTGCCTCCGGAAACCTGAGACCTCACACATCTCAGCTCCGAAAGACCACACTCCCGACCAACTCGGCTGTGTTACCTTCGGCGCAAGACAAGTTAAAATTAAGAAGTAAACACTTGAAAAGAAGGTAACGACAACCATTCAATCTATAAAAATATTAACAAAAGAAGAAGTATAGAAAAATCGAAAGAATACATAGATCCGAGTTTGACGTGGATGCATGACAGTGCAGAGAATTTGAAATGGAGAAAGCTATATTGAGAACGTCCTTAATATATTTTATAGAAGATAGATAGAAAGATAGTCATAGATTCATAAAGCCATACATCATGATAATGTATAGGGTGAAAAAGGATTATATTGGTGGATTCATAGGTTCGATTAAATGAATTCGTGGATGTATGGACTCGTAGATTGGATTCATTAATCCAAGTGACATATACACCATGGATCATAGTGAAAATTTTGAAAAATTTAGGTACTAAAATTCCTTACAAAAAACAGTCACCAAAACAAAAATTTTGAAGAACATTTTTCATAAAAAAAAATAAATGTAGGTATCAAAATTATAAAATATATGTGTATTAAATTTTAATCCAGTCCATGAATAAACATATTCATTTGGATTCAATGAATTAAATTAGTCAAGTTTTTTAGTTGATGAAAATTGGATTGTTGGATTATATTCAAATTGTGACCTCTAAGTGTATGAGAATAACTTGCAGAGAGTTCGTATTTTTCACATCGATATTGAGTTTTATCGTATGATTTTACTATCCTATATAATGTAAATAAGTAGGAATATGAATGGAGTAAACTTGTTATTAGACAAATATTATAAATATTATCGTTGTCCAACCAGTTTATACCTATTTATACTAATTCTGACAACAACAAAAATGAATAGAATTGGGTAACTATTCATACCAAATGTATTACACATAATCATAGTGAAATTATGTCTGAACTGTTGTATGTAGTTTGTAAGTGCATTTGTATTAGTGTATTCAAATACAATAATCCACAACCAACATTGACTCACAACATACAACTGAATTGTTCACTGGTCTCTCTTTTTATGCCAACAGATGGAAAAGTCATTCAAATAAATCATAAACTTCGGAACACAAAGCAGCAACAAGGTGCAAAATAGAAAATATTTGTATGCTAAACTTAGCTCATATTTAACTAACCAAACAAAAAATGCCGAAATTCATGCACAAGCAGGACACTCACACACATACATACATATATAACCTAACCTATAACATTGTTTGTTATCGACAGCAGAGTTCATATGATGAATTCAGACATGAAGAGGGGGAGAGCAGTTCTTATAATGAAGTTAATATTCGTAGTCTGCACTGCAATCATGAACGATGTGGCCACCGCAAAAGGCGATCACGCAGATCGTATTTTGCCGCTGAAGAAGAAGATGACGGTTATCAACGGACTTGAGGGTAATTTGCAGCTAACGGTACATTGCAAGTCAAAGGACGACGATCTTGGAGTTAGGGTGTTGGGACCGGGACAAAGCTTTTACTTTAAGTTCTGGACATGCGTGTTTGCCTCGACCTTATTTCATTGCTCTTTCGAGTGGCCGGGAAGCGGCGGGATTCATCGGTTCGATATCTACGATGATCGGCACGATTACCTGGATTGCGCGTATTGCGAACGACTTGTCAAACCATCCGGGGTTTGTAAGTATACTGGGCGAACTAAGAAATTTGACAGGTGTTTTCACTGGAAAAATGAGAGCATGTGAGAATAATGAGTTGTAATATGTTCTGGACTCAAAAAAGGGAGGGGCTAATTGTAGTGATGTGTGTTTTCTGTCTTGATAAAGATAATAATATGAGTTTGTGTTCAATAAGCTGGATTCCAAGTTTATGGAGCAAACATTAATGGAAAGGGTTTGTGAAGCAAACATAAACGTCAGTATGAAAAATGCTGAAGTGCAAAGAGACCCACCAATATTATACTACGTAGCAAATCAAAAAGAAATTCATCTAGGAGACAAAATGATACAAACCATAGCAAGTCTCATGACCATGAAGTGTAGAGAAACATAATTGAATATGTAGAGTGAGTGAAGTCTATCGTCAGGTGAGAAAACACCTGATTTTGGGTTATTCACGTCATATTTGTTGTATTCATCACGTCATACTTGTTTCATTCACGTCGTATTTGCGTTATTCACGTAAGTGTGTTGATTATTCACGCAACCAATATTGTAAGGTCACGCAACCTGATGTTCATTCACGTATATTGTTAATTATTCACGCCATTGTAAAATAAAATTTTAAACTTTGAAATATATCAAAATGGATGTCATTGTGTAGATTATGGTTAATGCAAAATATTTTTACAGTTTAATTGATAATCCAAATTTAATTCCATAAAATATAGTCAATACAAATTATTAGGGGAAAAGTCTGAATTTCCATTTACGTGGAAAACTTATACTCTTACGTAAATCACCATAGTATTACGTGAATGAGTATAAAATGACGTTAACGAACGCAAAATGACGTAAATGAGCCCGATTTAGGTGTTTTATCACCTAACTGGACAAGAGATGTTTTATATGTAGAAGAGTAGAATATGTAACAAATTAAAAGGGTTGAGTTATTGGTATTGCAGTTCATGTTCACGATCATCTTTGTTACTTTCTCAGTATTAAAAGATTAAAGGTATGAGTTTGGAATATAATAACAAGCCAAATAACTTGTCGTTTAGGTAATCAAAGATTAATATAATTATAAATGTCATAACGTACATCAAAGTTAGTTCATACAAGGCATGTGAGAGACCCACCAGTATTATATTATGTAAGGAAATCAAAAGAAATTCACCTACAGAAAGATTATAACCCATGTAGAATCATGGCCATGATTCATGAAGTGTAGAGAAATGTTAGTGAATAGCTAGAATAGAACAAATAAAAGAAAGGTTTAGTTATTGATACTGCAATTATTCATCTTCTAACAAGTAAGATCATGTTTTGTTTTTGCAACTAAACGATGAAAGGTATGAGTTTGAAATAGAATCATAGGTCAAATAATTTGTCATCTTTGTCTGTTATTCTCTTTGTCTGTTGTTCTCTGCATTTTCAACACCAATGTAGTCAAAAGAAACGTAAATTTTAACTACATTAATTATAAAAATTGAGATTATGCGTAGAAGCGATCTGATGATCTAAAAGTATAAAAGCGTAAATTTTTAAATTTTAAAACGCGATTTTCACTGCATTTCCATCATATTGCCTCTTATCCGCTATCATTATCTATTTTTTTTCCAAGAAAAGACAGTAGAGAGAACTATACAATCTACCGAACGCCTCCCAACCTATTACATCAATGAAGCCACCCAACAAAGTCGAAAGAACATAACTCAAGAGGAGAAAGAGATTACATCAATGCCCTAAAAGATATTACATCCACGTCAAACTCGGATGGTATCGGGTACGACAATTAATCCCTCTAGACTTAAGAGCTACTACTGTTGGTAATATCACTCTTAGACACTGCCAAATGAAGAATTTTAATTTTGGAGGAACCAGAATATCCCATGTTTTCTTCCAGATAGGTGGATCTATAATTTGGACCAGAGGTTTTCGACTTGAGACTAAAGAGATTTCTAAAGCCAGATGGTATCCCGTTTTCACTGTATAGGAGCCATTTTTTGTAAAGTGCCAGATTCTTGTGTCTCTTTGTTGGCATCTAGGGAGAGGGGTTTTGCGTATAAGGCTAACTGTTATGGGATCAAAATAGTATTGAAGCCTTGGGATATGCCACTCTCCTCCACTTCCTCTAATAAAGAAGGAGACTCTTGGGGAGTTAGTTATATTCGAAAGGCGAACCGAAGGAGTGATGGGTTTCTCTGAAACTACCCACTTGTCCTTGAAGGCTACAATGTCTTGCCCATCTCCAACTTGCCATCTTAACCCTTGAAGAAGGAGATCTCTTCCAAACAAGATACTGCGCCATCCCCAAGAGGTATTGGAACCTAGGGTGGCATCTAGTACTGATCCATGATGGAAATAACGACCTTTATAGATTGAGGCCAGGAGAGAGTCCGGATTTTTCCAGATCCGCCAACATTGTTTGGCTATCATTATCTATTTTACGAATACATAATTATGATGACGTCGTGTATATGACCATGTACACGACTGCCAACAAAAGTTGATTGCTTACTTGTTTTATAAATAATAATAATTCAACCAACTGACAGTTTGGAATTGGTCGATTATTTTATTTTATTTTTGTCAAAAGATATCATATATTGATCATATCAGAAGATAGTTACACCCTGGAAACCAGCCAGGTCTGGAAATCAAAGAAGCGACTCATAGTCGGATTATCACCTTCGCATCGCCCTCAAATCGGACCGCCGAAAAACCTTGCTCCATACACCAAATAATAGCCTCCCGAAGCACAAGCAATTCCACCACTGCAGGATCATCCATTTGAGCAAACTGGATCCCTCTAGCCAGTAAGAGTGTCCTTGCGGGGTCAAAAAGAACCATCCCACTAGCCGAATGAGACCCACCCTTAGTAGCCCCGTCCCACATGCAAACCAAATGGGAATCATCCAATTGTGCTGTAGATCGCATTATCGGGGATTGTGCCCTAGGCGCCTGGTGCGCTGGTAGCTCCACCCATTCCTCATACTGCTGATTAAACTGGCGCATAAGAGCTGGGATCCCAAATTGCTTGCCTTCAAAGACCACCCAATTCCGAGATCGCCAGATCCTCCAAAGGATGACAACAACAGCCATAACCACCGACGGTTGATGGATCAAACCCAACAGACGCTTGAGAAACAACGGAAAGTCTGTCGAGGTAAGCCCTCTCCCAAGTATTCTAGCCTAGAGTAATCCCAGAGAGCACGCGCCACTGGAAAATAAAGGAACAAGTGTTCCATTGTCTCAGGGCCATCCCAACAAACTGGGCACCGAGGTAGCACCTGGACCTTTTTCTCAATAAGCGCCTCCATAGTCGGCAGAGCCCGATTAAGAATTTGCCAAACAAATACCTTCAACTTCGGAGGGATTTTGGCCTCTCAAACTCTAATCCAACTCGGCTTATCCATCCAGCTAACCGAGGAACGCCACCCCCTCCTTCTGTCCAAATCGACAGCCAATTGATAAGCCGTCTTAACCGAGAAGACCCCATCAGCCGTAAAATGCCAGATGAGCTTATCCGGAACATCCTGACGCGGGAGGGGAATAGATTTAATAGCCTTACAGGTGGGTGGGTCAAACCATTGACTGAGCATTCCATCAGACCACCTCCCTCCCCCCTCACTAATAACCTCCGCCACCAAGGGATCACCCCCCCTCAGGCAAGACCCGGGGATTATAGGAAGGGGGATCCAGCTAATACCCAGGAATCCAGTTAGACTGGAGAAGGGAGACCGATTGACCATTGCCAACCTGCCATCTCAACCCTCTTTCCAATAACTAACGCCCATGAAGGATACTTTGCCACCCCCAAAAGGGCCGAGATCTAGCAGTCGCAGTCAGAAAAGACCCTTGAGGGAAATACTTGCCTTTATAGACCTGGGCAATAAGTGATTGAGGTTCATTGAGGATACGCCAGCCTATCTTAGCCAAAAGAGCTTGATTGAAATGCTCGAACTGGCGAAATCCCATCCCCCCATCATGCTTACTCCTGCACATGTTACACCAGGACACCCATCTAATCCTAGGATTCCCGTCCTCCGCACCCCACCAAAAACGGGCCACATGCTTATCTAAAAGGCGACAAAGAGCCAGGGGAAGCCGGAAACAGGACATAACATAAAGTGGAAGAGCCAACACTATGGATTTAATTAATGTTTCCTTAGCAGCCCACGACAATGTCCTTTGCTTCCACCCCTGAAGTCGCTATAGAAGTTTTTCCTCCAAATATCTGAATGTAGCTGTTTTGAACCGGGCAACCAGCGTTGGAAGCCCCAGATATTTATCGTGGACCCCCACCGCACCAACCCCTAGAATCGTGGCCAAGAACTCTTGATCAGGTGTGGAAATATTCTTACTAAAACACACCGCCGATTTATCCAAATTAACGCGTTGACCACTCAGTTCCTCATATTCATTCAACACCTCAATCAAATTCTCGCACTCCTGCAGAGAACCGCGCAAGAATAAATAAGAATCATCTGGGAAGAATAGGTGCGAGATTCTTGGAGCACGAGGAGCTACTTTTACCCCCTCTAATTTTTTCTCCGTGATCGCCTGCCGAAGAAGGGCTGCAAACCCCTCCGTGCAGAGAACAAACAAGAGAGGCGAGAGCGGATCTCCCTGGCGAAGGCCCCTAGAGGTCGTGAAAAATCCCGAGGGCGTACCATTCATGAGAATCGAGAAAGAGGAGGATCGAAGACATTCATGTATCCATCCTTGCCAGACTGAACTAAAACCCATCTTATCCAAAACTGCAAGCAAGAAGGGCCATTCGACTCTATCATAGGTCTTTTCCATGTCAACCTTCAGAGCCATGTATCCCTTCTTCCCTTACGTTTTTATTTTCAGGTAATGCATTAGTTCATGTCCTATAAGGATATTATCAATGATCTGCCGATCCCTGATAAAGCCATTTTGGCCTTCCGAAATGATCCGCGGGAGCATGCTAGCCAGTCGTTCAGCCATGATTTTGGTAATCACTTTGTAAACAAACTGACAGAGACTAATCGGGCGCAATTGTCTAATTGTTTCCACCGATTCCACTTTAGGGATCAAAGTGAGCCAGGTATGATTAAAGCTCCGCAACATCCGACTCGAGGTAAAGAAGGAGATTATTGCTTCAACCACCGAAGTGCCCACTATATCCCATAAAGCTTTAAAGAACTTCCCTGTGAAACCATCCGATCCCGGGGCCTATTTCGAACCCATGGAAAAGACCGTACTCCGGACCTCACTAGGCAAAACCTCTGCCGTCAATTGAGCATTCATTTGCAGAGTAACAGTACGGGCAATTGAGTCGCCACCCTCTCAGTCATATTAGGGACCTGCGTTTCAGAGGTAAACAAAGTCTGATAAAAATTGGTGGCAATAGAAGCCTTCATGGTTTCCTCAGTGATCCATTCACCCCTCCTCATTGCGAAGTCCAGAAACGAAATTCCTCTTCCGCCGAGCCCTAGTGACCGTATGGAAATAGACAGAATTTTGATCTCCTTTTTTTAACCACTTAACTCTGGATTTTTGCTGCCAGAACACCTCCTCTGCTTCCCACTGACGGGAGAGCTCCGTCTCCAGCGTCCTGATCTCATCCCACTGAACTGGGTGGATCGACTTTATCCTATCAATCTCGTCCTGGAGCGTCTTAATATTACGCAGGGAATTAGTTGTGCCCACCCTAATCCAATCGTATAACAGATGGTGGAGTTTCTTTAGGCGTTCCCACAGTCGAAACATAGGGGTGCCTTGGATTTCTTCCTGCCTAACATAGTTGACCATGGCTCTAACCTCCGGATTATCCGCCCAACGGGCATCAAAAAATGGAAAAGAGGCCGACTAGTACGAACATATGGTTTATCTGCAAGCAGAAGGGCACGATGGTCTGATCCCTGGTCAGTGAAGTGCTTGACTAACGTCTCCGGGTATGTATCCATCCAAGACTGAGAGCAAACCGCTCTATCCAAACGAGTACGAATGCAAGCATCGCCCATGCGTTTATTAGTCCAAGTAAATGGATCCCCTTGGTACCCAGGATCGTGGAAACCCAAATCATGAATAAACTCACGGAGACTAAGAGCTTGGGCAGCATTCCATTCCCGTCCCCATCTTTTTCACCCTCATGCAGAGTAGCATTGAAATCACCTATGACCACGTACGAGTGATTGATATTCGCACAAACGGTTCGCAATTGGGTCAATTGGGAGGTTCGAACAGCACTATTACAACTAATATAAACAAAGACCACAACATAAGAAAAATTTCCTTCATTAATTTGCGAACAAATATAAAAATTTGAATGACAAAGCACCGAAGTGTCAACTCCGGGGGCCCAAGCAACTACTAAACCTCCCGATGCATCGACTGCATCTACAAAAAAACAATGAGAAAGTGCAAAACCTAGACCCCGCATACGCCGGGACACTACACGCCGGCTCGATCGTGTCTCAGAGAAAAACACGAGATCCGGTTTATTGGAATGAACAAGCCCTAAAGCATATTGGAATGTGAGGGACGACCCAATTCCTCTCACATTCCAGGCGAGAAGCCTCATTTATCCTCTGGGAGCCACTCAAGGCTGGCTTCCTCCACCTTTTCCAGATCCTCAATCGCTTCCACAAACTGCTTCTTTGGTGTAGGAGGGTTCCCCACATCCCCTTCTAATTCATCCAGCACGTGCTTCCGATTCTCCATGATAGGGTCCATCAAATTAGACCCATATTCATCTAGCCTTGAAACCATTTTCTTGACCACACCATCCTCCTCCCTTGCAACAACTAACCCAGCTTCAAAAGCCTCCACCACCTGGTGAACACGCCCTGTCATGATATGGCGAGTTTTCCTGGTGGCCGCAGCTGGCGACCGTCGCTTGATCTTAAAGGAATGATGTTCCTCAGCTGCCTGATCATCATCAGAGTCAAAGTCCTGCTGTTGATCTACCGCAGCAGACTTATCCAATGTATCCACAGATTCCTTATCCTCCAAGCCAAGCAGATCACCAGAAGGAGAAGAGCCCCCATCCTTGTGAGCCGATGGAAGAGGGCAGTCTGCCCCTCCTTTTAGAAGACGTGAGCGAGCCCTGGGTAGCGTGTCAAGGTCCTCTGCCAGACCAGCAGGGGTACGCTGCTTCATAGGGGGGCTACTCCCACCCCCATGATCTCCTCCTCCTCCTCCTCAGATTCCTCTTGTAAAATCAGTCTGCGCCTCCTTGATTGCTCGAAAGTTTCCGCCATCTGCCCCACAACCTGCTGGCAGTGTGCAGTCTGCTTGGCCCGCCGGCTAGGCTGCCGGCGCTCCTTAGTGCCTTGCCGAGGAGGTGGTACCACCTTTCTGGGTGATGCTTTCTTCTGTCGTTGTCGAATATTTCCAGCAATCTTAACCCGATGAGACGTCTTAACGACCAAACGCTGGGGACTAGTCCGACCCCCAAAAGAGGTTTTAGCAGGGGCTTGCTGCCTGTTCTGTGCCACTCTCTGCTTCTGAGTTTCCGACTCTCTTGGGGCAGGATGAGACGCCACTTGAGTAAGTGGGCGGGTATTAGTACCCGGAACTCTGTTAGCAACCTTCTCCTTCCCATCTTTAACCAAATGAGTATTTCTATTCACCCACACTGATTTGCTGGCATTGCGGAACTGAGGGTATACGTCATCCTCCCTGTAAATCTTCCTTCCCGGCTTTCGAGTAGACATGTGCGGCCCAAACCGTTCCTGGCCAGTAGGAGGGCCAAAAACACACTCCGGCTTTGAATACCCTACTCGACCACAGTGATAGCAGAAGGTTCGCAAAAACTCGTATTTGAGATGTACCCAGAATCTACCAATCTCTTCACTAGCCGCCATAAATTGAGATCGCAAAGGTTTGTCAAAATCAATTAGGGCATGCACTTTCACAAAGCGTTCATCAGAGTCTTTGGCCGCAAAGACATCAGACTCCAAGATTTGACCAATCATTCCAACTGCCACTTTCCGGCCAAACTGCGCCGTGCAACGGTCTTCTTTTACATTCCATAGCTGCACACGAAAAGGAGCAATGTCCAAGTCGTCAAAAATAGGCCTTGTGATAGAGGGTGTCTAGGACCGCAGGTGGAGAATCCTGTCCTTAACAATCCATGGAGATCTTTTTAGGAGCCAAACCCCTCATCTCATCACTTGGGAGAATAATCTCAAATAGGCCAAATTTAGTGACCGATACCCGAAGGTTTCCCTGCACCCGCCATGTCTCAAGCAGGCCCTCCTTCAACTCCCCCGCGGTGAAAGTGCTCTCGGAAAATAGTCTTCCCAAGAGAGTCCTTGAAGTACGAAATTTCACCGACTGAACTTCATCGAGTGAGAATTCAACCACTTGATCCTCCTCTACACGAGTCATAGTATTCACCTGCCACACGGGGGAATATAAGCTTTTAGATTCAAAGAAATTAGTCGTATTTGGACTAATAAAACGACACAAAGGAAAAGGGGTACTCAGGCCCGTGACAACTACATCTTTTAGTGACAAAAATGGGCCACCAAAGACAGCCCCAAGGCCTGTTAAAGAGCACAATGGGCTGCCCACCACTAACCCCTCAGTTACAACTAATGGGCCGGTCCTGGCAGGCCACAAATCCGGCCCATCCAGGCCTGTACCACCATCCCCTCGGCCCACAAGCGGAGCAGCGACCATCATCGCCGAGGCTCTGGGCACACTCGGCTCGGGCAGAGCAGCGGTCAAAACCACCCTCGGAGCTGTGTCCTTCACCGTCGAGACTCTGGCCGGACTCGAACTGGATTGAACGGTGGTCAACACCACCAAATCCCTGGAAAAGCTCGAACAAGAGAGGGGAACCGCCGAGGCGGGGGAGAGGAAACCCATCGAGCCGGAGTTTGGCCGTTTAGGCTGGTCAATCGCCGAGCTAGAGGGGAGTGTTTTCCTCTAGCGAAGAACGGGAAATCGAAATCAGACGAGGAAATCAGTACCTCGACACCGCTTTGGAGCACAGACCCGCTTCTGGGTAATTTCTATTCGAGCTTCTCCAAAAGCCCTAAGTCGCTGCGCTTTACACCGAAGTGTTACAGAGATGGGAGAAGTCAATTTAAAGACGCTCGGGTCCAAGTTCCCCAGTAGGAGAGTAACTCCCAGGATCGGCTGTACCCGTTTATCTCGCCCAAATCTGCTAAAAAATCTCCCTGAGATTCACCTTTAGCCGCCTCACGCCAACGCGTCCCCATCCGCCAGCGTTTTTCGTCGGTGCCGCCTCGCCGGCCGAAACATTCCGAACCGACTACCTTGGAGACGGGGATATCGGAGTTGAATCGCATTTTGGTATTGCCTTTCAGTATACAGCAATTACCATCCCCGAGGGGATCAAACTGACCAACAATTTCACAAGGATTCGGGTTTGATTCAATACTGGTACAGGGTACTCTACTCTCGATCTTCACCTCTGGCGACGCGAGAACAGACCCCACCCCTAAGGGCACAGAAGCATTGAACCTACCAGTGAATCGATCATTGGTCATATAATCTTTCAATGGAGGCCAAGAGGATTTCCTATTGACCGCCGCAAGCGAGGATGCTTCAGAATCCTCTTCTTCTAATTCAGACGAGTTCGGAAGCCGAAATCGCCATTGAATCTGAGGCCCGATCCCACATCTCTTGGATGGGCGATCCTCCTCAGATTTCATCTCGGCAAACGCCGTAATAAA